TGCGCCTTGACTTGCTTTGCTGCTTGGGCAGCTCTTCTTCTATTCTTCTGTTCTTTGCGACTGCTCGTCCCGCCGCGCCGAAAACCTCTTTCTCTTCTCGAAAATGGCCCGTTGGTACGGTGATGCAACAGTCCAGTATAAAGCAAATCATGAGCCGGGGGTTCAGGAACCAGCAGCCTAGAGCTCACAAAACCACCATACAGCACTCACTGTACGTCATTAACGTTGAGAGGATTTAAGCTCGACGTGGTGTGTCATGCTGCATCGCTTTTCGTTTTCAGTCGACAAGATTGATGAGCAGGCACGTTTTCGCTAGCGTCGTGCGCACGTGCACTTGAGCAGATCGCCTCGCTTCCTTCCATGGTGTCGGTTTGAGCTAAGGCTTGTCTTGAGCTCCTAAGGGTCGTGAGGCACTGCTGCAAATGGAGGGCAGTGGCAGGGTCTTCGTCGAGCTGATGTGAAAGGGTCGTCATCGGACAACCAGACCGCTACAAAACCTGGGGTAATGCTACTCAGCCATCACGTCGTTGCCCCGAAAGTCGTCGAGCAGGGTTGCGACGAAATGCTACTAAAGCCATGCTCAGTCAATACAAGTGTGTATCGTTGGAGAGTGTGAATAGCTCCAGGAAGCAACCGGCTGGCTCGTCTAGTCTGTAGTACGAGGTTCAAATACAGTACCGGTACCGGTAGCATTGTACCCCAGATACGGAGAGCGCGGCCATTGGCGGCTCTCCACGAAGTCCTCGATAAAAGGGTCGTACGTCACATTGCCTTTTTCTGCTTCCAAGGCCTAAGCTCCGAGCCTGCAATTATAGCGTACACCAATTCTATCAACTATGTGCTTTCTGGATAACGACTCTCGCCCCGACGCGATACGGAAGCCACCATAAGAGGGCTTTAAGCTTTAAAGAATATGTGCCGAGTGGGCTCCCCGGTTCCGGACGTGTCGTTGGCAATGCCCCGTGGCATCGCAGCGCTTGTAAACATCAGAGCTCGGTACGAAAGGCGGCCTCCAATGCCAAGGTGTTGACGTAGTTACTGCCGATTGATCAGCTGCGCGACTCGGGCTACGCCGTCCGCGTGCTTGAAAAAAAGTTGGGCGTTGAGGGGGTAACTGCGTTCCACTCGCAAGCTCCTTCATGCATGTAACCTCACAATGGCTAAGCTTATAAGATTAGCATGTTGCGATAAATTAGCTTCCTGATTGAGACTGTGTCTAACGGTACTTAAAACAAAGCCGTTTGGAGGTGCCCTACATTAGTTTCAGGCTATTATGCGGGCCAGGGCTTTTTCGTGTGGCTTGAGATCGCTTACTTTCGCTCAAAACGCTACCCAAGAATTAGGTGTACCCAGCATTTGGGCTACATATCGGTACTAGTACCGGGTCCGGGTATTATAATATAATAAATAGTGCAAACCAGTCGACACTATCACTACAGAGTGATGGGTCAAGGCGGCACGTGTCGCTCAACTGCACTTGCACCACAGCCTCGTATACGAGCCCGAGCAGCCTGCTCTTCGTCGGCTTCTCCGGCTCCTCGCCCAACACGAGTGACCGCGACGTCACCTCGTCCCGCGGATCGCACTCCTGCCTCCGCCAGCCTAAAACAAGTTCCTCAACCGAGTACACACAACGAAGAAAGTCAAACAATTTTATTTAGCATAGTTATATCCAATGTAATAGAGAGTTGATAGGTCCCATAGCTAAGTCCTCAAGTCACCTACTAACGTTAATCTAAAACCAAACCAACGACGTTGTGCCCAACGCCGCTAGGAGCTTATAAACTAATAATTTCTTGGAGCCTCCTCGGGATGTCGTGCAAGTCGATATCTGCGTTTGCCCGGACACGTCACGCGAGAAAGAGGAGCCTCATGATCCGGTGTATAGCTATTCGATGGAGATTTGACGCGAAGCGCATTTTGATTGTTCGATGCCGATTCGCCAGACATGGCTCTCGGTCGCTTCCTGCTGTACTACAGTAATAGTATGGAGACATTGCTTTGCTCTAATAGGTATCGGTATTGGGCATCTTTTAGTGTGCATTTTCATGGACACGGAAGCGAAATGGATACAACGTGGGCACGCGAGAGACATCCGCGTGCTGTTCAACTCATCAACTCAAAGCGGCAATAGGCTCAGTTCCTCTCCTGCGCAAAACCGACGGCGTTCACAGCTCATGAACAACCCTAGCCGAACCGCCAAGATTAGGATGCCCTGAAGCCACCAACGCCGTCTAGTGCTGGTACACGCTCTTGATCACACCTTGCACTCACTGTCTCGCGCAGCTCGCCAGCCATCCTCACCACGTGGCCCTCCCACCAAAGAGCGTGACCAATGGTGTGATCAAGACGCAATTTATGGCTCTCATGCAAGTCGCGCAGAGCTGTCGCGCGGTGGCACAATGCACCACGGCACTTGACGCAGCGCTGCACTTCAGGAGATGCTAATGAGCTGCGGCGTTCATGGTAACGCTTCTTGCCGACGAGCAGTTCAACTCCGAGCTGTGTCGCGTGGCTACCCACACCCCTCTCACGAAGCCAAGCGTCGTCCGGTGTTATAACACCAGCGTCGCAAGAACTTGAAGCAGACCGTGTACTTGCGATACAAACTTCAAGGTTAAACATGACGACGATCGCCACGTCGCTGGGTCCGCGGGCTCTATGCACCACACATCAATAGGCGCCGTGACTTCGAGACGTTTCTCTACGGCTGCCCTCCTTCAGGACGTGCCATTTCTACGCGCCCGCGCATAAACCCTTCACGAGTCAAAGACTTTCGAACCCAATTGTCGCTCGCAGAACCGAGCGTCTTCCCCAGTAGTATAGCCGCCGCCTTTGATTCGGCGCCCGCGCGAGACACGCATTGCCATCATCGATGCGCTGAAGCTCGGGTTTGCGGGTTTGCGCAGCACGAGGCCAACGACAGGGCGCATGCAGGCCGGGGGGTCGGCTGTAACGCGTTATAACACAGCAACTCGCTGAAACTCCACGACTCGCGTTGTGCGACATGTGTTATAACGAGAGGCAACCAGTCAGTCAGTATAGATTTGGTCCGTTAACAAGAAAACGCACGTCTGCTATAAAACGTGGCCAACGACATGGACCAATGAAACCGCGTTCGGGGACTTACTAAAAATAGCCGCCAATCATCGACTCGATCAAGCCAGATGCAACCCACCAATCGTAATGCGCCATACCGTGCGATGTGCCATGCGATTGGCGCCTGGGTTTCTCCGCACCTTTGATTGGCCAAGGTGTTGCCAAGAGAGACGCGCATGGTCGCGTGTCTATACTGCGCATACAAACGCCAAGAGGCTGCTTCGGTGCAAAATCACGGCTCGCGTCTGCTGCATTTTCTTTGTGCGTTCTATCTTTTGGCTCTCTGGCAGTATTCTCGACTTTGGCGAGTGGTTCATAGCAGCAGACCAACAGGACAACGATGATGACATCACAGGCCGCACCGGCGTGGACGCCTGTCTCCCACGCACCAGCGTCTGTCTCGACGATCGCCATTCCGATCGCGCTGCGGCGCGAAATCCGCGCGCGAATCGTCCAACTCCTTCAGCAACGCAGCCGTGCGTCGGCTGCGTCGACCGGGCACCTCCAAAAGGTCGCCGCCCGCATTGACAACCGGTTGGTGCAGCTCGCGGGTTCCTGCGCCGAGTACCAGGACCTTTGCACGCTGCCCAAGCGTGTCCATGCGAGCGCGCTCGAGATTTGTGACGCGCTGGCGAAGAAGCGCCCGGCCGAGGTTGTCGACGAGTCGCGCAAGCGCCCACACCACATGACGTACGCCAACGACGGCGAGGGCAGCCCGCGCGAAGGCTATTCGTCGGACGAACAGTCGTCGCCGGTGCCGATCCAAGGCGGCGTGCTCGTCCAGAAGAGCCTCTCGCGCTCGTACTCGCGCCGCACGAAGGCCAAGCTGAGCCCGACGCCCGTGCCGCGCTTCAACGGCGTCATCCCCATGTCGCTTCTGTGCACTCCGATTTGCACGGAGCAGGAGCGCTTGACGCTGACGCTGTCGATGGACACGCTCGGCGAGATGCTCTCGGGCCAGCGTCCGTTCCTTCCGGGCTTTACGAGTGTCGAAGTGCTCACGATCCAGCCGGCGTCGGTCAACAACTTGTCGGCATCGACGGCGATCTGCCACGCATTCGCTTCGTTTCTCAGTGGCGGCGGATGCCGCAGTGTCAAGTCGCTGACCATGTCGGGCATCTTCCCGTTTTCTGGCGCCGTTCGCTGCAGCACCCATTCAACTCTTCTCTTTGACGCGTTTGCGAGCGGTGCGTGCCCGAACTTGACGCAGCTCCACTGCAAGGGCAACTCTCTGGGTGACGCCGGCGCGACGGCCATGTGCCTTTGGCTGGCCAACGCCTCGAGCAAGCTCGACACGCTCTCGCTTGTGGGTAACCAGATTGGTGACGCGGGCGTCTTGGCGCTCGCGTGGGCCTTCTCGCGCCGCGGCGGCACGATCACCACGATCGATCTCGGCCAGAACGTCATCCAGGACAAGGGCGCAGGTGCGCTCGCCGCAGTCTTCAAGTCGGGTGGCTTCTCGTCGCTGCAAGTGCTGCACTTGCGCAACAACTCGATCGGCGCCGCGGGCGCCAAGTGTCTTCTCAAGGCGATCCGGTCGTCGCCCGAGCGATTGCCGCTGCGGGAAATGAACATTGACGCGTCCGTGCTCCAGCAACTCCAGCGTGCGGCGTGAGCACGTATTATTTTATTTTAATTATTTTGAAGCAAATGGCAATATTAGAATGTAGTTTTTATCTCAATCTTTGTATCCTTGTCTTTGCGCCGTGTTGAAAAAGACGCCAACGGCGACCGCTGCGTGGCTTTGTCTCGAGTAGCTTGGTGCGTGGCCGTGCGACGACCTCGCTGGCCCCATGCAGAGACCTGCCGTCTGGCCATCATATCAAACACATCATGCAGGAAGCTCCACGAACACCCGCAGAAGAAGCAAAGGAATGAGCCAACATCTCGTCGGCGTATCTGTACTTCAAGCGTACGATGACATGCAGCACATGGTAGAACGAACTAGTAGTTGCAGCATCAGCTACAGCTCGAAACTCGCGCGGGCCTCGGCATCGCAGAGCTCGTAGATGGTCGAGCGCAGCTGGTGCAGCCGGTCAGGAGCTGTGCTAATGGCATGCGTGTGCCACGTGCCAGCGTCGTGGCGGCGGAGCGTCTTCACGGGCACGATTATGCGCACGACACCTACGCCATGTAACCATGCGCTTGAATCATAATGCTATGATCTTTACTCGTGACAAAGGCGGCTTCCCACGTCGCGCTCTCTTCCAGAACAGGGGGCTCGTGCACGACCGGAATGCGAAGGCGCTCGCACGCTCGAAGCACAAGCTCCCGTGTGCTGCCAAGCAAGACGTCATCGCCCGCGGTGCAGAGTCGGCCGTTTTGCACTACTCCATCACATCGCACGTTAGTGCAAGACGAGGAGGGGTGGGCTCACATACAAACAAAGAAGTTGGTGATGAGGCCTTCGAGGAGCCGGTGGGAATCACTCGTAGCATCCCGTTGACTCAAGAGCACTTCGCCAAAGCTACCAAGGCCTAGCTCCGCTGCCTTCTCTGCGGCCGCGGCCTCGAGGTACTTGCGCTCGTCAATCCAGCTGATGTGCTTGACGCGCGGGTTTTGCCGGGCAGGCCCCAACACGAGCACGTCAACGGCAGTGACTTGGGGCACTCCATTGTTTGCATCGTCCACGAAGCTCAAGCCTGGCATGGCACACACGTGGATGTGATGACGCCCATTGACGTTCACGATGGTGATCATGAGGTCCTTGGTGCTGGCAGCTGCGCCAAAGGCGTCTGTGGCGGCGCGAGCAATCTCGCCGGGCAGCGCGTCGCCTTGGGATGCGTCCAGTGCAAGGCGCGCGCGATGAAATGGCCACATGCACACACGCCCCTGGCGCATGCGAAGGCACGTGTACTCTCCGCCCGACTCGATCCAAAAGCTCGTAAGGAACTCCTTGGGCGTCATCGTCGCCGTGTTGCAATCTGCGTCACAACACTATTTGATAGTAACAACATTATTTCACTAACTTTATTTTCGGTATTCTAAATATAGTAATACACATTAAATACCTGTGTACACGTATATAGTGTTATTTGAAAGGAAGTAGTGTATTGCACTGGAAATCGAATGCGTGGATTGGCTAAAAATACAAAGATTGCCAATCATAGCATGGGTTTCAGTTGGCAGTTGGCAGAATGGAGACCGCAGCAGCGCTCGACGACGTGCTTGCCATCGCCATGACGAGCCAAGACAGTTGCATCGAGATTCGCATCAAGACGCTCAATGACCACAGCTTTGCGCTGCAGGTCCGCCCCGGCATCGCAGTGAGCGAGCTCAAGGCGATGCTGCAGACGACGACGCAAGTCCCCGAGCATCGCCAGCGGCTCATCTACCGAGGTACGCCTGTATTACGCTACTAGCATCTGAGCCCTCGTGCAGGCAAGCTCATGAAAGACGCCGATCAACTCGCCGCGTACAACGTGGAAGATGGGCATACGCTGCACCTCGTGGCGAAGCCCGAGCAGATCTACAGCGCCGACGGTACAAGTGCGTCCGAGACCGAGCCGCTGCTGCCGCCCTCGCGCAATGTATTGCGTTCCCAGTTGCGCCCGCGGCAGTCGCGACTCGACTCGGCGGCAGCGTTCGCCTCGATGCGCCGGCGGCTCGGACTCGACGAAGATGGCTCATTGCTTTCGGACGCACTCAACTTTAGACACGCTCGGTCGACCGCGTCGCTGCCCAGCGACGCCGACACGCGTTTGGATTTGACGCCCGAGCCCGAGCCCGAAGCCAGACCCCCGGCCGTCGTCCATGATGTACATACGCGAACGTACCTTCTGTGATGCTACTCACAGCGTACCGTAGCCGTTCGAGCACATTGAGCAAGGACTGCTAACGATCCGCACTCTACTGTCGACAGCGGCCTCTGCGACACCACCTGCCACGACGGGTGCAGAGCGGGGCGCAACGCTGCGCGCTCGCCGCGTCTTTTACGTCGGCCAATGGCTCGACGTCAAGGACACGGTCAACCAATGGCTCGAAGGCACCGTGCTCGAGCTCAGCGCGACGCACGTCCTCGTGCACTACCACGGGTGGCCCACGCGCTGGGACGAGTGGGTCGAGAAGATCTCGCCGCGCCTCGCCGCCTTTCGGACTCGGACACTACATCCGACGGGGTCGCCCTTCCAGAGCCCGACACCCATCGCGCGCTCGGCGCGGTCGACGCCGCCGCCGACGGCACGCTCGCTTATGCCACAGATTCGCGATGCGCTCCGAGACATGCTACCGTATGTCGACCACCTCGCCATGCTCTGTGACGAGCCCGACGCTACGCCAGCACTCGCCGAAGCCGCCGACGTTGTCGGCTCCCTCTTTGATCGCGTCGGCCGCGTTCTTGTCGACGCCGCCACGCACGTGGAGAGCCTCGCGTCGCCCCACCGCATCGACAACGACGGTATCTTGTGACGCTCCATTGGTGCTGACGTCACGGATGCGACGTGTAGCGTACGTCTCGCCTCGCAGTGCCTCGCGCCGGGGCAATACTTCGACCGACTCGACGTTCCGAGAGCTCATTGTAGATGGAGGGCATTTGCACTGGCGTGATAGCTTGTGTATGCTGTGTGTAGGCTGTGAGCAATCCGCTTCTCGAGCCACCAGCGCCCCGCCGCAACATTGATGTGCACATCCACGCGATCTTGGCACCGCCGCCGATGCCGCCGTCGCTCTTCGACCACCCAGGTGGCTCTACCGTGTGGCGAGTCCTGCCGTCATTTTAACACTGTAGATCTTGTCGAGTCGGAAGCGCGGTGGCGCGAGCTCACGGAGCGCATGCAGGCGTCGCTCCAGCGGTCGCTGCTCTCGCCTGGCATTGAGACGTCCATGCCCCTTGTGGAGACACCGTCTCTCCTGGGTCCGCGTCGACGCCCGTCACGATACCCGAAACGATGAGTCGCAGCTCGGTGCCGTCGTTTCTCGACGTCCTACAGCGTACAATGCCACCGCTGCGCCCTGTGATGCGCAACTCCTCGGAGGCGGCGATCGCGCGTGCCTTGTTTAACGAGCTCCCACTTGCCGAGTCCTCGTCGCCATAGACGCCGACTCGATTTGTAGTTAGTGTAACGCGGCGTCTGGCTCAAGCAAGAGCGTCTCTGGCTACAAACACAACGACTCGCGTGTTACGGTGGTAGTAGATCATGTCGAGAGCGTACTTGGAGCTCGTGCACTTGGACGCGAAGGACGGCAATGGTGTCGTGGGCGTGGCTGAGCTGCTTGCGTAAATCGAGCACGAGTTGGCTGTGTTCGCGCACTAGGTGGGCTTCTACGGCACGCACTCGATGGCGTCATTGCGACAATCAGGAAATTTACCTTTTAAACGCATCTTCTCGAGCCGCACCGACATGACGTAGCGCGCCCACGAGACAAACGCGATCCGAGCTTGACCGCGCTTCGCAAGCACTTTGCCTAGAGTGCTGGACCCTGAGGACTCGAGGTACTACAAGTCCTGTATACCTGTGATCTCGGCAGCTTTTTCCGCCAGCCGATCTTCCTTCTTTGTGCGCGTGTACATCTTCCACGCTTGGAAGACAGACCCAACGTTCTGGAACGTCGACTGGATGAGTTTGCGCAAGACCGCTTGGTGTTTTCGAAACTCTGCGTCTTTCTAGAGGATCATTTAGATGACGGTGTTGCCAAGGATCAATGTCACTAATACCTTGGTGGCTTCGAGGCGCAGCTGCGTAAAGTACGGGGCCTTGGCGAGGAAGACGCTCAGTGTGCGCGGAGGCGGCAGGTGTCCGCCTTGGCGAACCCTGGTCTCGCATTCGTCGTCGTCGTTGACAAAAATGAGGTTCCAGAGCTCGTCGACGAGACGCAAGATCGTGGGGGCATAGCGTCGGCAGCTCTCGGCATTGGCGAGCGCCAAAGCGACACGCTCGACAAGGCTACACACCACCTAGTCCTCTTCTTAGACGGTTGTTGATCGTGGTGTTGCTCACCGCGGCCCGGAATCGGTTCATTGGTGTCGCAAACTTGCTCGAGAGCACGAGCGCCTCCTTGAGCTTGACCTACTCGAGCGTGCCGCGGCCATTACGACGTGGAGATCGGTATGTACCTCGACAAAGGCGCCAATGGAGTCGTACTGCAGCACATCAAACTCGTACGTAGCGAGCCATTCGTCGAGCGCCAACGGGCCAAAGCGAGGATTGTTCGCAGGTGACGCCACCTGCGCGATCTACTCGCAAGCGCTAAGACGACCTTTTGATCGTTACTTGGAACACACTGCGACGGCATGGACACGTCGGTCAGGGTGCCGGTGCTTGCGTTTGGAGATGGGGGAGGCCACCCGAGGTGCATCCCACGGAGCGTGCAAAAGTGGGCTATATCGTCAGTCACATGCAGCATCCATCTACGATCCGGCAGCGCTTACATAGATGACGTCGACTGGGTCTTGGGCCGTGGCGTCCGCGGCGGCGGTATCGAAAACGACCCGTGGTGTGTTGTCGTCGTCGGCGCCTTTAATGGGTCCAAGGCCGCGTTCGACGACCGCTCGCTACATAATTGTGGCATCGCGCCTCGTGCTTCTCGATGCAATGTCATCTACCAAACAAAGCTTTCCGACGGAAGCACGGGCTCGAGGGATCGCTGGGGAATACTGCCGTGGAGCTCGATGGATTGGTGCGACTAGAGCGATATCGCGTGTTGCTATCGACGAGCCACATACCTCGGGCATCGATCGGCGCAATCTTCGGAAAGGCGCCACGTCGTACACGCCGCTTTGTACGGCCACCGTACATTGCGAAACCACCGGTGGCACAAGTCTTTGCATCGGAAGCACCGTTTCATTCTTCTACTGCGACGACAACCGCCCGTCAACTAGAAAGCGAAGCGTCGGATCTTTCTCGAGATACCGGTGCAAGATTCGACGAGCACCACATCATGGATACTACTGCGGCAGTACCCCACGCTGAGGTACATGGACTACCAGGTACACTACGAGCACGCGGCGTGTCGAACGATCTGCAGAAGTACCCGCTTGCAGCAATTTCATCCACTCGGAAGTCGGTCTATCCGCAAAGTGCACTTACATGGACGATCCCATCGTCGTCCGGAGGCGGCTGCATATTGTAGTATCTGCGTCGTCTTGTCCGAGCTCCAACGCTAGTCGCGGCCAGTAATGCCCCCAATGCGGCTTGTAGAGTTGACGCGCTGACGTGGCACGTGCAGAAGGCGGTGATAACGCCACGTACATTGCGTCTCTGCGCTAATGTACGGAATGTACGCGCGTACGAGTGGCCAGCGTGGGACGGAAGAACCTGCGAGACTCGATGCGCGCTGGCCCAGCGGTTTCAGAGCGCGGGGCGCCCGGTGAAAATTATAAAGTCTCACGAGGAGCAAACTAGTCATTTGCTTCCCCTCGTGTGGCCCCAAAGATGACCGACGCGATGCACAGCTACGCGTCGCCCGGCGGCTACAGCGCCGAGTACGACGACCAGGACGTCGAGGACTACGGCAACCACCATGGCCACTCGCAGCCGCCGGACGCCGTCAAGCTCTTCGTCGGCCAAGTCCCGCGCAACATGGAGGAGGCCGCTCTCCGCCCGATCCTCGAGGCCTTTGGCCCGCTCTATGACATTGTCATCATCCGGGACAAGGTCAGTGGCACGCACCGCGGCTGCGCCTTTGTGACCTTTTGCTCGCGCGATGCGGCGGACGCGGCGATCGAGACGCTGCACAACCAAGTGACGCTGCCCATGTCGTCAAACCCGCTGCAAGTCCGACCGGCCGAAGGCCAGGCGGGTGGTATGATGCATCCTCGCAACGCCTCGCTGAAATACTCATGCGTCTCTATCTGTCTATAGCGTCCCAAGAGCACAAACTATTTATTGGGATGATCCCAAAGCACGCGGACGAGTCGAGCATCCGCGAAGTGTTTGCCTCGCACGGTCCGATTGAAGAGATCTACATCTTGCGCCACCCGGCGACGGGTCAAAGCAAGGGCTGTGCGTTTCTCAAGTACAAGGACCGCCACGCAGCCTCGGCGGCCATCGATGCCTACAACGGCACGTACACGATGGTACTAGCCGCATCCAATCCCCTCTTCGTACCGCTAACTTGAACGTGGATAGGAACGTGGTACGGCGCCGCTGGTCGTCAAGTTTGCCGACAGCCGTCGCCAACGCATTCAGCGTGCACGCAACCAAGCTGCCACGGCCGCCGCCGCGTACTGGCAGCTTCCGCCCAACGGCACGATCCCGTTCCCGCAGCTGCAGCAGATCCAGCAGCAGTACATGCAGCAGATGCAAGCCTTTGGGCCCAAGCCCTCGCCGGTCAGTCGTCGCCGGGTGCGTCGCCGTCGCCGGCAGCCAACCCCGCGGCGTTCATGTACTACAACCCGTATGCGTTTGCTGCGGCGAGTGCGTACCCATCGTTTCCCGCCGGCGCCGCGCCGCCGTTCCCGCTGGACGCGTTGGCCAGCGCCGTGCCGTCGGTCGCAGCAGTCGCAGCGGCGTCGTCGGGCGCCCGCGCCGCGACGCAGTTGGAAGGCCCGGCCGGCGCCAACCTCTTCATCTACCACCTGCCGCATGACTTGACGGACGCCGATCTCGCGACAGCGTTCGCGCCGTTTGGCACGGTCATTAGCGCCAAGGTCTTTATGGACAAGAACACGGGCGAGAGCAAGGGCTTTGGTACGTCGTCCACGATTCCAATCGACTCTAACGCGATGCAACTAGGCTTTGTGAGCTACGACTCGGTGCAGGCCGCGGACGCTGCGATTGCGAGCATGAACGGGTTCCAGATTGGCTCCAAGCGGCTCAAGGTCCAGCACAAGCGTGTGCACCACCGCGACGAGTATGGCGACGACGACGAGAGCGGGTTGGACCACGCTGTGCACAGCCTGCGCTTAGACGGATAGCTCGACGACTACCTTAGCTTAGATGCCGCGTGTTTGTCAGTGTGTCTGGTTGGCGTGAGTCCGGCGCAGTGGAAGAATACAGTATGTTTGGTATGTACACGACTACGACCACTTGGCGATCGCGCCAAAGACAGCGTACCCCGAGCAAAGCAGAAGCGTCTTCTGGAGGCTCGACTTGCCGTGTGAAAACTCTTGCGGAATGATCTCCATGACAGCCACGTAGATGAACGTCCCGGACGCCAGTGCGAGGCAGATACCCGCCGCCGCCGACTAAAGACAGAATGAGAAGGGATGATGGAGGCGGCACATACGTCTTCGGACGACTCGGCTGCGTTCACGGCCCAGCCAATGATGATGCCAAAGATGCTCATGAGCGAGAAGAGGAGCATGTAGCTGACAAACTTGGTCTTGTTCATTTGGCTCTTGAGCATGCCCGAGCCGAGCGCAAAGGCAGCGAGGCCCTTGTGGATGATGATTGCGAGGAAGACGCCCCACGCCGGCTGCGACTGGGCGCCAATGCCAAGGCCCTCAAGCACCGAGTGGAACGAGAGCGCGACAAAGAGCACAAAGGCCACGGTGCCCGATGCGTTCCTACATGAGCATGAGCGGCAAGTGAATTACGAAGCCACGTACTTGTCGAACGCAATGTGGTCGTCATGAGACTTTTTCCGGCCTTTCTTGGCCACGGATGGCGTCGCGGCCTCGACTTGCTCGAGGAACGGCGCGCTGTCCATCTTGTGATCGTCGCTGTCCTCGCTCGTCGTGTCGTGGTCGCCTGGGCATGGCCTTGCGCCTGCAGCGCGTGCGCGAGCTGCTCGACGATCAAGACGCCGAGGAAGCCGATCGTGCAAAACATCTCTGCATATGGGAACGCATACGCGCCTTCGTCCATCGTCGACCAGCGCGCGAGGCCCGGGTTCTCGATCGCCGCATGCAGCAGGTGCATGAAGCCGCCGGCGAGGAAGACGCCACCGCTCATGCAGTTGAGCTGGCTCATGAGCACGCGGTTGCGCTGGCGGATGAAGAAGGGCAGGACACCGCCAATGAAGCCGACGACCCATATGCTTACAAGGGAGACGAGCTTGAAGAGCGCGAGGCCGTCCATGCTTGCTGCAAGTTCTGCTGTGGTGGTTGCAGTATAATTCTAAAATTCAATGTTGAATACAAACATCGAGTACAATGCATTTAAAAGCATGGCAGAGCAAGATCGCTGCCTGGACGTAAATAGTGTATGATAGGAAGGTGGTCGATGGCGTCTTGATCGACGAGGGTATGAACATGATCCTTACAAACTTGCACCGACCGCAGCAGTAAGCTACATAGCTATACCGACACGTCCCGTGCTCTTGTGCTCCTACGACGAGAGGGGCTTTACAAGACGATGGATCCGGCGTGCTGGATGGTTCTGACAGAATATAATGTGCTGCCCATTACACATGAATTAGTATGCAATCCGGATGATACGGATTATCTGAACGAGATTGGATTGGCAACCGCGGTACGGTGCAACCAAGATGGTCGACGCGGACGTCGACGAGATCGGCTTGACGCCGGAGCAAGTCCTTCACTTCGTTGAGCATGGCTACGTCTTGCTCAAGAACGCCTTCTCGCGCGAGACAGCGGCCACCTGCCGCGAGTTCCTCTGGGAGCGCATCGCCGCCGATGGCATCGACCGCCACAACTCGCTCTCGTGGCCCGAGAAGCATTGGATCTCTGGTGTCGTCGACGCGCTAGTATTGCAGCCGCTCATCCCATCTTCGTAGAGTCCTACAACGAAGAAACGGGCGGCCCATGGGCGGACGTGCTCTCGCCTCGCTTGAAGCGAGCCATGGACCAGCTCTGCGGCAAGGACCGGTGGAACCCGGCCGACCTCACCTGCGGCTGGTACGTTGATGCCATAGGAGTCGATTGGCCCTACGCAACGACCGTCTAGGTGGGTGCTAACGTTCCCGGGGCATGCGATGCTGCCGTGGGCACCCGCGGGGCACTGGCACGTGGACGGTGCGAGGTACTTTGACTCTTCTTCTCTTCTCGCGTGCCAACGCTCTCTCGCGTAGATACATTCACCACGTCGATAGCAAAGAGTCGGGACTGCTGCCCATCTTCCTCTTCAACGACATTGGCCCGGGCGACGGTGGCACGGTGGGTGCGTCCGATTCCTCACCGCGACTCATACGCAGCACAGGCCATTAGCCCTCGCTCTCACAAGCATGTGGCCCAGATGCTCAGCAAAGTGGGGCCCAACGGCATGCGAGGTGCATTTATGCGAGCGACTAGCATTATCATGCGCTCATCATGCATTCGCGGCAGGCGGCAAGGTCAGCGCGACGGCCAAGCCGTGGGTCGCCCGCCACAAGGACGAGTACGTCGAGGTAAGTCACATCGTCTCTAGCGTCGGACGCGTGCAGATAGATGCGATGGTGTAGACGCAAGGCAGTGCTGGCGACGTCATGCTGACGCACCCTTTTCTGATGCACGCGCGGAGCAAGAACTGTGGCCACGAGGTAGATCTTTATGGAACGGAAACTCGACGCATCTCCTCTGCGTGCAGGTACGCTTCATGTGCAACCCCAACGTGGGCCTCAAAGAGCCCATGAACTTGGCGCGCGACGATGCGTCCGAGTACTCTGCCGTCGAGCAAGCCATTGTCGACGCCATTGCGGCGGCGCCCCAACCGACGAAGCCGCAGCAGCAGAAGCGGAAACGCGACCAAGCGTGACCGAGCCAACGTAGGACTAGTACATTGGGTAGTTACGACCGGCAGGATAAGACGATTTTCGAGACGTGATTAATGGTGGTGGTGCTTCTTGAAGCGAAGACCACAGTACTTGCACGCCTGGGGTTCGTGGGACACAATGTCGAGGGCGATGTACTCGAGCGGGTGGCCGAGAGCGCCACCGCCGCCGTCGCACACGGCCGTGTCGCCGTCAACCTCGATAACCGGCACCTGGGCGATGCGGATCTCAGCGTCACTGTGATGGCGGTTGATGTCCTACAGGTCGACATTCATGAGACCCCCGAGCTTGGCCTCGTTGGAACGCGGACCTCGAAGGGCGTCTGGCCCTTGTAGATCGTCGACATGCGAGCGACCTGGCTGCGGAAGACGAGCGAGCGGACGGCCTTGGGCGCGGCCACGGAGCGCATGGGGGCGCGGAGGACGCGCAAGACTTGTTGACAGCCACGCATTTTAACCAACTGGCGACCTAAAGGGCCGTGTGGGAATTTTGTCCAATCAGAAGCGCCGATTCGGCTTAGGCGGACCCGAAATTGGATAGAAACACGCTACCTTGGCCGGCGGGACCAACGTACAAGAGAGAGAGACCACAAAGACGTCCCTGGAACCACTAAAAACATAGACATAACGATGGTACACCTCGTTAGTCTGATCGATACCGTGTCAAACCGATTTTTCTACATCGCATGCAGGGCTCCTATCCATCACATGGCGGCCATGACTGCGTGGGTTTAGACAGCGTGAAGCGGCACGACGTGCTGCTTCTTTGACAAAAAGGGTGTCACGTGACGAAAGGATGTTCCCGCCACTTGCGCTTCCCTTCAACGTCAACGCAAGTCCCTTTGATTCACCGTGCGAGAGACCGCGAGGATGATAGAGAATATATATTCTCAAAGTCAACACCCTCTTCCAACAGCTATGCTCGACAGACTGTGCGATGCCCACGGTGAAGTGTCGGCCGCTTCGTAGCTGTCCCGAGTGGGCAACAATCAAACGGGTACTAGGAGCAACGCCCGAAACGCTCACGGCATCTCCTCACCTGCGATTGCAGTTGGCGTGGCCGTAAACAGGCGGCGACGATACTAGAGTATGAACAATGACATGGCGCAGCAAATGCAAAAGCTCTACGAGCGCAAGGCCAAGGATGTCGAGTCCAAGCTGCCGTGGTACAAGTACGTCCATCTCGCTTGTTGTCAACTGGACTGCGCAAATGCTGTAGAAACCCACTCAAAGATTATGACGTTGCACCGGCTGTCGTGCTTGACAAGCCCTTTGATGCACCGTCGGCCGACTTTCTCAAGCTGCCAAAGGCGACGCGCCACACGACGACGCACGCCATGTTCCCCGAGCACGACGAGGTGCGATGCGCGATGGAGGCACGTGCCCAGAAAATGCCATCGCCTCTGCGAGTAGCCCCGCTTGCAAGCAAAGCTCAAGCCCACTGCGACGTTTCCGAGTAGTCTCTCGCATCGCAACAGTCCCGTTCTGACAGACGAGAGCAAGGGGACGAGCCCCAAGCCGACGATTGATACCAAGTTGCGCTACCGCGGCCGTGTGAGCTGGGAAGCCAACCTTCTGGACTCGAAGTCGGAGGCGAGTCGTATGCAGGGCACGTCGCCACTTCATAGCCCCAAGAAGGCGACAACGCAGTTGAGCCCGCTCAAGAGCGTGCTTCAGCACAGTGTCGGCAAACCCGTGCCCGTCGAGTCGGCCGAGCGCGACCAGCTACTGCAGCACATGCTTCACCACGACGACGAGATCGACACCCTCCTCTCCAAGTTTGCTGTCGCGCAAGCGACAAAAGTCGGTGCTCGCGACATGGCCGTCGCTGCGTACGAGGCCAGAATCCGTTGCGATCCTTTTCATTCATGGATCCTCGTGCTAGGTATGCGGCACGCCCCCACGTGTACACCTTTTGGGACCCACCCCCCGCAGTTAATACCGAGGTGCTTCCTCCTCCCTCTGGGGTAGACAGATGAGCTCAGGTTATGGGCGAGTAGTTGGACCCGTCGGCGCCGTCGACACCGGTCGTGGCCCGGCGTCGGTTTGCCCTCCAAGTCGACAACTCTGTCTCGGACGACGAAGATGACGACAAAGACGAGGAGGAGGCCGACGACGATGAAGAAGCCGCCGTCCAAGACCAGCTCAAGGCCGCGTACTTTGGGTCACCGGCCAAAGACAAATTCATGCCACGTACACATCCGCCGTCTTGATCCTTTCCGTTGTATCAAGTGGATGGTACAATGGTGTAGATACACCAAGATGCACCACAAGACGCAGTGCTTCTCTGCGGTTGCGACCAAAGCGATTGCACCCGAGACGCTCGTGTCCGAGTACAGCTTCAAGCCTGTGGTGCACGCGCGCCGGGCCTCGCGCGTCGCAACTGAAAATGAAATCAAAATGTCGCCGCGGACGCTGTTTTTGAGCGACTGCCTTGCGTCGACGGACCTCCCGCTCGCGCTACCCCTCTTGATCCGAAAGCACCACACAACGTCGTTTGATTTCTCGTACCAGAGCCTCGGCGACAAGTTCATCGTGCAATTTGCCACCGGTATGCGCGTGTTTTTACGGTATATATCGTAAAATGCCGTTAGCGCTGCGGGACGTGCCGTTCGTTGAAGAAATCAACGTGTGCGACAACCGCCTCTCGGACCGCGCGCTCAACAAGCTCCTTCGCGCGCTCGAAGCCAAGCCGAATTTGATCAAACTCAACATTTCTCAAAACGAAATCGGCGTCGCATCCGCGTCGACGCTGAAACATTACATTGGGTCGTCGCTCTGCACAGTCACGCACCTGAGTATCTGCAATGCCGACATTGACGACCACGAGTGCGCGGCGTTCATGTCGGCGTTTGAAAGTACGTTCGGCAACAATATGTCCACTCTCTAATCGACACAATCGCGTCTAGGCAACAAATCCGTTGTGGACTTGCGCTTGAGCCGCAACCGCATTGGCGAGGCTGAGAACCTCAACGTCGTCCAGCCCAACCTCGTCACGGGCGGCGAAGCGATCGGAAATATGCTGAATGTCAACCTGACGCTGACGCACTTGGATCTCGCGTGGAACCTCTTGCGCCTTGCAAGGTCGGATTTTATATCTCCTTTGGTTTGAGGCAACATGCATGTTGCATCTAGTGGCGTCACGTTGGCGAACGCGCTGCGGCTCAACTACAACTTGTACGAGATCAACGTCGCGTACAATGCGCTCGGGGATGCAGGTGCTTTGACTCTCCACGCGCGTTTGGCTGTCAACCTGGCGCGTAGGAGCAATGGCGTTCGGCCAGTCGCTGGAAGTCAACAAGTCGCTGCGGGTCCTCAACCTCTCGTACAACAACATTCGCTGCAAAGGAGCGTCTGTGATCGCGTCGACGCTGTCGCGCACGAACGCGACGCTGCACAAGCTCATTCTCGACGGCAACAACATCGGGAAGGAAGGCGGGCGCATCTTGATGTACGCGATGGTGCACAATGGGACGCCGAGTACTGCCGTCGTCTTCCTCCTCTTCGCCTTATATCGTTATGCGCAGGTGGCTGCTCGATCTCGATGAAAGCGTGCAGCCTCAACGACCGTAGCAACCAAACGACGTTCGACCCGATGGAGCCCGGCGGCGTGTACTGCCTCAACTGCGCGGACCCGTACGAGAGTATGATTGCGCACGAGCTCTTGCGTCTCGCCGCGACAAAGCGCGGCTGCATCTTTACGCAGCTCCTGCACCGCCCGACGAAAGAGACACCGCTCAAGCAAGCGCATCCGATCAAGCTCGTGCCGCCACGTATGCTGCGCGACTGTTGACGTGATCAGGCCGGAAGACTGTTTTGTAGCGCAAACGCCCAAGAGTGCTCTGGACATTACGTTCACCGGCATTGACACGGACAAGTCGGGCACTGTCGACGTTGGCGAGCTCCAGACCGTGCTTCGAGAGCTTGGCTTTCATCCGACCCCCGCCCAAGCCCGTGTGTGCGAGGCGTGCAGAATGCTGTTTCATAGTCGTGTAGAAACACTATTTGAGCAAATGGACGCGGACCGCAGCGGCGCAATCGAGCCATGCGAGCTCACTGGCGACCTCTTTCGCGCCGTGTACCGTGTCATCGACGCGAATCAATCGGGGACCATCGATATGCACGAGCTACGCGCCGCCTTCCACGTGATCACACTATTTCACATCGAACATCATAGACACGAATGTACTAGCTGCTGGGCGCGGCGCCGACCGAGCGCGATGTGCAAAACGCCATGAAGATTTACGACGTCGACGGTAGCGGCACGATCGAAGAAGACGAGTTTGTCGAGCTCTTGAAAAACCAAGTTCTCTGCGCGTCGCCAAAACGCGAAATCTTACACTATTTGACGACGTAGGTGATTCAGCGGGTCCAGATGAACGCTCAGGACCGCGTTGTGGCGTCCATGGCACTGCGGGAAGAAGGCAGCGGCGTCGTGTGGAAGGTGCCGGCATCAGGCATCCTCGACATAACGTTTGCCTACGAGCGAGAGCTCATGAGCGAGCGCGAAACCATTGCATCGTACGGTGCGTTCCCTACCCCTAGAATCCGCCATGTCGCATCCTCGCGCAGGCCTCTCGGAGCGCGGCCTGCAGCAGCTCGTCAAGACTGTCGAAGCGGGCAAGGCAGAGCAGCAGCACCAAGAGCTCCTGGGCACCGCGGTACGACCGCTGTGAGAAGCGTGTGCCACAGATATATGTACAGGTCGATAATACGGAGATTCGAATGAGCGCGGAGCAGGCCATGGTCCTCATGGAGACCTGCGGCGAGCTCCAGGAGACGCGGCGTATCGGGAGCGTCGCCAAGATGCTGCCGCAGCTCGTCTCGAGCAAGGAAGCGCACCTGTTGGTCAAACATGTGTTGAACGTTCGCGAGCGCTACCACCTTCGGAGCCGCATGGGGTCTTCGTATTTCCCCATCATGGGGCTCCCCACAGCCAAGTACGAGTTGGACCTGAGTTGCCCGCAGGACCGTCAGGTATTGCGTTTGTTTCGTGTCCACATCTACGAGCATATATCGGTCGGGTGTAGGCGGTCCTAAAGCTCGCCGAAATCGCCCAAGCCGAGAAGCAATTTTCAAAAACCCGGTCTTGTCGCGGCGGTACGTCGTCGTCGAGTCGCCATGCGCCATCGGTTGTATAACGTGAACAGACACGTCCCAACACGGCAACTGGGAAAACTTTCGCAACGAGCTTCTCGACGGCAAGCCCGTCGTGCTCACGTCGGCGTTCTTCCAGGTTAGCCGCTTGCAATGGCAACGGGGGTGGCGGCATGCGAACGAGGATAGAACCTACCGGCCAAGGGCAAGCTCGAATTCGACTACATCTCGACGTCGCGGCCCAAGCGGGGCACCAAGCCCATGTCGACGCGGCGCTTTCAGCAGCTCGTGCTGCAGATTGGCCGCGAGAGCTCGATTGAGCTGCAGCGACCCAAGGTGCCGTTGCTGACGGCGCGCCAGCGTTGGGGTCTCGTACGCAACGCGGTTCGGCATCGCAAGATGAAGGCGTGGCTCCACCGCGTGACCGAGGTCGGCGCTTCGATGCTCGCTGTGCGCTTCAATATCGCGTAGGTGTTTCACATTCGGCACGTCACGGTCGAGAGTGTCCGCGACAAGCTCTTTCAGATCGAGACGGCCGTCGGCGACCGCTGGCTCTCGGTCAACCAAGTACGCGACGGACATGACGAACGCGAGTATGTATGTGTTTCTTAGGCGCACGAGATCATCGACTGCATGCCGACGCTGCACCATGGCAAGACGGAGGCGATCCGAGTCTTGTTTGCCCGCATCATTGACCTCGAAAACTTTGCCACCGTATGCGCCATCGTAGCGAGGGTGCGGGCATATGGAGCTGCTTGTAGATTTTGGACGCACTGAGCTTGCCAGAGCAGAAGGAGGTGGCGCGAAGCCTCGGGTGGCTCAACATTATGAATCCAAAGTTCCCCGACCGGTACTACGAGCTCGACCTTGCGGTGCGCGACGAACGCGAGCTTGCCAAGATCTACGTGGCGCTGGCCGTGACCGAGCCCGTACGCCGACGCTGCATCCACAGACTGCACACTCGAGTCGCGTAGGGCGAGAACTGGGTCAACGAGACCTTTGCGTGGCAGCGCGGCGAGCCTCCGATCCCTGGCTGGCAGCTGCCCATTAGCTGGACCAAGGTACTACACTTGTGAGCAGTGCATGTGTTGCGAGCTATGAAATCGTTTGACAGGACGACGGAGGACCGGAGGACGGTCCTCGGCGCGCGGGATGGCTTACGCTCGAGTACACGTCGGCGCCAGAGAACGGGTGCAGCCCCGTGTGGGCGATTCGCCAAGAGCTCCAGACAAGGGTTCTCTGCGGTACTCGCTTGTATCTCTAATCCGACTACCATACTCACATTGTCCACCACCTGTTGACGAAGACAATATTGTGTTGGTGAGGCAACACCAACACCGGCCTGAAATGGGCCCTTGGGTACGGGGTTGTCGTGAAACAAATCAGTTTTGAGCCTTGTCGCGATACCCGAGACGGCAGTGGACTGCATCGCCAAAGAAAAAGCGAGCAATGTTTGGTCGAATGCACGAGTTCAAAATAGGTTACTCGACGACGGTGGCTTCAGTGGGCTTGAGCTTTCCGCCAGCAACAAACTGCTGGTACCACACCTCGCTCTCCATGGATGCAAACTCAGCCGCGTTGAACTCTTCGTCGAGAACGCCGTAGCTTTCGCACGTCTCCATCCACGTATGACACTCCTACACGTATCGCAGCTCAATAAATCCATAGCCAACGCTGCAGCATGGACGCACCGCGGCGTTCACGTAGAGCGGGTGAGCGAATAGCGTCGCGAGGGGATAGCAACCGAACTGGTCGTGCAGGTGGTGCGCCGTGCGCAGCGTCAAGATGGTTTCGGCGGCGAGCGCGTCCTGCTTCTCGCGATGGCACTTGAGTTGCTCGAGGAGGTTCCGGCCAAGACAGTCGAGGAGCTTGGGCGCGCGCTCGTCGAAGGCGTCGAGCTCGTCCTCCATGCAGAAGCGAATCACGTGCTACGCACCATACGAGTCAGCATGCGATCCGCGCGCTGGAACGGGGTGTACATCGCATTTGGTCGTATCAAACTCGATCGAGAGCAGGACCTTTTTGAACTCGGTCGCGACAAAGGCGAGGTGGTCGACCCACGTCATGGCATCCTCGCCCTCTGCGCACATGAGAAATGGCGTGCAAGTGGACACAGGAGCGACGTACTCGGCACTTGAATCAGGAACGCGTTCATTTCAATGAGCGCGTTGTAGTTGTCGCCGAAAATGTCTATTTGCACGCCATTCAAAATGTGGTTTTTCGTTCGGATGACGTACCGTACGACTGCTTGAACGTGGTAAAGATCGTCATCGGGTCGTCCACCGACAGCAACGCCATGAGCTGCGCTTGGAGCAAAATGACCTCCGACATGTCTTCGGTCGTGACGCAGTCTTCTTCTTCGTCATCGCCAGCCGCGGCGCTGGCTATCATCGCATTCCGTGAGTTCATCGACTGAAGCGTCGCTGGACTACCGAGCACATCGTCGGACGACGTCGTGGGTTGGCCAAGTACATCGGCGTGGTGCTGAAGAAGATGCTTGCAAATACCGAGCGCCTACCGCATCCTTGATACGTCTATACATTGTAGCATCGAGAGGGAGGACCTTTTCTTGGAGCTGCCGGGGCGACTGCAGCGTCTCGTCCTCGTCGGCGCCATCTAAATCCTGTTGGAGCGATGGTGTCATAGTACAAAAGACGTACTCTCGAGAAGGTGCTGCACAAGGTGCGAGCCTTCCTTGAGCGCCTTGGCGTACTGGAAGTGGGACTCGAATGCTTCGGGTGTGTCCATGTCGACGGCCATCTGAAATTGTTGCAGCGCTGCCTCCAGGACTTGGCTACGACCACAAAACGTCGAGTCTTTTGGTAGCTACCGACTCGCATCGGAGACATACCGGTCTTGTTTCTCCGTCGCGACAATCATCGACGTACTGCCGTAGAGCGCCATGCCATACGGCCCCATCTCGTCCTTGCCGAGGAGCTGGAGTGCTTGTTCAAACTTGTCGACGGCGGCCTCGGCGAGCGTCGCGTCGTCGTTCTCGGTCGCAATGCGCGAAATCGCCGTGCCCCACATGCAGAGCGTGTTGCCCATCTGCTCGTCCGTCATGCCCGGGTGCGCATCGATGAGCGTCTTGAGCCGCTTGCCAATCTGCCACGACTCTGTTTGCGCATGAGAGCCAATATGCAAGTCTAGAAGGACGTACCGCGCGCGGTTGTGTCGCCTTGAAGCAGCGTGTTCACGCTCTCGATCTCGTCGTCGACCGACGCGATCTTGCGCTTCTCCCTTTGCCATTCATTCGCATCATCTTGGCGCCTTGGTTGTGGCAACGGCCAATGGCCGGCGCGCACCGAGGCGTATCCGGATGCGCTCCAAAATCGCGTGCGTGGCAGCCGGCCAGCGCAGGTCGGGTCTAATTGCACCCAACTCGTTATTCACTCTCCCACACCACACTCCAGGCTGCACCGGTGTTGCCTCAGGTAATAATACCAGGGGTCCCAAGCAGTATATATATCAACGTGTTCCGCGTTATCTTTATTACAAAGATTTCGCATACGTGGTCCCAAGTATAATATTGCTAGCACAAACAACGCACGTGCCTCTAAGGTCATGAATCCCCCTTTTGCGGTACTCGCCATGCTTGGGCAATTGCCAGGGGACTTCGTTCAGCTTGGTAGACCATGCGCTACAGTGTACGGCCGTTCCCATGCGATGGATCCTAGCAGCCTGTCGTCGTGTCAGTCCATCGTCGGAAGAACGCGATGGGGTCGTACCCTAAACCCGCTTCAAGAGCTGCAGGAACTTCATAAGATCGGCGGCGTCCACGTATCCGGATGTCGTGTGAGTTTGCATTTTGAAGGATGCTGCACGGGTCGGCTGTCGCACTTGGCGCGGGCGTCTGCGCGTGGGTCGGCTACATGGCGCTCGTGGCCAAGCCTATCGTCCTCTTCTCGTGGCATCCCGTCTGCTTCACGCTGGCGTACCTTCTTACAACGCCATCGTGCGTTGCTGCTTTTTTCCATCGGCCCGCTCCTCATATTGGACGTAGGGCACTCTTGGCCATGAGCAGTCGGCGCGCCGAAGCCAACTTTGCCAAGCGGTATGTACTCCATGCACACTCCCATGAAATGCATCCCGTCCCGTAGGTCGGCGCTCCTCGAGTGGCACGTGTACATGCAGACAGCGACAGTGCTGCTCATGGCGGTGGGCTTTGGCGCCATTTACGTCAACAAGGAGCGGAACGGATGGCCGCACTTCCAGACGACGCACTCGCTGGTCGGGTGCGCGGCCGTGGGTGGCTACCTCCTCAACTACGTTGGGGTACGTCAAATCTAAGCGTCCAAATCCTCTGCAAACGATCTGATTAGGGCGTGCTCAAGCGCGGCCAGAAGAACCCCAAGGACCTGCCGCATCGCATCGCAGGCGCGATTTCGTTTTTGCTTTCCGGTTGCACCTTCATCGCAGTCTTTTATCTCACGCAATGTAGGTGCCGCGCTCTGTCTCGGCTTTTACAGCGGCGGCTGGGGCAAGGCCAACTTTGGTCCAAACGGCCAACTCGCGGCGTGCGTCCTCGTTGGCCTCGTGCACGTGGCGACGGTCGTGCGCATGCTCTCGGCGCGGTCGGCTGCGGCCACAAAAGACGAGTAACCGACTGCTTTATACAGTCTCCACGCGATGCATTACAGCGTGGCTATGGTCGTGAATTCGGCGCCGGTCGGCGACAAGATGAGTTGGATGCTAGACACCGCGTGCGTCGTCGCGTTGAGCGTCGGAAAGATCTCATAGTCGAATTGCGTGTGCTTGATGAAGCTCGGCGCCAAGGACTGCAACAGCTCTCTACTCGCACGTGAGATCAAAAGTCGAGAAATGAAGCGGAAGGCGACCTGTACAGAATGACGTACGCGCCATCCATGTCCACGGGCTGGCCTTTCTCGGGCTTGGCATAAACGGCAAACATCTTGCCGAGCGCGTCGTGCTCCTGGACAGAGCATGTGATTTTTTCCGCGATTCCGAACGAGAGATGATGTATTACATGATGGTTGAGATGCACACCGCAGGCTTTGAGCACATGCTCGAAATGCATCGGCTCGGCCGTGCCCGTGTTCTCTTTGTCGTACGGACAGAAGAGCGCAAACACTTGCGACCACTCGATGCGAAGCTCCTTGTTGCAGAAGAGCCATAGGAACGACGCGACTTCGTGCCGAATGTGGTCCGAGAGCTCCCACAGCGGCCGCTCGTTCGCGTCGCCCACGAGCTCCGTCGAGAGCGGCGTCGTGGTCGGCGCCAATGTGACTTTACGACCGCTTTGAGAGCTGCCATAGTAGGCGCTCAGCGTCTCCTTCCGGCTAAGCGCGTTGTGAATGTCATATTTCACCTTTTCCCAGTCGCCAAAGGCTATGTCATGGCCAACCCTAGCCATCGTCGGACTTGTGGAATGGAAAGCTTACGTACCATTTGTCGAAATGCTCTTTCGCAAACACGGCGCGGGGGCTGTTGGTCACTTGTATCACGTGCCGGTTGCCGATGGCGTCCATGGGCAGTCGAAGAAGATCGTTGCGCGACTTGAGCGAAAAGCTTTTGCTAAAGAGGTTGATGGGATAGGTTTGTGTCTTGAGCCAGCCGTGGGCGTCAATCTCCATCGCAAGCGAGAAGACGTGCGCGGCCACATGCGCGGGACTCCCAGGTAGCGACGAGTATGTGTTGGGTGGCGGAAAGTCGCCGTGGCCGTAGCCCCGGAGCATAGACTCCAAGCGCCGCACATGGTGCAGGTGACGCGCCACTTCACGACACACCATAAGCGCGCCAGTGATCTACGAGACAAATCGCTGACATGGCTTTCTCTCTATACTAGTATGCAGGATACCTGGCGTGTGAAGATTGGAATCTTGGATAGCTCCAGACGGTGCAAGCTGCGGCCGCGAGGGTACTAGATGTATAAAAAACTTTTCAAAAACTGCGCCTCGCAATATAGAGACGCACCAAGAGCATGAGCACGCCGAGTACTTCGATTCCAAACGAGTCCCATACAGGCGCGGCGGTGATGGCAAAGTCGGTAAAGCCCGCGGCTCGGTCCGTGGCTGTGATTCGCTGGACCCCTTCGATGTGGTTGGCATCCCCCTATGGCAACCATATAGCAGCGTTGAATGGCGGACCACGTACGACAAGGTCCCATCGCCGCACACATATCATGCGCCCTTCTTGCACCACGCGCTTGAGAAGACCTACGCACGACGTCGATCTCTTGTCGCTTGTTTTGTTTTCAGCAATAGTACCTTCGATGCAAGGCACTTCGAGACGGTCGTTAGTCGAAATCGAGACCCGACGAATCAAGGAAGGGCTGGCAAATTGAAGTTCCTCGGGCGGCAAGAGCTAGGCATCCTGCATGAACACACACACGTTCCGGCCTTGGTGTTGCTACCTTGGGAGTCCATAAGCTCGATTTGTCTTCGTTGAGGAGCCATAAATGGCCCTTCTCGATTGAAAACGTGGCCGATGCAGCATTGAAGACTGCATTCATGACGCCGAGCGGGTTGAGCTCCTTGTAGAAAGACATGCATGTCTCGAGCAGAAGCTACAGAACATGCATGCGGCATGTGCCAACAACATGATGCAAGATGTACCTTGGTATCTTCGTGCAGTTGCAGATTGTTCTAAATGACAGCAGGATAAGGATTCGATCAGTGGGTGATCGCTCAGCACCTGTCGCTCCATGATGCTCGTAAGGATGCCCGCTGCTTGGTTGGCGACAATGGCTACGAGCGAGTCGTCTTCGTCAAAGTCGTGCACGGTGCCCTTCCGGTTGATCAAGTGCACGAGACCGATAAAGATCTTGTCCTGAAAGTGGTTCTTCCCGTACTGGAAGAGGGGTACGAACATGACCTAGATGTATGCAGCACGACCCATTTCAAGCAAAAATTGTTTACTTGATGCGCTGCAATGCCGTTGATGGCGTCAACCGCAGGGTTGTAATGGAGACACATGCCGGTATTGTTGACTATGACAACGGTGCGCTTGGACATGGCCTCTTCCATGATGCTGCCCCTACATCGTCGTTCTGTACATGAGAATCCAGACATGCCATGTGCAAGTTGCGTGCTTGTAGCTCGATGGACGAATGTCAATGCGTGTCTTGCGGACTTTGTGAAAGGTAAAAGCTCGTTTGTACGCTCGTCAACGAGGTAGATGGTCGCGCCTTGGACGCCAACGATATCTTCTGCGGCAGCGCTGAGGTTGAGCAGCGCTTCGTTCAGATGCAAGTGCCGAATGTACGTGCCGATGCACCGGCTCACGTCCTACGAGGCTCGATATAAACGTGCATGGAAGACGCGTCAGGCACCTGTGTCTTCTGGAAGAGATTACTATTCTCCATGGCGAGGGCAATGAGCTGTGCGACGACGACAAGGTGCTCCTCGTCTTTGGCTCGGAACGGCGTGCCGCCCGACTTGTTGATCATTTGGATGACACCGAGAAGGGTCGACTTGGAGCTCATTATGGGCGCGGCGAGGATGCTCTTGGTGCGGTACTTTGTCTTCTCGTCATAGGCCTAAACACAAAGCGATGTAGCAAACGCGAGCGACACACGGCATAAATCGAACGCGGTTGAAACGCTTGTCCTCATAAGCGTCGGGAACGTTCACGAGCGACCGCAGCTCGGCACACGCCCCGGCAATGCCTTCGCCAAACCGGACCAAGATCTCCGTGCCTGCCCACGCCGTTAAAGATATCGGGCAGAGGCAAAGATATCGTGGTACCTTTGTGAAAATCGATGCTGCCAGTGCCCATGTCCGATTGCCACGCACTCAGCACCGTCTCTGAAACCAAGGTCAGAGACATCGCATCCGGGAAAACCTACCGGTCGGTGACGTCATTTTTGTGACAAACAACGTGCAGCGATCTAACAGAAAGCGACCATTTCACTTCCTACGGTCGTGGGGTGGGATCATCTACCTGTGTCGAGAAGGTCCTTGGTCGATTTCATCACGAGCATCGAGAGCTTCTTGAAATCGAGACAGGTAAAGATTTGTCGCGACAAGCTCAAAAGCTCCTATACGCCAGATGAGGCATGGAATAGTCGGGGAAGAAGCCACGTATTCGCTGCGGCGGTTGGTCTCGAGCTCCGCAAAGCTCATCACTTTCTTTAGCATTCCACCGCAAAAGTTGGCAAAGCCGGCGAGCAGCAACTGGTCTTCGCGCGAGAAGGGGCGGCAGTTCTCGACCTCAACCTCGATGCCCATACCACAAAACGTTTGGGTTTTCCCGCACACCTACAAGAATGTCAACATTGCCCATCAAATGCTTCCATGTCGGACCTGCAAAATCGCAATCGGCTCCAAACTGTCAGCACTGCAGATGGGCAGAAGCAGTGTCGCCGAGCTCTTGAGCTTGATGAGCCGGTCTGTGCTTGTCGAGTCGCCCGAGTAGAGTGGGTGCGACGCGATCTTGCAGCCAGGAATGTTGAGCGTCTCGCGCGTGTGGTAAGCAAATGGCGCGAAACCCGGTGCTGAGTGTAGCAAAGCGTGTGGAAGTACGACCGCAGGCACGGACGCGCGAACGAACGCCTCGGCACGATGGTACTCGGTACGCCCTGGCATCGCGGGCGTCTAAATGAGATTTTAGCGATATTTTCATGGATTCTTCCGCACGGTCGGCTTGTGGTGAGTGTGTTTTGCTGGCTGCTGAGCCACGTATTCGTTGTAGGACGATTGCAACGCGAGAGACACGGGCGGGATCTGAAAGCGTGAAGTCACAAGCTCTCCATCGCCGCGCATGGTGCGACACCACAGTTCGTTTTTCTGGAATTGATCGACCACAAACACGAAGGCCTAGGACGCATTGGACCCAAGCCGTGTGTGTTGCGCAGACCTCTTCCGCGCCAACGAGCGCGAGCGCTTCTGTGGACATGAGATGCACGAGGTCATACAAGCTCGTGCTCGCTGCCACCCGTTGAAAAGAGCCGGCAAGGGCTTTAAAGCCCGCATGGACAACCGCAACCTTTGTGGCTGTTTCCTAGACAACGGATTCGAGTCCATGGTTCTGAACGAAGCGGTACCTTGACTTCATGAAGCCATTGATTTGTGTAGTGCCCGGGCAGGTTTTGCAGTGTGTCGACGAGCTCGTGTGCCAAGAGCTCGTCAAAGGCTGCACCAACATCGGACTGTGTATGCACGGGCTCGACATGCGTCTTAAGCGGTACGACGTTGCCCCATATCGCGTCCGTGAGCATTCGTGGCGACTCCAGATTTCCTACATAGTGATCCGTTGATCCTCGACGTTGAGGCACACGTCTTTTATACCGTGAAGCTCTTGGCTTTGATGTTGTGCTCGTATTTCGAGCATTCGAATATGCGTGTCTCGCTCGCGTAGACGGGCTTCTAGCTCTGCTAGCTACATCGCAGATTGGATGTCCTCTGCTGATAAATGCACGCTGCACCTCTTGCTCGAGCTTTTGCACTCTCCGAACGTAGATCTTAGTTTGCGCGGCAAACTCATCGTTGCGTTTCTTCTTCTCGATCTCGAGATGGTGCACTTTCAAACGTAGACCTTGAACTTCGCGCAGCTCTGTGGGGGTCATGGCCGCGCTGCGATCCGGTGACATGGCGGCACGTGGGGAAGCGCCTGTGCACGTCGTCACGTGCTTGGTCAAAACAATTTGCGCACAAACCTCGTGGACTGGACGCGGATGTTGAATGGGGTCGTGCTGGCGAGCGAGCTACGTCATGATTACATCTGTGACTTGAGTCTAGTAGATATCTCTGTACGAATTGAGATGGCTTCGTTTCGACCCGTGTCGAGCTGCGGAAGATTGCGCTCGGGCCCACGCTTGGCGAGCGCAATGCTGTGTCGCATCTGCATAAAACAGTAAGAAGTCATATATGTCATTATGGTGCGTACCTGCTGCTTGAGCTGGACATCTTGCTGGAGGCTCCGGACGCGCTCTTCCAAGGCATTTTTATCGCTCTTGAGACGTTCGATCAGTTTAGCTTGATCGCGAAGCTTGACGACCGCACTCCGGTTCAGGCTACAGCAGAACAAGTCTTGTTGATAGTTGTTGTGTCGGCGTCCGTACGTTTCCAAGGTTCGATAGGACTCGACGTTGGTCGTCACTGTGCGGCTGATCTGGACAAATTCATCAAGGGGATCGTTCTCGTTTGGCTCGGAAACCGAGCTCGCTGCGATCGAAGAGCACTCATCCTCTTCAATGAGAGTGAACGCAGCTTGTCCTGCCTCGCAAGGAACAAGTGGTGACTGCCCTTTGGGCTCTGGGTGGAGCTGGTTTAGCATCGGCGTTGGTTGGGGCAACTTCCAAGGCATCGACATGGTGTATCGAGGCAAGACTCCCTTTTTAATTGGTATACCCTGCAAAACGACCCGTAACTGCCGCGACTCAGACATGGCCAAGTTGAATTTTGACGTCCGAGTAATTGCGCATGCTCGTGACCTTGAGATGAAGGTCCTAGTGCTCACAAGAAATTAGAGACTAGCATAATCTGATTACGTACGTGGTCGTTGGAGCGCGACGCTAGAAAGATAAGTGCGACAAATGCCCTAGAGCGTGCCTGAGATCGAAATCAATTGCATCACCATGTACCGCTGGGGCGTGACTCGTCCTTCACATGATTCCATGATACTGGACAGAAAACTACAGATATCTGTAACAACCGGTATTGTCAGTGTGCAATGTAGAGGTACCTCGTGTGTGTTGTCGATGCAGACTTCTTGACTTCCGTCATCACCAACTCCATGACCATCTTGAGCGACAAAGGACGGGAAGGTCGGGTCGCTGTGCGCAACCGCTTCGAGCTAGGCTCAACGAGACTGGAGCTGCTGGAGCGAGGACGAGCTAAAGTCGCGCTCGGTGTCGCCACCATGACCACGCTCTACAACAATGGGGTCATCACTTGACGGCATTCATAACTCTACAAAAATTACGCGAATGAGGGTCTCAGCCTCAGCTGACATCACCTACACAACAACATTATGTATAACGTCTTTGTGGCCATGTAGAGATGCATCACCGATAAGAGTTCTTCGCTGACATCGCCGCCTCCCATATCCATGTCGCCTTCGGCATCTACAGTCTGATATGGATTGGGTGCGAGCGCTATGACGTGTACCATGCTCGATGCTCTCACGAGGCATCCACGGACACGTGCACGTCGTCTGGACGGTTGCTGGGATCGGAAACTGGGCTAAAAGTTGGCTCTGCAGTTGGCAAAGACCGCCACTTGCTTCAAGAACAAAGCTAGTGCTTGGCAGATCGCGAATTGACTTGGGAAGGCAAATTGGCGCCGGCAAGATGGGGTTGGTGGCGTTTGACGCGTTGGTCTTTGCCGATGAGAAAAAGTGCTGTAGTGGTTTTCGAAACTATCACGAAAACCAAATGAGCTGTGGATAGAATTGGAGAGCGAACGACCTGTTCTGGAGTTGCCCTACGCAAGGTTGGTTTGTCCATTGTGTCATTCTTGAATGGCCACCGTACCGTTTTGTGTGCTTCGGCACTTTTGGTTTTCGTTGTGAAGCGTCCTTCGCTCGTTGGAATGCACGGAGGATCTTCGCTTGTAGCGACGCATCATCCACGCTTCGCCCTTCGGTCGGTTCGACGCAGTCCATACGAGGTTGCAAGGGGCTGCTGGGCTCATGAGCTGGCTCAAACACCAAACTTGTAGGGCGTGCGCTGGCTCGTGTCGATGATGCAATCTGTGGTCCCGAATCTTCAATGTCCGAGATGTCTTCGATGCCGTCATCTCTACATATGTCTTGGAATCATCGCTTAACAATTGCGACTAAACCTGGGCAATGCGATGTTATCAAACACATTCTGGTCGCTGAAAGGTTGAAGCGCGTCAATTATTGGCGCATCGAGGTCGGCAAGCTGTGCTTCATCGGCGTCGAGAGGCTCGGGCATGCCATAATCCACGTCCATCGACCCCATTGGATCATCCGCCGCATCTGGATGTTGGTAGACTTGGTCATTCAGCCACCCAATTCAGATAAGGAGTACCGTCGTCAAGATTGTCGTTGATCTGGACAAAGTCGTCCATGACAAAAGGTTTGATGCTCTTCAAGCACTTAATGACTACGCAAGCATGAGAATAGGTCGACTTGGGTATGTACAACGTACAGAAGGCGTTTTTGTCCACGTCGTGGGTCTCGGGTACCACTTCAAAGCAGTCGGCAAACGGCCTTAATCGTTTTATCTGCGATTCTTCGAGCGCGAGGCCCTGGCATTGTCCCCAATCGATACTGGGAATGTGCAGAGCTTGTTGCCACGACGGTAGCAGCACGTCCTGCACTTGATCGGGGTGCGTCCTGATTCCCTCCACCATGACCGCGAGGGCGTCGATCAAGCTGGCGTCGTCGCGCTCGGCATTGTGCTCGGCGACGCTCTCATGTTGGCCTTCGCTGCGCCTTGGGGCGCGTCTCGTCGGGTTCTTGTCAAGTAGGGATTCCATCTACATGGCTTAGACATGGATCTTGAACGCGAGCTGATTTCGCACATTGGTGCTGGCCTTGGCCAAGTCGTCGATCTGGCGCTGCAAGAGCTCTACGCAAGCATGATCGCATTCTCAGCTTCCCATACTTGCATCCAACCTAATCGGATATGCACATTCAGGGAGCTCTTGCTGATCTCTACGACACGATATGCATAAGCCCGATCTCATTGCCGGCGAGGGCACCATGCTGCAGGTCGACGGAGCGCTGGCGCTCCTGGGTCGACGCAGGCGCCATGTCGCTGGACGGTCCGAAGGAAGAGCCAAGGAACGACTGGTACGACTCCTTCCACGGGTTCTTCATGTGGCGCTTCTTCTCGACGTCGTCCTCGACGCCATGGAGCGCGTCCATCTTGGCTCTCGCGCGCAAATTCCTGACTGAGGCTTGCTATCCGGACAAAATCTCATACTTACAAACATCAAGTCGAATTCCCCTGACAGTTACAGACTTATCCGGATCAAAGATCGCGCGCGCAAAGCGGGGCAATTCTCGATTTGCCTCCCAAGCCACAAGCAATGCACCCCCGAACACCGAAGCGGAAACCTAGCGTAGTCATGGCCCAAGCCGGGTACGCCAACCCCATCGACATGACGACCGGCGCATGGAGCGTACCCGTGCCCGCGCCCGTGGCGCCGCCCATGCACCCCAAGGTCCAAGCATGCGCCAACGAGATGCGCCATGTGCTCGAGCTCAATAAGGCGCAGGTCGAGAAGACGATGCGAAGCAACTATGAGAAGCTCTTGCGCTCTATCGATGCAGAGATCGAGGAAACGAACCAAAAGCTCGAGCTCTTCCAGCAGGTCAACAATGCCATCTACGAGAAATGCACCAAGCGGTTGAAGCGCTTAGCGGACGTGGCTGCCGAAGAGATGGAGTGGGGCTGCCTACTCCAAGCGCTTGGAACACGACTCATGGCAATCTCTCCGTAGGGAAGTCCAAAAGCAACACGCCCAGATCTTCAAGGATACCACGCAAGTGTTCGACAAGGCGAAGCAAAAGAGCCTCCGCGATTTCAAGGCCGAAGCCGACAAGATCCTGCAGACCGTCAAGTAGCTGGAAGCACGACAAGACGGCGACGACCGTATCAACCTAAGCAAATTATATTCTCTGATATACGAGGAATGAAGGCGCAGAGCGCGCCATGGACTCGACTGCACGGTTCCACTTGCCTGCACCGAGTGGACGCTTGACACGCTATGATCGATAAAAATACGAGCTCGAACTCGCCCCAGGGTAGCCGGCGTTCGGGTTGCGCGGGACATTGCCCATCGGTCGATTCGCGACTGCGTCGTCGGCGCGACCTGCACCTGAAACATGTGACCCGATGGGCATGCAACTCGCCTACAGTACATCATGACGCTTGGCCAACCGGAGAGCGACATATCAGGTACGTACATGTTGTACATGTGCGGCAAGACGCGCATTTGGATGCGGCACTGGGGGCACTGCACGAGGGCGCCTTGCGACCCTGCGCGGTAGGTGGCTCCGTTTGCAGCTTGCGCAGGGTTCGGTGTCGGCGCCGAATTGCTGGCCTCGTCCGGGCGCGCCTTGACGTCGGCCGCGGTCACGCGCTCGCCGCAGTCTCGGCAGAACGAGTGTGTTGCGCGGACGCGCGGGTGGTCGCAGGCCTTCTTGATCTGGACCTCGCTCATGTTGGATCTAGGCAAGCATGCAAATCAGACGAGCTGATGATGATGCTGCAAGGTACCTGCACGACGGACATTGGTCCGAGTTGGACGACTCGGAGCTCTTGATCTCCTTGAGGCAGCTCCAATGGAACGAGTGACCGCACGCCGTAGTATAAATGGCGTGGCCGGGCTCGAGGATCTCGAGGCAGATGGCACACTCTTCGATGACCGACTCGAGTTGCGTGATCATGGGCTTCTCGTGCAGCCTAATATAAAAGGATCGTGAGCTCGAGTCGCCAGGGCGATCGCGTCGACGCACAGGGCGATATCGGTCGAGCGCTCGACAAGCGACTCGAGCCATTGCAGGTGAAGCGCCGTGGCGTCCGATGGTGGATAAATATGGTCAAAGCTGCGCCGCCGCGTGACCGTCGGCAAAGCGTCGCCGAAATGCTTGCGGACCAACGCGTTATACGCTTCGACCTGCCGCCTTTCCATGAGCGCTTCCCATGGCTCTTCTCTGACGTACCTTTTTCTATGGGCTTCGCGCTGCGCGAGACGCTCGGCCTCGTCGCGCTCGCGCTGCATGCGCTCCATGTTGGCCTGCTGGCGGGCGCGCGCGTGCTCGACCTCGGCAATGCGCATGCGCTCCAGCTGCTCGGCGCGCTCGTTCTGGACGCAGATATCGCAAATGCGAGACGTGTCGTCGCCATGGCCCAAGAGTCCGTGCGTCGACTTTTTGTGGGCGGTTGCGCAGGCGCGGCAAACGGCTTTGCCGCAGCTCTGCCACCGACAATGAGGCCATGGCTATCGATGGATGCATGTACCTTGCAGCGGTGCTTGCGGCGGAAGGCGTGGAAGTTCTTGGCGCAGACCGCGCACTCGGACGCTTCCTCGAAGGCGCGACTGCCCATGTTGATCTCGATCCCGTTCATGCCCGGCATGCCTCCTCGGTCGAACCACGGGCGAAAAAACTGTGCTCGCTCCTGGTTCCCAATTTTTTGACGCTGACTTTCCGGATACCTGCGTGTAACAGCCCAGTGTATCCGGATCCTTGCATAGCGCTCTCTCAGTGCTGCACTCCTTCGTCTTGCGCATTCCTTCCTACTGGACTCGAAAGGGTATCGCCTGCTACGTGGAGCGAGTAGTGCCCATGATGACCTGCGCGCTGCAAGGCCAAGGCCTGTAAATCCAAGCCAGTGCGACAGCGTGGGACGACAAACATTTGAGTGATGCTCGGTGGAGCTCTGTGGACACGATGAGCGGTCGTGGTCAGACAGAGAATTCAGGCGGGTTGGACTTGAAGGCGGGCAAATTATCCTTGAAGCGCCGTGGTCGTCTTCGTATCGATACCAGCTATCGATACCCTGCTAGGACTTCCCATGGCTTCAAAAGTATGTACGCAGGGACCAGTCTTTTTGTCGCAGTGTCGCTGGCCCTCGCTGCGTCGTTGATCGACGTCATGTCTTTCGCGAGTAGCTGGCTGCACCTCGCAAGTGCAAACTGGCACAACAGACAGCGTGCATCGGGCAAGCCCCGTGACGCAAGCCTTGGAACTCGCGGTACAAAGCATTGCAAAGGCGTCTCTTGCAGCGCCCAGGCCACTGCGTCCAGTCGCAGAAGCCGTCACTGGCTGTAGGACACGGCTAGCTCGACTCTTCCGCGAGTGCCGCCTTTCGCAAGGTGTCGTAACTGCCGGGGGAAATATGCATTCTCACCTCTAAGATCCTACTGAGCCGGATAAGGTGTCCCGCGTTCCATTCCAATGGCACCCGCGGCCGCCGAGGTGGCAGACGCGTCGGCGACGACCTCGCCTCATGCTTCATCGTGTGTAGTACATCGTCTGCAGTACGGGCTTGACGCCAGAGGAGAATACGGGTGCGCAGGGCCTCGTGCACGAGCTCGGCATGAGCTGGGACGACGACCTTCACGTCGGCGTCACGCATCTCCTCGCCAAGACCGTCGGATCTGACAAGTACAAGGCTGCAATTGCCGCCGGCATGGTCGTTGTCAAGCCCGATTGGCTCGTCGAGTGCTCGCGCGCAGGCTCCATCGTGCCCACGGCGGCGCATGAGCTTGGCATTCTTGAAGGCCTCTGTATCTGCACCACAGGTGCCCTCGTTGCGATTGCTTGCGTATTGGTACTACCATGGCTGTGGTGCATAGGTCTATACATGGAAGACCGCGAGATGGTCGAGCAGCTCTGCGACGAGCATCGTGCCGTGTACCAGACCGACCTCATCTTTGGAACGACCTCGCACCTCTTGGCCGAAGTCGGCATGATCATCCTCACGCCCATGTGCCTCATGCGTGTGACGTTCATAGCAAGCAGGGGGCGCCAAGTACGACGCAGCGATCGCGCATGGTATTCCAGTCGTGACGCTGCAATGGATGGCGGCCTGTGTCGAAGCCAAGGCGCTTGTTGACGAAGACAACTACCGAGTTCTCGCCGATGACGACGTCACGCTTGACGACGGACCGAGTAGCAGCATGAAGCTCAGCGACGAGCTCACGCAGTGCATTGCACTACTTCGCGACGAGCCGCGTGGTACGTCCTTTGAGAGGTCGCTCGTGGTGACGCGTCGACGCAGGCGACTTTCTGGATGGCTGTGTCCTATGGCTGCCTGGATTTTCCCAGGACATTCTGCTCAAGATGAAGTGGCTCGTGCGCTTTGGCATGGGCACGCGCTACGACGCATACAACCCGAGCGTCACGCACATCATCGCTGACGTGCTCGGGTCCGCCAGGATGCGATGACACTCCTCAACTTGATGGTCTATGTAGGAATTGGCGCCATTATTGCGACACCAATAGCAGTCTCGAAGTCGTCTCGCCCAAGTGGCTCATCGAGTCGTGCTTGGCGTTCGAGTGTCGTCCCGAAGCGCAGTTTCCTGTGAGCACTCACGTCCCAATCGCGCCGCCACCCAAGGTAGTTCGGCCGCCACCCGCCGCGCGCCCGTCACCACCGCCCAAAGCCACCCCACCCCCCGTGCAGGTAATACCACCCAATATCGTACTTTCGTTGTGACGCAAGCTTTTAGAAGGTCGATGAGGCGCCCAAGGGTCTGTTCGCCGGCATTCTGAGCTTGCTCCTGCGCACGTGGCCCATGGATCATGTCGGTCGACGCGATGACGTACTGGCATAGTTCGTTGCTGATCGTTTCTATAATAGAAACCAGCATGCGCTCTCAAGACGGCAATTGCAGCGGCCGGCGGCCGCACGCGTGAGATCAACACGACGGACCCGCGCATCCTGAACGCCAACGACCTCCAGCGCATCGCGTTCATTGTCGTGTGCCACGGCGCCGTCCTTCCCGACGGCATGCTGGCGTCGCTCAAAGAAGCCATGCCGCACGCCAAGCTCGTGACCGAGCTCTGGGTCCACTGCTGCCTCGAAGTCTCTTGTGCAAAACTGTACCCACGTGTGGAAACTCAATCCTAAGGTTGCGTAGGAGAAGCGGTTCTACCCGCGCCGTGCCCATGCGCTCTTTAGTCTTTCGTCCAGCGCGACGCAAAGTGTGTTTCCAACCCTCCCGCTCGACTGCTTTCAGTACGCACCACGCTCCTCGTCGTCTTTTAGTATGGACGTCTTTTGTCCAGGTCGGTGGTCGCTAGCATTTCCATGTACATGGACATGGAGCGGCTCGTGCTGGCGACGCTTTTGCAACTGGCGGGCGCGCGTGTGACACCACGCCTCTCGCAGCGCAACACGCATCTCTTGTGCAGTGCGCCGCAAGGTATGCTCTCTTTTCACACTATCAAGTTGTTGATACAGCGCCGTGGGTAGGCCCCAAGTACGAGAAGGCGCGGAAATGGAAGCTGCACATTGTCCAAGCCGATTGGCTCGTCGCATCGATGATCCACGGACGCCTAATGCCGGTTCCCGATGCGCTGCCAATCAAGCGACGCCGGGACGAAGCAACAGCGGTGACCCCCAGTAGTGAGATTGCCCCCCGTGAGATCACCCCCGGTGAGAACGATCCGAAGGAGGACGTGGCCGGCAGCAACGCCCTCGCGCAGCTCGATCACTTTCTTGGCGAAGAGTCCGAGTCGCTGGGCTTTGTCGCACCGCGTCACAAGGTACATGCGTTTAAATCGACATCGACTTGAAGCGCGTAGGTATCGCTGGCCCCGCCCCTCAAGAAGCAGTGCTCGGACCCGAATTTCTTTGACGACACGCAAGCGCCGCTGCCCAACTCGGAGATGGTCGACTACGCGGATCCTGTGAGCACGCGCACCTTTCTCTAGTCGAGATATCTTGCGATAAAATTGTGCTATCCGAGCATGGTTGTTGTCGACTCTGCCGCGCTGTTGTGTGTTGGGTGCTATTGCTTCCGATCGTCTGCCAAAAGCAAAAACTGTTTTCATGGTAAGTGTTGTCGATTGCACGTTCAGCACGTTCGAACAGAGTTGTGTACGAGCACAGATAGTAATTATTGGTTTAGACATAGTACTGTATGCAAGCACCGTAGCATCGACACGGAGGTGACCATTGAGACCCTCTAAGAAACGAAACATGCGAGATTAGTGCGATGCGCGGGACCGATTAGGCGAGGCACGCGGGACGCCCTCGCGTGGACACGATGTATTGGCCAGAGAGTGCGCCGTGGAGCTCTGTCTTGCCGCGCAAGACCCATTTCAGCGAGCACTGGCTGTCGACGAGCACAAAGCCAAGGCAGCTGGGTGTGTTGGCGCACGCGTCGCAACACGCAAACGTCTGCACCTGGTCCGATCCCGTCACTTGGAGGATCTTGAGGTCGTTGCCTGGGTAATCGACCCCGCGCACAATCGACGAGCAAGTGTCGGACGTCGGAAGCGCTGCATCAGTCTCAAGGAAGATCGGTGCATCAGTCTCGGTCGGGAGCGGTGCATCGGTCTCGATGAAGATCGGTGCGGTGGTCTCAACGACAATCGGTGCATCAGTTTTGATGACGATGGGAGCATCGGTTTCGATCGGGAGCGGTGCATCAGTCTCGATGACGATCGGAGCATCAGTCTCGGTCGGGGCCGTGCAGTGGTCTGTGTTGGACGTGGCGTCGCGGGGGCCATTGTCGGCACTGGCACCGTGTACGTACCGGCAATCGCCCCAATCTGCGTGCCAGATCGGACCCATTTGTGTTTCAACCAGCAACGCCCGTTGTGGGTGACGAAGCCGACGCACTTGTCGGTCTTGGAACACGCGTCGCAGCACTTGTTGGTCACTTGTTGCGGATTGCCGGTCACGTCAAAGTCCTTGATGTCGTTGCCGCTGTAGTCAACGTCCTGGACGAGATTGCCGCAGGTGTCCGACGTCAGCGTTGGCGCCTCGTACTTGCTCGAGAGCGCGTTTGAGAGAGCCTTGGCACCCACCAACTTGCTCTTGAGGTAACACGTGTTGCCGCTGATGACCCAGCCAGCGCAGCTGATCTCGTTGGTGCAGGCCTTGCAGCACGCATCCGCCTTGGCCTGGTCGGACCCCGAGACCGAGAGGTCGTCGAGATCGTTGCCAGGGTAGTCGTACCCACGCTGGATCGAAGGACACACTGCCGACGTCGGCAGTGGCCCCGAGTATACGCCGGCGATAGCGCCGATCCTGGTGCTCGCTTTGCCGATCGCTTTCTTCAACCAGCAGTGGTTGCTGTGCGTAACAAAGCCGACGCACTTGGCCGTCGACGAGCAAGCGTCACAGCACTTGTTGGTCACCTGTTGCGGGCTGCCGGTCACGTCAAAGTCCTTGATGTCGTTGCCGCTGTAGTCAACGTCCTGGACGAGATTGCCGCAGGTGCCCGACGTCAGCGTTGGCGCCTCGTACTTGCCCGAGAGCGCGTTTGAGAGAGCCTTGGCACCCACCAACTTGTTCTTGAGGTAACACGTGTTGCCGTTGATGACCCAGCCAGCGCAGCTGATCTCGTTGGTGCAGGCCTTGCAGCACGCATCCGCCTTGGCCTGGTCGGACCCCGAGACCGAGACATCGTCAAGGTCGTTGCCAGGGTAGTCGTATCCGCGCGTGATCGAAGGACACATCGACGACGTTGGCGTGGACGCAGCGTTGGCAGCGAGGATGGCGGCAGCGAGAAGCCCCGAGACGAAGAGGTGGTGCATGGCTGGTGGCGGCGGTCGAAATTGAACACTGAGGCCTGTGCACGCATGAATCGATGGCGTGTTGGAGCGAAGATATATACAACGCAAAGCTTGTATGGTCTTGTAGTATAATGTTCGGATGGAGCAGCAAAGATAGCTTTAAGAGGCGTGGCGTATGGGCCGCGAACCAGGATATACGAAACTTGCAGAATACTTTAATCGAAGAAGCAACGGTTTCGCCGCCGTTGCTGGGCGTGCGCCACGTCATTGCAGCGGCATCCAAGGTATTGTCGCGCGGCTCGTTCGAGCGACAACCCCCACGGCGCGTCGACTAGTTAAGACGCCCAAGATGACAAAGGTGCATCGAATCCTTTGCGGCAACGACTGCAATGACGCCAAGCACTTACGTTTCATATCTGGTGGCACACATGTTCCTAGACCGCGTGGTGCCGCCTTGAGCTTATAGGCCGTAGCGACGCGGGGACCCACAGAGTGCAGACATGCAGACTTGTAGCAGGGGTCACATTCCCTCTGCTTCCCGACCGCCACGTCATGAGCCTTTTCATTTGTTGGCATTTGGTCTGCAGTCGCAGCCCTACTGACGAAACCGTTTCGTGCGGCATTATTCGGTGGACAGGTGCAACGCCAGCGCCTTGGTGCTCTAGCGCGACGCCTTAGGCGATCGTTTACGACGACCCGAGCTGAGGGTCGCTGCGAACCAATCGTCACAACAAACAAACAGTCATACCAACACGCTCCTTGGCCTAATAGTGAACCTTTCATGGTGTCGCCCCCAAAGGCCCGTGTCCGTTTGCTCCCGGCGGCGTCGTCGCTCAAGCCCAACAGCGACCCGCAAAACAATCGCAAGTCGCCACGAATTGACAGGGGAGTAGCGTAACTTACCGTGTTTCTGGAAGCGCGACCCTTTGAGAGCCGACACGACGTGTGTTGAAGTATCACACGAGCCGTTCTCAGCAACGACGCTGACGAGCACGTTGCAGGTTAAGACGCTGCTCGACGACAAAGCGAGCGATATATGTCACGATGCAGACGGCGCGCCAGCCTTCTTAGGCCAAGGAGAAGGCGCGAGCATTCAAAGAAACCCCAAGGTGAACGCGCGGAGGGTCATCACGACGCCGCTTTCTCGGCGGAGCAATGCCACGTGCAGCAACCCGTTGAGTCATAGCTTGGTCTTTTCAAACACAACCGAGGTCAAGGGAATAATAAAGCTGGCGCACTCCCTTCATCGAGGTGCACGGCACCTTCAAGCGCACAGCGTGCGTGTCCCAATCGCAACCTCCTACGTTGCTCGGCTTCTGGATGCCGTGCGCTTTTCCATTGCAGGCATGGAGACTATAGCCCTAGGCATAGAACTCTAAAATCGTGGACACAGTCGCTTGCATGTAGTATAAGAGGCTGGTCGGGATTTTTTCGTTCTGTCCTGTTCTGCTGTGTGCCCGATTTTTCCGGACCTGTCTCGGTCCAATTTTGCGAGGTCGGGAAAATGGTCCAAGCGACTGTACTGATCGGTGTTGGGGCAGCCATCGCGTCCGTCGCTGTAGCATGCGCTACGGTGGGAGGCGGGTGGAGGCCTCCGCGAGGACACGTACAACATCCTCACCGTTGACATGGTCGACTTCGACGACATGTTCGACAATCCGCGCTTCAACCAGTGGTTGATCAACAACCTGCCGAGCTCTCATGCATCGTTTCGTCGCCTGGTCGACGTCCTCCGCGACTACATGGAGGACTACAAGTGCCCACGCTCGAAGCACCCGTTCGGGAAAAAGAAGGATGCTTCTGTACGATCTCGGCAGCGGCGGCGGCTACCGCGAGACTGTCGGCGCCTTGGGTTGTCTGCAAGTCGTGGCGCATCCACGTCGTCTCCGTCCTCTCAAACGTCTTGGCGACCGGATCCAGCGACTGGATCTCGCTACCATTCAATGGGGACGAGTGGCTTTCCAGACGTCGCCGGTGCCGTTGACGGCGCAGTCATCGACATTGAGCGACCCACAGACGACGAGGGCTTCTACAATCGACACGGTGACCCGTCTCTCAACGTACAAGCCGCCGTCGACGCCTCGACTCGCTTCATGTCCGTCGGCATGCGACCCGGCTCGTTTCCCGACGAGAAGATTGGAAGCTACACCATTTCTCGCCGCCAGTCGGTCGGTATGCACATCATTGGCGACGTTGACTATACACTTTTTCCGTGGCTACTCATACCACACGAAGAAGGCAGTGGGTTGACGCGTTCCCAGCGGCGCTTCAACTATACAACCTTCGAGCACCCGCATGGCAGCCAGTCGAGTGTGCGTTCGGTCGGCTCACGGAGCGTTTCCGTGCTCGAAAGACGGTCATGGATGAGAAAGCCTTGACCAAACACTTCGTCTCGTCGTGTTTCGCGCTTCACAACATCTTCTTGGCAGTCAACGACGATTTGTTTGTAATCCCCGACGCTGGTCGAGACCGCAACCTCCACACTCAACCGAACGACTACATGCGAGATTGTGAGACCAACGTCGTTGTTAGACGTGCGGTGTTAGACGTGCGGCGTTAAGCAAGCGCGACACGATAGCTCGGCTGTTCGACAGTATGAACCTTCACAAAGACACTGTATGGAGCAATTGCGCTGGCACTACTTCTTCGCGATAGCTTGGATCAATTGTTGCATCGTGTTGGTCTGACTCTTGATGGCATCGACCAAATAACTAACTTGTTCTGCCAAGGCCGTCGTTGATTGCGCCTTGATGGCATCCAGTACGTCGTCGAGCGTCGTGTTGCTTTGCGCCGCACCACAACCCGGCGCTAGAGACTGGCCAAGCGAGATGAGACCGTTGCTCACGGCTACGAGGCCACCCTCAATGGCCTCCCCGGTCGACTTGGTTTTCTTGCCGCCGCCTCGATCGCCGGTGGTCTTGTCCTCGGTCTCGGAACAAGTCTTCCGCTTCTTGTTCGCGTTGTCCGGCCGCTCGTTCTCGTCGTCGAGGTCCATGACATCCGAGTCCGCGTTTCCTGTGCACATGATGAGCTGTCGAACGTAATGGGTCAAAAATACCCGTGTCGTCTGCCAGATCAACGGGATCGTCCGAGGAGAGCAATCTTTCGCGTTGCAGATCGTCATTCCCCGACCAATACTCTAGCATCACATCGTAGTGCATGGGAAGGCTCCCCGACGACGCATCGTTGCCGGTTGACGAAGGTACAGTCGACTTGGAGGTCAACCATTTGGTGCGCATCCGCGCAAACTGCACAAGCGAAGGTTGGAGACACCAGAGTGGCAACAGGATGGTACCTTGGCATTGACTTGAGCCGCAGTGAACGTGCGATTCATCGCGACGCTCAGCGTGGCGGCGAGCGAGAGAGTGGCGAGGTTCTTCTGGAAGTTGTTCTTGGACTCGAACTTGTCCTTCAGCTCCGTCTTGTAGCGCAGCTCGAACATCTTGGCCACGCTAGCGTCGCACCAGACAGCCGGCTCTTCCACGACGACGGCGCTCTTCTTGGCCTTCTTCTTGGTGACAACTGGGGACACCTCATCGATAGAGGCCGCTGTGAGCTCCGCTGTGTCCCCTCCTACTATCGTCGAATCATCGGCGGCCGGCAGCGGGTCGTCGATGGCTGGTGTCGACTTCGCCTTCCCTCGCGCTCTTAAGACCTTCTTCACCGCGGCAGCGGGCGCCTTCGTATAGCTCGTCTTGCCAGCCATGGACCTGCCGTCACTTTGAAAAAGCGAGCTCGAATGAGATCGTCCGAGTCCCCTCTTGCTCCAGCCCCCAAAGCGATGAAATGCATATCCGGATGCCGGATAAAAAGAGCCAATACGTTGCGATCGCGTATTTTCTGGGTGCGGCAGAACAGGACAGAACAAAAAATCCCGACCAGCCTTCACGTAATACATGTAGTCCACATTCGCTTTGCGTCGCCACGCTTTGTACCAGAGTCGACTACGGACGAGTGTACTTGGCGTCGTGCGTCATGCCATGCTTGCCGCCCGTCGCGTCCTCGTAAGCCAGCGTATACGAGCTTTGGTCGGCGGCCACCTACACACGCCGTCGTGTCGCCACCCATTCTGTCATCTCTTCCATCCAAACTCGTACGTTGAGCGTCACGCGGGGCGGCGTCGCATCGCCAAACAAAACGTCGAGCGAATGCGCGTACACGGCGTGGGCCTCGTGGTACTGGCGCTGGGCGTAGTAGACCGCGTTCAAGACATCTTCGTCCTGGAGCGCTTGCAGCAATCGGCGCCTACGCGACATTGTATCAAATCTTGTCGACGCGGTCCGATGACGCACTCGGTGGCTGGCCACGTCGCGGCGTCGACAGCGCACGTGCCGAGGAAGCTCACGAGCGCCCACTTCTCCGGGCGATGGATGTCGATGACACCGGTGGGCGACCAGACAAAGTTGTACTCGCGACGACCGGGTACCTTGACGTACTACGCGTCGCTCATAGGACGAGTCAATTCAGAACGTAGCGGTGGCGTACCGTGGGCTGCCCGTCCACCGTCTCGACGCTGAGATCGTAGTGGACGCGGGAAAAGTTCATGCGCCATGTGTCGCCCACTTGCACCTACACATGTTGTGTTGATTCGGCGTTCCGTGACGTGGAAACGACGGGTCGGCGCCGGCGCTCGTCGAAGATGGCGAGCTCCGCAAGGGGTAGCGCGACCTCGACGCTCCAGCTGCGGCATTGCACGGACGGGTCGTTGGCAGCACCGTCAATGTGCACGGCCGACCGAATGTCGACGAGGTTGCGCGGGTTCTCAATGTCGTGGCCGTCCTTGTACGGCCGGCGCAGCACGAGCTCCCAGATCGTATTGAGGCAGTTCATCTCCATCTCGCTAAGGTACGATAAGCTGCGCTCCATCGTGCGTGGATGCTACTAGTAGTTGTGGTGGCTGCCGTCCGGGTCGATAAAGATCTCAAAGTCGTTCTCGTGGTACATGACCGTGTTCTTGACGGTGAAGGTGCCCCAGACCTTGGTCTCCTCCATGGCCGCGCCCACGTAGAGGTAGTCGTCGTCCCACATCATCTTGACGCGCGTCGTCATCGGCGGGTTGGGCTACCGCGTGTGTTTGCCACATGTGCATGATATCCTTGTCGGTACATACCTTGCGCGCCGGGCCCTCAATGTCGACAAAGGAAGCGGTCCACGGAGCCTGCGCCCACGCGGGCTTGTCGAGGCGCCCATCAAGCTCCATGCGGCCGGTCGTCGCCCGGCGCACGCATGGGTACGTCGGTGGGACCAACGTCGCCAGATACGCCCATTCTGCCATGCTACGAACCGCAAGTCTCTTGCCTTACGATCGCCACGCGCACACCCATCTTTTTATTCTTTTCGCATTGGTATCTTGTGGTTTGTATGCAACAAAAAACATATCTAAAAAAGTGGCGTTGGCCGTGGGCGATTGCATAGAAACTTCGAGTCAATTGCCACATGGTCCGAGTGCGACTTTCGCAGCCACCGTGTCGCGAGCCTCCAACTGGCGGTTTGTATGGCCGGCTCATCCACAGTACTTGGCCCAAGTGGCACGCGCACTGGACTTGCGCCCATGGGAGGGCGATGTGAGAGTGGTGCTGCCTTGCACTCCATCGTTCGACTCAGTTTGCACTTGGATTTCTCCACAATCGAAGAGCTCCAACATTTCGACCATGGACGCGCAGACGTCGAGCGAGATCCTCTTCGTCCTGAGCATCGCCGTGCTCTTCCTCTGCCTCAGTGGCCTCGCCAAGTACTGCAATGGAATGAGCGCCGTTGACGGCCACTACCCGCTCCACCAGCCCATGTACGTACGACTGCATCTCGTCGAATGGAGCTGACAAAGCGCTTGTAGCTTGAGCAACTTTATGCCGGGGCTCAAACGCGGCGATGTCGAAGACTTGTACGACGATCTTATCGGACGAGGCGCCGTGCCTCATGCTAGTATGGACGAACTAGGCTCTTGGACGTGGACCGGTGGGAGTGCCCGGTCTGCGCCTTCCTCAACGTCGTCGACCGCCCCGTGTGCTGCCTCTGCGCTGCCAAAAAAGGTCGGTTGAGACGACAAGCATCTCGTGTTGAGCTGCGCCTTAGACTCGCGGTTTGTCGAACCGTCGACCGAAATCGAGCACTTCAACAAGAGCTACCGCGCCGAGCTGGCTCGGCAGTCGAGCCAGACCCGGCTCTCCAAGCAGCGGAGCAACCCGTCGCTGCTTTTCCGCCAGGCGAGCAAGAACCGAATGCTCACGCCCAGCGGCAACCCGCGCCTCTCGGGCTTCTTTGGTACCAAGACCATGGTGCTGCCCGAAGACTTGACCGCCCGCCAGCGCTCGGCCCGGTATCACTACGACCTGAACGCCTATGAGCTCACCCAACCAAATCGCATAGCATGCGCAAGGAGTGGTCGCGCCACGTCGATATCCACGGCCAGCCGTACTGGCGGCGGCGGTGCCTCGATATCAACCACGTACCGCCGGCCTTTCTCATCCATATTGACCCCGACGACGCCAATGACGACGGCGCGTCAGCGCTCGACACCCTGCGCGTCAAGCTCATGTCGCCCGTCCTCGAAGACGCCGAGTCGGCGGTGCCAACGCTCGAGTCAGCGTCGCAGCTCACCTCGAAGCGACTGCTCTATTCACCGATCGAAGCCGTCGATGCGTCGCGGCTCGTCACCGGCGACGTCCTCGCCGCGGGTCTCTGGCCGTCACTGCACCAGCTGACCAAGGTGCCGTTCACGGCCAAGTATGCGTGGTTCCTCCACCAAGTGGCCGATCTCGTCTTGCCGTACGAGATCGGGTACATTCAGATGCGCGCGCTTCGCGACCGCGTCTTTGAAGAGGCGCTCGAGAACCTCTTGCACCTCAAGTCGTTTGAGCTCTGCGCGATCGTGCGGCTCCAGTTCATGGAGGAGAAGGGTCTCGACGCTGGCGCGGTCCAGCGCGAGTGGTACATGCTCGTGGCCCAAGCCTTGCTGTCTCCGACGTCCGGGCTCTTTGTGCTGGCCAACCGCGAGGACCACTCGTACATCCTCAACCCCAACCCTGCGTTTCCGTACGCGTCATGTGTCTCTTCATGTCTCATAGTCGTTGTAGGTTTACGCAATCGATGAGCCACAACGACGCGTGCCGCGCGGCTGGACGCTTCATTGGGCGCGCGCTCCTCGACGGCCAAGTGCTGCCATTGCATTTGAACGCGACGCTCTTCAAGAGCATCCTTGGCACGCCACTGACAATGGACGACGTGGAGAGCCTCGATGCGACCGTCTACAAGAGGTATGACTCTCGAGTCGAAGACGCGCTCAATCACGCATGGTAGCTTGCGCTACATTCTCGAGACAGACCGCGTCGAAGACCTCACGCTGACCTTCTCCGTGACCGCGTGCGACGCTAACGGCCGCGTTGTCGAGGTCGATCTCGTCCCGAACGGGTCCCAGGTGCTTGTGACGGACGCCACCAAGTACGACTACGTCGACCGCATGGTCCGGCACCTTTTGTTCGAGCGCATCGAGGGCCCGCTCTTGGCGCTCCTCCAAGGCATCCACGACATCCTTCCGCCCGAGCTCCTCGTGCCGTTCGACCATAAGGAGCTCGAGCTCATCCTCTGCGGCCTCACGGACATTGACGTGGCCGACTGGAAAGCCAACACCGTCCTCTCGACCAACCTCGAAAACGTTCCGGTCGTCACGGTACGTGCGACTGGACATTGTGTTCGTCGAGCTCATGCTATGATCTAGTGGTTTTGGGAGATCCTCGACGGACTCGGTGGGGACGAGAAGGCGCGCTTGCTGCAGTTTGCGACGGGCTCGGGGCGCGTGCCGGTCCAGGGCTTTCAAGGCTTGACGAGCTACGACGGCAAGATCTGCTACTTTACGCTCAAAGGCATGCCGTACGTGCCAGGCATGTACCCGGTCGCGCACGCGTGTTACAACCGGCTCGACCTGCCCATCTACCCGAAGAAGGAGCTCCTCGAAGAAGCCATCAAGATGCTGCTGCTCTCGGACCCGACCGGCTTCAACATTCAATAGTGTAGTATCGTGTGACCTTGTAAGTTATCCATCGTCGTCGTCTTGTAGTATATGAGATGCAAACGTCGCCTACAACGAGGCCATTTCGGGAAAGACGAGGTTGCGAAGGCGCTCGCCAAAGGTGGCGTGGGACACCGAGAGGCCGCCGTCGACCGCGCAGCTCGGGACACGGGCACCGCACGGCGCGCTCTTGATCGTCACCGTTTCGTTCTATATGGTCCATATATGATAGATGCCTCGCAGTGACGAGTATATGTACCTCCATGAAGAAGACGTCAATGCCGCACCGATCCGCGTACGTGAGGCGAATGTGGTTTTGCGACCGCGGGATCAAGAGGAGGTCGGCGGGCACAAACGACCGGTCGTCGCCGCCGTACGTGCGCTCGGCATAGTACCCCTTTTCTTCGCCCGGGAGCTTGCCCTTGTAGCCGAACCGGAGGCCCTTGCCGCCGCCCTTTTTGCCACCGAGACTGCCGCCGCCCTCTCGCCTCTACACATGGTGCCATCAAATGAGCGGCTCGGTACCTCACATGGCGTCGTTTGCATCTACCGGGCCCGAGTCGTGCCGGTAGCACTTGGCCGAGATCACTTGCGAGCTCACGACACTCGAGAGAATCGCGAGCGGAATCGTCGTGCGTTCCAGCGCCTCGAGCAGCTGCGCAGAGTCATTGTGTACGTTGAGCGCGGCCTGGATGAACTGCAGAAGCGGGTGCTCGCCACGGTGGCTGCTCGTGAGGATGAACCCGCCTTTGGGCTTGAACTGCACCATGATGCGGTACGTGATCGTGTCGTCGGGCGTCGAGCCGGCGGCGACGCACCGTTTTGGGTTGCTCGTGCGGCACGCGAGCACAATCGAGAACGGGTCTGCGCGCTCGACGATAAAGTGATCGCGGACATCCACGTCCGGGCCGTACCGACCCAGGCTGCTCAGCGTCTTTTCGAGCTTGACGCCAAACTCGCACATGGGCTTCACGTTCATGAGCAAGTCCGCGATGAACGTCTCGAGCGGGTTGTCCGGCTGCAATTTCGTCGTCGGCGGGTACCGAAAGATGAGGTTCGAATTCGGCAGCGCGTGGTGGTCGCCGATGTGCAGCGCCCCGAAAAAGTCGTTTGGAATGAGAAACGTGAACGGCGGCGACGCCAATTGGACGCACATTTCAAAGCCGCCGCCCTTGCGCAAATGCCCGTGGACCGCGCGGATCTCCATTGGCGCCGACGAGACTCGCTCGGGGAACGGGAACGACACGATCTGCTCGCCGCTTTGGTGGGCCGCCGACGCCGTGCCGCCCTGGCCTGCATATCGAATGCGCACGCGCCGGCGCTTGGCAAAGTTGACGTAGTGCTGCAGCTGGATGCGTTCGTGGCACAGGCTCACGACGTGCAAGAAGAGCGGCGCGAGCGGCGGTGTGCTCGACGCTGTCTTTTGCTTCTTGGTCGGTGGCGGCATCATGGGCGCCAGTGCGTCCTTGCGGAACGCAGGGAACCGCTGGAAAAACTGGACCGCACTCGGCGCGCCGGCCGACGAGCTCAACTGCAGCAGTGAAAACGCAGGCACGCGGATCCAGTCGTCGGCGTTCTCGACGTAGTGGACGTCGGTCGAGCTCTCGTACTCAGCCTCGCGGTCAATCTCGACGACGAGGTACCCGCACGACTCCTTGTTGCGCACGATTTGGAAAAAAAGCGCGTTCGGCGAGATCGAGAGCGCGTCCACGTTGTTGCCTTGCTGCCGGCGGAACGCAATGTACCGGTCCCAGTTGACCGAGACGTGGCGATGCACTTCAATGTTGGCAAAGCTCGACGCGACCTCCGAGATCTCGTACGCGAGCATCTCGCGGAGACACGCGCTCACGGCGTCCGCGACCGCCTTCAAGTCGTCGATCGCCAAGCTAAAGCCGTGCGGCCCGAGCTGCGCCTTCACGCTGCGCTGCAAGAGCGTCTCGAGGCCGCGCACGACACCATCGACGAGCGGGCTCTTGGACGCGGCGACGCACGCGGCCGTAAAGAGCCCGTGCGCACGTCGAATGAAATCTCGAGCTGGTACTGCGCGAGGCCGCCCGAGTCGGCGCGGGCAATGTGTATGCTGCGCTCGGTGCGCACAATGTGCACGGCCTCGCTCGTCGTCAAGTGCAGCGGCGTCGAGGCGCCCGTGCCCAGCACGAGGTGGCGCTCGAGACAAAACAACGCCGACGCCACGTGCATGCGCATGCCGCCCATGAGGAAGGCCTCGGCGCTGAGCCCATACATGTTGCGCGGGACGACAAGCGCGTCCGAGAGCGACGCGCGGAGCTCGGGCGCGGGCGGCGGGTGCAGCGACAGCGAGAGGAGGTCGTGGTGCTTCGGGTCCGAGTACAGGCGCACGCAGAGGCTCGCGGTCGGGTACGGTGGCAGCGATTCGGACTCGGGTTTCTTAAACTTGTCGGCCATCTCGGCCGCGAGCTGCGCGGCTTCGGTCGTGAGCACGGCTGGGCGGCAAAACGACGACCAGTAGCAAATGTCGAGCACTTGCTTGTCGGCGTGGTAGACAAACTCGACGTTGCTGCTCTTCCAGCGCGAGTCGGTGAGAAGATGGCCCTGGGCGACGAGGATCTGGAGCGAAAGCGAGCAGCAAAAGTCGCGCATGATGTCGCAGGCCGCGACGAACGGCGCGCTCGACTTGTTCATGCATTTCTGCACGAGGTTGCGCATGTGCATGTAGTGAAGCTCGGTCGGCGCGTTCGCCTTGATGATGCGCAGCGTGTTGGTACTCGCAAGCGTCTTGTACTTTTCGGTCGCTGCCGCGTCCGTGAGCACCGTGTTGATCGCGACGAGCCGCCAAAGGCTGTCCGACTCCTTTCCGTTGAGCGTGAAGACAATCTCAAACTCGCCTTCGACGTGTGCAATCACAAACCCGCCCTCAACGTCGATGCGCGTAAACGTCGACGGAATCTCCTCTTCAATGAGTCGGAAGCGAATGATGTCGTCCATTTCCTGGATCGCCTTGTCTTCGTCGACGTCTGGCATCTCCTTAGGGTGCATCGCGTAGCTAATGAGCTTGGGCAGGCGCGGGTACGTGCCGCCGTAGAGCACGTCAATCGCGGTCGCAAGGTCGTACGTGCGCTCCTTGGCGCGGTTCAAATCCGCGTGCAGAAAGAAGAGCCGGTCATTCGACTCGTTGAGCTGGTCCGTAAAGAGCTTGGCCGTCTTGAGTAGCTCGGCGCACTGCGCGGCGAGCGGGCTCTGCACCGACCAGCGCGTGAGCACGAGCAGCTTCTCAAAGAGGCTGCGCGTGTCGGCAAGGTGCTTGAGCGCCTGCTCCCGGCGCTCCTCAGCCTTGGCCACGCCGCCGAGGCCATGCGCGAGGCCGCGGAAGTTCTCGTAGCTCTTGTCCACGCAGCGTGCCACGAGGTCCCGCAGCTCGACGGGCTCGACTGCCGGGAGGCCCTCCATCACGCGCTCCGAGCGTATTAGAAAATGAAGGTTTCTCCACCCAACACACCACACACAAAAAGCTGTGTCGCCGCAAATATCCGGATACTATCCGGAGGTGACAAAAGCGGGGCAAATTCGAAACGGCAAGCGCGACGACGGCGCCCAAGGACCCCACGTCGGGCGAGGTCGTGGCGACCGTCGGCCCTGGATCGCGACGCGGACCCCTATGGCCTATGGCGAAGGGTCGTGGCATCGAGGTACGTGCGACGGCAGCGCTCGCGGCGATGGCGCCAAGGGCGAGGACGACTTGCAACTTGCCTCGCGGACGCCACCGTTCGCGTACTACATGTATGAGCGCTGATCCGTCCACAAGGAGGCGCAGGGAAGAGGATGGGGCATAGACAGCAATCCCCAGCGTGTAGACAACAACGTAGTGGCGTGGCACACGAGACGCATATTGGCGAGATTGAACGCTGCAGTTTTGGAATAAGTAGGGTACAGGACACGGTGGACGACGCTGTGGCGGCAACTGTTACTGCATGTTGAAGCCGGTCGGGTCCGAGAGGAGAAGTGTTCGGACAGCGTCGTCCAAAAGCTCCTGAGTGGGGTACAACGGCAGGTCGATGCGGTTGTAGCAGGCGTGGGCCACAGGATAGGCGCCTAACGTGTACGGCACGCCTTTGAGCGTAAAATAGCAGATCTTTCCGTCGTAGCTCGTCAAGCCTACCGTCATCCGCATGGATTATAACGCTCCTCGTAGAGTATTGGTACCTTGGAAGCCTTGGACCGGTACGCGGGACGAACCGGTCGCGTACTGCAGGAGCTTGGCTTGGTCTGCGCACGAGAGCGCACGCACCAGTTGCCAGAACCACTACGCGTCATGTGTCGTCTTGGCTGCACCCTGCTGCACGCGTACCTCGAGGACGGCCGAGTTCTTTAAATTCGACGACGTGATCGTGCTTGTCTCCCAATCGTCGACGTCAATGTCGCTTTGGCCGCAAAGAATGAGCTCGAGCTATGCACGCCGTCGTAAGACGTCACGGACCCTTTGAAGAAGCCTAACCTCCTTGTGGTCAAAGACGAGGAGCAGCTCCGGTGGCACCACGTCGTATGTGCCTTGAATGAGCGCGTGCAGCGGGTCTTGGATCCGCTCAAAGAGAAGATAGCGCATCTACATCCTTCCCATATAACAATACTATGGCACAAACAAAGACGCAGCACCATGCGTTCAATGTACGCGTGCTTGTTGGCGTCCGTCACGGGCACGTCTTGGCCATGTGGTACGAGGTCGACCTCAATCAGCTTCCCTGCGCGCTCTTGGGTCACGGAGAAGGTCAGTGCCAACTCATCGACGTGCTTGTTGTCGAGCAAGTAGCGCAGACTAAACATTGTATATACATAGTCGATGCGTGCGACAGACTCGAAGCGACCTCTTGTAGAGCGTCTTGTCGAGGGTTTCAATGTCATCGAGCGTGCAGGGCATGCCCAGCAGCGCTACATAAGGTGATACGTACGCTAGAAAGTGGTACGCAGCAGGTACATATATACCTTTGAAGAGAACGGGGCTCAAATGCAGTGGCAGCACTTGGCCGTCAAGGAGGGCGCGGCCAATGAAGCGCCCCGCGGCGCGAAAGGCATCGAGGTAGTGCACGGCCGTCTCGCTACGACTCAGTATAACACTAAGAACCGAGTTTTATCCTTCCGTCGTAGTACGTCATGTCGGCGGCGCAGTTGGGGTTGATAAAGAACGAGTGGTCGTCACGGTTGGCTTCAATAAACATCCCCGAGGATTCCGAGAGCATTGCTTGCGCCACGAGCATGTACCTACGACGATACGAGTTGATATCTTGATACATGACGCACGCCATACCACTCGCGCTGGATCGCGCCCGCGTCCAAGCCCGACTCGCCGACAAACTGGAAGCGCAGAATGGCACAGAGCGCGCGGCCGTCGAGGTGCAAGAGGTTCTCGAGAGCTTCTTCAAAGAGCCGGTTACGGTTGACCTTGGTTTTGATGTACCTAGTCAAGCTTGCACCTCCATATAATACGACAAGAGCACGCCACGTACAACTCGTCGTACGGTACAAAAAGGTCGGCGGTTTGGTGGAGGAACCAGGCGTACTTGAGCGTAAAGGCGAGCTTCGTGAGCGGCAAAAGCGAGTTCCACATGGCCTCGGAGATCGACGTGCCAAGCACCGTTTTGTTGGGATCCCCCGTCGCGAGGTCGAGCCACGCAATCGCCTTGGCGCTCTTGAGCTCGCTGTAGTCGGCAGCACCCGCCTCGCTTTCGTCGACGGGCGAGTCGGGCTCGGTCACCCGATCGGTGTCCTGGGTCTTGTCCAGCCCACGCACGATGCTGCCCCGCAGCGTGATGACGACGCACTCGTCGAGCGGCTCAACTTCGTGGTTGGCAAACATCTCGTCCTGGCTCGGGTTCTACTCTCCTCCAATGTGAGCACAAACCGTTGATTGCAGCGCACCAGCTGAACGAAGAAGGCGGCGGGAAAGTCCTCCGAGTCGAGAAAGTGACGCTTCCATGAGACGTGCCCGGCACCGTCGATCTGTCGGCTCCACTGCTTGCGCATCCTACGCGTTTGCGTACATCCAAGCTGTGCGAGAGAAGGGCTACCGCGCGCTGCGCTGACGGGCGTTGAGATCGTCGGGCACGATTGCTTTTTGAAAGAGCACCGAGAGCCGGCGCATCGAGTGTCGCGGCAAGGTGGACTTGGACCGATGGCGGTAGTTGATGGACGAGCGGCGCAGCACGCTGCTGCTGCGGGTCAGGCGCGGCACGACGACCTCGGGCGATACCTCGACGAGCCGCGTGTCTATGGGCCCCGTTGCGATCGCGCTTCTTGACGTCTATGGTCGTACCCTTTGGTGTGCCGCAGAGACTACAGGCGGGTTTTTGCAGTAAGCTTTGGAACGCACAAATGGAGCACTCCCAACGCTCGACGTTGGCGAGCCTATTCGCACGAGCGTCAAGAAGGACATGACAAGCGACGTACAGCTCCTCGACGTCGCCGCGCTTGATGCCTGGCATAAACTCGTGGAAGCTACGACATGGAAGAGGCTGCATCACGGCGACACGTGGGACGCGAATGGCGTACTTTTGGTTTGTGACGGCGGGCGCGGGCAGGGGCATGCCATAGTGCTTGTTGTAGCAGTGGTTGACGATGCCGAGGAAGAGAACGAAGAGCACGATGCTGGCGCAGAGGCCAAAGAACCACAGCGTCCGGCTGCCGCCGTCCGAGGGCGAGTTCGATGACGTTGGAAAGTCCATCGATGCCAAGTCCGCGACTGGCGAGCTTCCAGCGGTAGAGACCCAGCGCGCGTGATTGGCGGGTTGGCAAGGTGAGTGATTTCTCGCAAGTGTCTCTCTCGATCCCACGACCGGCGCGACGTCGACGCGCCGAGATTAAATCACGGGCTTTTTCTGGATGCACACCAGAGTGGGACGCCACTAACGTCTCTTGTACCGAGGCAGATTCCGCTGGACCGATCTGATCTCATGCAAGAATCCAGACTGCGAGCAATGCTTCCATGTCGATGAAGCAGAGAAATACAGCTCATATTGAGACTTTTATGGTAAACAATTCGACGTGGCCCAGCAGTTACGCACGCCGGGTGCAGCGTCGACCTTGCCATGCTGCATCGCAGGTGGTAGACGTCTGTGCTGATGCTGATGATGATGGCGCGGTAGACATTATTCCGTTAATATTTCGGAGCCATAAGCCCTTTACCGCTGTACAGAAGTGGGATCGTCGACCCTCTCGAAGAATGCTCACGGAGGTACACGTAGGTGATGATGATCCTGTACTAGTACGTGGCGGTCAACGGAATAAATATGCCCTTGGTGGCGGTACTCGTAAAGCAGGCATGGCACCAGGGTAATATATGAACGTGTTTCGCGTTATCATGTTGTTACAAAGAGTTCACATACGTAGAAACTAGCAATCTCCTTCTTCTTCTTCATTCGCTCGCCGGGCCGTGGCTGTGCAGGTGGCGGCGGGGGTGCGTCTTGTATTTCTGTAGACGCCCAGGGGCGCTTGAGTCCCACGACGACAAGCTCCGTAAATTCCTTCCAGCCTTCGCGATCGACGGCAAGGCTACGCAGATTGTCGAGGGCACCACGGTAATGGCTTGAGAATCGACTTCGTCGAGACAGGTACCGTAGGTAGAGCCGCGACGCTCTGGTTGCTGTGGAGCAATTGACTGGCCTCGAAGGCTTCTTCCTGTACTAATACGTTTATCGACAAAGATCGCATCAACACGACGCCACGTGCTTGTCGTCGTCACCCACGGGCGGGGAATTGGCCCCCTTTTGACCGCTGGTTTGCAAAATCAGCCCCAAGCGTGAGTACCAAGCTGGAATTCCCTTAAAAAGTATGCTACGGCAGCTAGCGACGACAATGCATCGGCCCAGAAAGTCTGCCCACCGCAGCGCAGCGGAGGTACTTCAGGGTGTTGACTTTTGTGCGGGCCGTACCTTGGCGAGGAGCGAGCCCCAGTCTCAACACTATTAGCGATTTCATTGTAGATCGGAACCCCAGGTGGAGGCGGGTAAGCTCGCAGGGCCGCGCCGACCCTGGGGCATCATGACGCCCTCTAAAGATGCAGCTTCTCCGGTTTTGCGTAATTCTAGTGACACCGACTTGGCGATGTGTTTGTGTACAATGGTCAATTGACCAGTTTCCGATTGCACCGCAGGTACTCAATACAAGAAATCAGACCCCTAATTCAAATGGGGGCTGATTTTGCAAATTCCCCCAGCAGAATAACGCGTTAAATCTCTTCAACGCAGAGTCCAACAGAGACAGAGACAGACAGGCCGTGGACATGCCGCTGCGCCTTCGTACTGGACACGGCAGCAAGAGCAAGTAGAGTCGTGCCATTTCCCAATACATATGCCCAAGCCGACGCGCACGACGATTGCCGTGGCCATCGCCTTTGTCGCTGTCGCCGCCTTCGGCGCGTGTGTCGCCGCCCTCGCCGGCTCCATGTACGATGAGCTCGTTATGTTGCCGCACGGAGACATGGTCGTGACGAGCATCTTCACCACCATCTTTGCTGCGCTTGGTCTCGTGCATATAGTTTGGACGCGGGGCGATCCGTCGCACTTGTTGTGTCTCTTCCTTGTATTTGCCGACTTGGTCTGCTGCAGCGTGCTCTTGGGCGACGCTGTCAACGCGATTCCTCTCACGATGCGAGCGATCAAGAACGCGCCAGCGCTCACAACGTACCAGCACCGCATGGAGGCGTTCTTCGCCTCGGACGCGTCGCGCCAGTACAACTACAGTCACACACTTGGTAGTGGCGTCGCCAACGCACCACGGAACCCCATCGCCAGCGAGTACCCGTCCAAGGCCGCACAAGCTTTTGCGGACGCGTACTGCGTGAGCGAAGGCCACCGATTTTGCAGCGCCTTTCCACTCGTTCAGACTATCTTGTACCCGAGCATGTGGCCCGACCCGAACGTGACGGCCGAGATTGCACGCACCCTCGCGACGCTCCCGACGACGTTTCTGGACGTTCCGGTGACAGCGTCGACAACTATCGACAGCTTCTGCGCCGCCGTCAACCTGGCGAGTGCGAGAAGCAATGTCATCGTGGCGGGAATCGAGCGCGCCGATGAATTCAACCGTGACCTCAACAACCTCTGCCGAGGCTGCGCCGCGCTCTCCAACATCGCGACCAAGTCCTATGCGCTCGATCGCTGGATCCATGCCACATGCCCCATGGATGTGCCCAAGCCCACAGGCGCCTACTGCGTCGCCACCGCCCACTGCTCCGAGTACAAAAGCAAGAACGGGGACTACTACTGCTATTTTTCGCCGTCGCTCTGGATGCCTGAAAGGACGTATTTGAACCCGTCGTACGACGCGTGCTTTGGTCACACGCTCATGACGGTCGCGCATCAGTACGAGCTGGCGGTTGCGATTGCCGCGGGCACCCTCGTCGTCTTCTTGCTGCTCCTCTTTGCGCGTCTCTGGGTGCTCCACCGCGCGGAGAAATTTCGCGAAGCCATGCGCGCAGCCGTCGTACAAACGCCCGGCAACAATGTCTAGTCATTAACTATTAATATACACCCAAGTCGCATTGAGTCATGGGCCTCATCCGCGGCCTGGCGAGCGAATGAAGAAGAAGGAGATTGCTGGTCGCTACGTATGCGAACTCTTTGTAGCCACCAAGATAACGCGAAACACGTTCATTTATAAAAGTCACATTGACCAATGACATACCCCAAGTCTCAAGAATGCGATCCGAGCATGGAAACCTAACCCTGCCCTAACCCTAAACCCTGCGTCGAGTACATGGCATGGTACTGTTCCTGGTACTAGTACTGTTCTACCAGTTCGACGACAGTTCTGGTGCCCATCGATCTCGATCGACGTTGAGAAAAAACCTAGAGCATACGCATGGCTTTCTCTGTATCGATAGCATAGCTGAGGACGGTGCCAGAGATTGGATGCAGCCTTTGTTGTCGACATGGCAATATAAGCGTACAAATTGTGTATGCTTCTTGATAACTTTGCGCATCAACTCGACGACAGCTGCTCTCTGCAAGGTTGCCAACCACCCGAATGGTATGTGCCACGTAAGCTTACGACGGAAGAGTTCCGTACGACATGCAGCTGCATGGAGGTTTCACCGTGTGCTCCTGTGCCATACAACCGGTAGTCTCTTGCAGACACGTCATGCAGTACTTCTGCACGATCATATTACTACTAGTACATCGGTATGCCAGGGTCCATTGTTGCGGACACGGCACTGGTGCCGGTATAGTACGGTACATGTAAAATGACGAGCACCGTCAACACATGGCTCGTTTGGTGGCTGGTCGGTTTAACGCGTTAAATCCATTCAACGAAGTGTCAGACAGACACAGACAGGCGGTGGGCATGCCGCTGCGTCTTCGTACCGGTACTGGACACGGCAGCAAGAGCACGTGGAGTCGTGTCATTTCCCAATATGGCCAAGCCGACGCGCACGACAATTGCCGTGGCCATAACCTTTGTCGCTGTCGCCGCCTTTGGTGCCTGCGTCGCCGCCCTCGCCGGCTCCATGTACAATGAGGTCGTCGCGCTGCCGCACGAAGTCATGGTCTTGGTGAGCATCTTCACCATAGGCTTTGCTGCGCTTGGTCTCGTGCATATAGTTTGGACGCGGGGCGACCCTTCGCACTTGTTGTGTCTCTTCCTTGTATTTGCCGACTTGGTCTGCTGCAGCGTGCTCTTGGGCGACGCTGTCAACGCGATTCCTCTCACGATGAGAGCGGTCGAGAAAGCGCCAGTGCTCACGACGTACCAGCACCGCATGGAGGCGTTCTTCGCCTCGGACGCGTCGCGCCAGTACAACTACAGTGACTCCCTCCTTGGTCGAGGCTACGCGTCGGACGTACCATCGAACCCAATGCGCTACACCTACAGCGACGAGTACCCCATGAAGGCCGCGACTGCATTTGCGGAAGCGTACTGCGCGAGCGAAGGCCACCGTTTTTGCAGCGCCTTCCCACTCGCACAAACCATCGTGTACCGGGCATGTGGCCCGACCCGAACGTGACGGCCGAGATTGCACGCACCCTCGCGACGCTCCCGACAATCTTTTTCAACGTCATGGTGACCGCAACGACGACCATCGACAGCTTCTGCGTCAACTTGACGGAGACGAGGAGCAATGTGTCCACGCTCGACCCGGTGGCCGTCCAGCGCGCGGCTGCAATCAAAAGTGAGCTCTACAATCTCTGCCGAGGTTGTGCCGTGCTCTCCAACGTCACGACCAAGTACGATGCGCTTCAGAGTTGGATTCATGCCACGTGCCCCATGGATGTGCCCAAGCCCACAGGCGCCTACTGCGTCGCCACCGCCGACTGCACCGCGTACAAGATCAAGAACCAGGAGGACCTGCCCGTCCTCATCGCTCGCGACGTATGAACGGACGTATTTGAACCCGTCGTACGGCACGTGCTTTGGTCACACGCTCATGACGGTCGCGCATCAGTACGAGCTGGCGGTTGCGATTGCCGCGGGCACCCTCGTCTTCTTCTTGCTGCTCCTCTTTGCGCGTCTCTGGGTGCTCCACCGCGCTCAGAAACGTCGCGAAGCCATGCGCGAGGCCGTCGTGCAAACGCCCGTCAACAACGCCTAGTCGTTAACTATATACCGATGTCACGTTTACCACGAGTCGTCTCGCAGAGTCTTTCCTTTCTGTGCAAGGGTGCGATCCGAGCATGGAAACTTAACCCTGCCCTAGCCCTAAACTCTGCGACACGCATATGTTGGCATGCTGCTCTACGACAGTTCTGGTGCGTGTCAATCTCAATCGACGTTGAGACCGAGCCTAGAGCTTATGCATGGTTTTCTGTGTATCGATAGCGCGGTCGAGGACGGTGTCGGCGATTGGATGCTGCCTGGCTGTCGTCGAACAGTTGCAAAAAACTTGGAGCGCCTGTGAGCCACACGACTGGAGCAGCCTTCTACTATAGTCAGGACACTGCGGTTGGACTTGAACCATTGCCTGCATCAACGGGAACACGGATTGGCCATGGTGGCCATGTTGACGCTGGACTCGTCGTATCTGGGATGTCAAATACTACACCAATTATGTACCATCAAGTGGATACTATTTAAATACAGAAAACACGACTACTCGATGTTGAAGCCGGTCGGGTCCGAGAGGAGGAGCGTCTTGAGAGCATCTTTCAGAAGCTCTTCGCTCGGATACAGAGGCAGGTCGATGCGGTTGTAGCACGCGTGGGCCACGGGGTAGACGCCTTGCTTGTACGCGACCCCTTTCAACGTAAAGTAGCAGATCTTGCCGTCGTAGCTCGTCAAGCCTTTAAAGCCCTGGACTGGCACGCGCGACGCACCCGTTGCATACTGCAGTAGCTTGGCTTGGTCGTCTTGGGGCAGGCTCGACACAATGTTCCAAAACCACTAGAGAACGATGTCGATGAGATGCGCTGGCGTCAACATCCGATACCTCGAGCACGGGCGTATTGTCGAGATTGGATGACGTGACCGTGTTGGCCTGCCAGTCGGCCAAGTCGATTTCGTGGAGGCCGCAGAGAATGAGCTCGAGCTCCTTGTGGTCAAAGGCCGTGAGCAGCTCGGGGGGCAGGACATCGTAGACGCCTTCGATGAGCGCCAACAGCTGCGTCTCGACGCGGCCAAAGAGCAAGTGTCGGACCTAGCCCATGCACTCGCACTCGTACACTCGAAGATGCTGCAATCGACGCACCATGAGCGCAATGTACTCGTGCTTGTTGGCGTCCGTCACGGCCATCTCGTGTCCATTCTCGATCAAGTCGACTTCGAGCATGCGGTCGCCAAAGCACTGCGTCACCGAGAACGTCAGCGCCAGGTCGTCGACGCGATCGTTTTGCACAATGTATTGCAAGCTACATGGAGATGCGTTCCTGTGCAAATACGATATCATACCTCGTATACGTCGTCTTGTCGAGGCTTTCAACGTCATCGAGGGTCATGGGAACACCCAGGAGCGCTATGCAATCGGTTCTGTCAAGCACTCTACGACGACACCAAACGACGTCGACGGGTACCTTTGAAGAGGACGGGACTGAGCTGGATCGGCAGCACTTGGCCGTCAAGGAGCGCGCGTCCGATGAAGCGGCCCGCCGCGCGGAAGAGTTCGAGGTGCTCGAGTTGCACGTCCCTACGCACCGTCAGTAGGCGTCGCATGCATCAATAAGGTCGTACAAATGGCTCGTGTCGTGGGCCGAGTTGGGGTTGATAAAGTACGAGTTGTCGTCGCGGTTGGAAAGCGTAAAGAGACCCGACTCTTCGTGCAAGAGCGCGTGTGCCACGAGCGTATACCACTCGCGCTGGATCGCGCCGGCGTCGAGGCCGGACTCGCCGATGAAGTTGTAGCGAATGATCGCGCAGAGCCCTTGGCCCTTGATGCCCAAGAGGTTCTCGAGCGCCTCCTCAAAGACCCGCGCCCGCTGGACTTTGGTTTGAATGTGCCTACGCTCCACAAAGTCATGAAAGACGAAACGACGTCGACGGAACGCACAAGTCGGCGTAGGGCACGATGAGGTCCGACACTTGGTGCAGAAACCACGCATACTTGAGTGAAAATGGAAGCCGAGAAATCGGCAGCAGCGACGACCAGGTCGACGGCAAGAGACGGAGACCGGTCACGGTCGTCGCAGCGTTGATGCCCTCGATGGGCACCCAGGCAATGGTTTGGATCGCGTCCAAGCCCGGCGTCTCGGCCGAGCCGAGCGTCGTCGAGTCGTGGATGATGACCGTCACCGACACGTCCGGACCATTGGAATCGCCGACTTCGTGGCGGATGGGACCCTATGTATGACGTCGCATGATGACGCCATGCACAACGGACACACCGTTTGAATCACAAAGGACGCGGGGCATTCTTCCGTGTCGAGAAAGTGGCGCGCCCAGACGACGTTGCCCTTCGTGTCCAGTTGCCGCGTCCACTGCTTGCGCATGCTACGCAACCGTTGGACGTGGTGCAACATACGATCACGAGGGTACCGAGCGCTTCGCTGGCGCGGGTTCAAGTCTTCTGGTAAAATGACTTTTGAAAAATGACGAGAGCCGCTGGAACGACTTGGACGTTTGTCGCTGCAACGACTTGGACGCGCGCTGGCTCATTGAGCGCGACGGCTTTTCCGGCTCGTGCGCCGGCACCGTGTCCGAGTAAAACTCAATGAGGCGGTAGTCTATGGCACGTAGTGATGACGAATGCATCAATGTCCTCGAGGTAGATTTACCTCGGTGGGTGCTGCAGAGGCTGCAGATCGGCTTGGTCACGAGGTTCATAAAGGCGCAGACCGAGCACTCCCAGCGTTCCATGTCGAGCGTCCTACGCATCATCGACAGTCCTCTCCGTTCGCATGACCATGGCCGTTCGTACAGCTCTTCGACGTCGCGGCGGTTGAGGCCCGGCATGAACTCGAGAAAGCTAGGTACAGAGTGGCATGAGCCGTCACCTGGTTGTGTAGCTTCGCATGTACATACTTGCGGTTGAGGAGCGCTTCGCCGAGGCCAGTGGCCTCAGGATGGCGGCGCATGTAGATGCAGTTGGCGATGCAGACGCCGGCGAGCAGTACGACGACGCCGCCGAAGAGGTACGTCACAGTGGATGCGTCCATGCTGGCAAATCGTCAACTGCGGTCGCTCCGACCTTTGACACATGATTGCAGCCAATCACAAACCGGGACGCAGAATGTCGGTCGTGGTTAGCCATACAAAGGCCAAGTCGTTCCCACCCAAGTGGGCGGCTTGCGGGATTCTGAGCCTTCCGTGATATGAGGCAGAGACATGCTCATCGAACGACGAACCCACGACGGACCCACCAGTAGTGCTTTGGTCTCACTGTGCGGATATGCAGTGTCAAGGCGTCGTCGTCTATGGTCGACTGCGGAGGACCAGGCTACTTGGACTCAGCTCTTGGGGTTTTTACGGAAACAACCAGCTACTTCTCCGCCGCACCAGCGGTTCGGTAGGGCCACTGAAAGGATTACTGTACGCAGGTCGTACCGGTATGCGATGCCCCGGAACTGCAAGTAGCGACCGTACCACAACACACCACGCAGCAAGCAGACTGATCCATGAATCTGGGCCAAAACTGATCCAACCAATTATTGATCCGACGCCGTCCAGCCACGCCGTCCAGCCGCGGGCGCCGAGTAGCCTCGTGTAGCAGTTGTGGCTGTTGTTAGCCTCGTGTAGTAGCGTGGACGCTCTCAACCATTCGCCAAAGTTCGATGGGCAGTGGGAATGTTGGTCATTGGGACCACTTGCAAGTGGCGCGAAAATTCCATGCGTTGCAAAGGCGCCAAAGTGGGATGGAACCAAGGGGATTCCGATTTGGTTGGAAGAGTCCCGTGTGTGCTGAGACGACGGATGGTCGTTGTCGCTGCAGTAATACAGTCGCACTGGCACAGGCGACGAGGAGCCGCAACAAAAAAGGAAGCAAGTGACAAACGACGTGCTCCTGAAGCATTCTCATGTCCCCATCGAGGCCGCGAGATTGCGAACGTCCGCTGCGTGACAGCTCCACGGATCGCCATGATGGATCGATGTCATTTCTACCAGTGGAGATCGCAGATGTCCATCTAGGACGAGAACATGACGTGGCACGCTGCGGAGACTGTATCTGTGCGATGACCAATGCGGTGTGTACTAGTAGCATTTGATGAGCATCGTTGCTGGATATCGAGGTATAAGATCCATCCATTCGTCTACCGATACGCGATAGGTGATGACTTCTTGGTCCGCAAGAGCATCTACGCGAAAGCACTATACTATTACTATCTGGAAGCTGTGCGATTGTGATTTTTAACTCATGCTGGCTTGACTCCTACGTGAGGTGCACCATGACAACGACCGACCCAAAACAACCTATTGCATTGTACGATCGTGCGCAAACGCAAAGTGGAGCGTCGGTCGTGGTGGGTGGTGACAATCACTTGCAGATTCAGCGTCGCCATCGCCACCGTCCCCACAAACACGCTCAATACCATTGCAGCCCATCCGATCTTTGGTAATACAAGACTTGCCGTACTCGAATGCGGGCTCCAAATGACCGACGTCCTACATCGTACTCATGCCTTGTACTCATCGTCTCTGGACTCTCGACACATGGGTCTTGAAGACGGTGTTCAAAAGGACAGGTCGACACGGACCACAGAGGAAGCACTTGGTATCTAACCCCACTTTTTGACATGCTACGAGCGTCATTATTGCTGCATGTATTACAGCTCAAGTGGGCTACGGCTGTCCACTCGGACCGAGCATTCGACGGAGTATGGAGGTGTCTCTTGGGTCGTCTTTCCCAAGCACATGCAAATGCGCACATCCCAATACATGTACTAAAGTAGTATGTGGTGCATCCAGGCTCTCTGCGTCGCCTCCACCGATCGACGCGCGGCGTTGATTCTCATATTGCACTCTTGTTGAGCAGGACAGATTCAAGTCCATACTGACATAGTTGGCAGATTATTCGATTGTATGTTATGACATCGAATACCTTCAGCGGGCGCTTACGCCTCGGCCTTGAGCGCCTCGAGGATGTTCTTGCGGAGGAGGAAGAGCGTCTTCTTCTGCGGCGTCACGTTGTCGTCCTTGAGCATGTTCTCGAGGCGAGCAATCTCCTTGGTCACGTACGCCGAGCCCTTGGCAAGGATCTTCTTGATGGCCTTGACGTACAAGTTGCCGTGCTTGAGCTCGTCGCCCGAGAGGCCCTCGACGATCTTCTCGACCGACTCGAGCGTCGTCTTGGAGACACCGCCGTCGGCGCCGACAACCACATCGATGGCCTCGACGCGGCCGGCCGTCGGGAGCAAGCCGCCCTCGGGCGTGCGCTGCGTACCGGCCTTCTCGTTGACAAAGTCGACAAACTCCTGGAGTTCGCGGCCAAAGCCGTAGTCCTCGGCCTCGGAAGCGCCCGTGCCAAAGTACTTGATGGTCGGGTAGCCAGAGACCCCAAACTTGGACGCGAGGTCGCCCGTGGCCGTCGCGTCGACCTTGGCAATCACCACGTTCTCCTCGCCAGCGTAAATGTTGGCGAGCGACTCCCACGTCGGCGTGAGCTGCTTGCAGTGGCCGCACCACGGCGCGTAGAACTCGACCAAGACGTGCTTCGTCGGGTCCTGCGCGACCGACGCTATTCAACATACAGCATGAGCGACGGCAAACCTCATATGCCTACCAAAGTCCGATTCGGTCAAGGCAGCGACGTGCGAGAAGGGCTTGGCGACGCGAACGTTCGTGCCAGCCTTCTCGTTCAAGAAAGCCACCTACACCGCCCATGACGACGACGATGAGCATCCATGCGATCGAGGCCATGCTCCTACCAATTCGTCTTCGCCACGACCGCTCGTGTACGTATCCGGGTACTTGGCGCCCTTGTTCCAAAACTTGAGCGTCGGGAAGCCCGTCACTTCAAACTTCTCGCCCAAGTCGCGGTGCTCGTCGGCGTCGATCTTGGCGACAACGACGTCGTCAACGTTCTTGAAGGACGTCGCGACCGTCTCCCACGTCGGCGCGAGCTGCTTGCAGTGGCCGCACCACGGCGCGTAGAACTCGACCAAGACGTTCTTGGAGCCATCGATGACCTCGTCAAAGTTCTCGGGCGTGAGCACGACGACGTCCGAGGCCATGACGGCGGTCACCGCCATCGCGGCGAGCGCAGCAAAGATCGAGCGCATTATGGTGGACGATTGCAAAATGGCGTTCCCGACGGGCGGCGCGAGCAGTGTCCGGATACGTTTCCGGCAGTGTACCCCGGGGTCCTGCTGCATTTCACATGCTTTTTAAAAGTACATACAAGGAGCACGTACATTGTCGGCCATTGTGCGATGTATATTAAAAGAAAGTGGCCTGTGCCGGTGTATGGAAGATTCGAGCACCTTGGATACGTGTTCAACGCTTGTTTGCTGGCCGCTAAAGAGGCCACGCGCAAGGCCATGGCTCGCTGCCGAGGCGCTGCGATCGAGACGATGGACCTGAGCACAGGCCGCAACTAGTCGTGCCAACCAAAGAGCACGTCGTCACGACTTGGCTTGGTGAAGCGCAGCTGTGGTGGCCCATCGTCCGCCGGTCCTCGGTGCCACATAGCATCCTCGCTCGCCTCTGTCGTGCGTCGTGGGCAGTGGTAGAGGAGCGCCGGTGGGGCTAGCGACTCGAAGAGCCCAGCAGTGTTGTCGTCGACTGGAGCAGGTAGCGCTGGTGATGGTGGTCGCTCCATAGGTACAGCAACAGCGTTCTTTGCTGGCGACGATGTTGGCTACAAGGACACTGGTGGATGCGCGACCCATCGCGGTACTATCCTATCGGTACCTCGAACGCCACTGGCGAGATTGTCATATCGTGTGCCAAGTCGCATTGGACGGCAAGCTCGGATGTCTCCACCATGGGCGCATCGGCGGCGTCGGTGGCGACGGCCTTGGTGGAGCACATGACATCGATCGTCTCTGGCTTGCTCTCTGGCGTGGGTGCCACCGGGGCGGGGGCCATGGCGTCGACGGTCGCAGCAAACGACGGAGGCAAGTGCGCCAGCAGCGCTCGTCCGTGACACGTCAGCACGACGCCGCCGCCAATTGAGCCCACCACGTCGCCTGCGTGGTTGAGAAGGTCCCATTGACGCTGGAGATGTACCCACTCGGCGCGTTCCAAGCGCGCGTGGCGGCTCGGCTGTGCTACGCGCCATGAGACTCTCGTCGATCCCTCCAGAACGACAAACCATCGGCAGATCGATGCACGTGAACGCTAGAAGCTGCCTCGAGGTTGTATCGGATTTCTTCATTACCATGAGAGCGAGCGGCGTCGCGGCGACGTCGTCCACGAAGCGGTCCATGGGCATGCGGAACATGCACGACTTGCCTTCCTGGACAAGACAGGCATGCTCGTTGACCTTTAGTTGGACGTCGTGCAGCAGGACGACGTCGAACGCAAGCAACTGGAAGCCGATCGAGAGCACCTGGTCAGCAGAGCAAGCGAGTCCTTCCAAGCTCAGGCTGTCGACGATAAGCTCGAAGAGGAAGAGCGTCTCGTCGTCCATCACAATCGGTTATGCTGGCGGTTGTAATTTTGTGGTGTTATTTTAATTTCGCAAGGTTCACAGTGTGTATGTATGCTGCATTGATTGTGTGCATAAAAGAGCAATCTATTTTTCCATCGGTCGCGTGGAAAATGGGGTTCTGGACCGTCGACCCGTGGGTCGTCCGACGCCGGGGCAAGACGACGTACGTCGAGCGCCAGGAGACGAGAACGGGCAGCTCTCTGCGCCAGCCCTACATGCGCGTCTTCGCTGCGCTCCTCCTCCTCCTGCTCAACGTCATCGTGCACCAGACCAACCCGGTCGGCCTCTCGCATGCGGCGGCCTACATCCCGCTCTATGGCACCGCGTTCAACTTTCTTTGCCGCTCGACGCTGCAAGACGATACAAGCAGCACCAACGTACGTGCGACCGAGATTCAAACGCTCATGCGACGCATTAGGCGGCGCGCGTGATTGCTGCCATGGTTTCGTTGGTGCTCGGCGCGATCTTGGCTCGTCTTGTGGTCTTCCCAGCCCTCCATGAGTCCTGGACCATGTTTTCCGCGGGGCATGCGAGCTTTCGGTGCGTGCGCATATGGTCCTTGAGCGTCTCATCATGCGACGCAGGGTCGTCGAGACGAAGGCAGCGGACGGCCACGTCCAGCCCGCGACCTACCGCCATGGTATGCTGCATCCTGCTCGTACGTCGCCGGCAACGGATCGTAGTGTCGGGCGTTGCTAACGATGGCAAGGCCTTCCGCCACGAGGTGCACATTGGGTCGTCGTCGCAAGGCTCGTGGGCGGTCATGCTTGTCATCACCCCGCTCGTCATGGTCGTCGCCGCCTCCATCTACAACTGCTTTGTGCCATCCACGCTCGCTGTAGCATGCATGATTCCAAGCATGAGGCGTCATGGGCGGCGTAGGTCACGGGTGTCGTCAACGTCTCGTACGCCCAGCTGTACCCGTCGGTCCGGGGTATCTCGCTCGTCTTTAACGCACTCGTTCTCTTTGCCGTGCTCGACACAATGCTCCAAGACTCGAACCGCTGTGATGTAATACGTTATTTCGAGCTGCTTGTATCTATCAAGTTGATAGACTGATAGAATCTACGGTAGGCGGTCTACGGCGGCTGGATGCAGGCGCTGCGCACGCACCTGTGGCGCCACCACGCCTGCCGTATCGTTTGCTTTTGGTTGTATACGGCCGGCGCCATCACCTTTGCCGTGCATGGCCTGCCCGGCTTTTCGACTTGGTGCAAAGAGCTCTTTGAGCACGCGCCCGACCACCTTCTGCACGAGTCCTGGCGGGCGTTCCTCAGCGGTCTCGTCGTCGTCCTCCATCTTGTGGTGCGTACGGGATCGAAAAACGTGCGTCGTCGATGTCGGTGCTAGGTGCTGGTGCAAGACTGGGATTTCCCAACGATGGCGACCGTCCGCGGTATTTACCTCCCAGGTCTAACGACCGAGTGCCTCGCGCTCCATGTGGGGCGTCGCTGCGTTGTGCTCACGGGCAAATGGCTCGTCGCGTCCCTCACAGTACGAGAGAAGAGATGACGAGATGGGACGAGGCTGATGACGCGGCTGCGTAGCTCTGGATGCTACCGCTGGACATGTGGGTCTTTGGCCACCAGCTCAACTACGAGGCCGCGTCGTACGGCCAAGTGACCGACCCCGTGACGCACCGGATTCTCTCCATCACCAACGCGACTTGGCTCGCCGAACGCGCGTGTGGCGTGCACTGCTACACGATCCCAATGAACGCCACCGGTACATGCTGCGACGAGCTTTCAGCATCTTGATATGCGTGGCACTAGGGCTTTCGACCGCGCCGACTGTGGGGCGGCACTTTGGCTGGCCTGTCTTTGACCAAATGCCGGCCGTGTACATCACCCTCATCGCACTCTTCCTCTTCTTCCGTCTTGTACGTTTGGATGGAAAAGGGCGTCGTGGATCGTGTGCTCTATAGGCGTGGACCGAAGACAGCCGCTTCATGGTAGCCGTGCACATGCAAGGCGTGAAAGCTACCACGTACAGCGCGCAGCTCCAGAGCTCGGCGCTCACAGCGATCGCCAGCGATGGTCCGATCAGGCTTTTGTTTCGAGTCCTTACGTAGCCTTTGCGTAGCGCTGCGCCAGTTGGCGTCCATCAAGCACCTGTACGCGCTTCGAAAGCACGTCGACGGCGTGTGCATCACGCTCGCCATGCTTGGACTGCTCCTCATGCTCTTCCAGCTGCACTCGATCTGGGAAGGTACGTTCCCCGTTGCGTCCAGTGGTATGGAACCCATGTGTCTTTAGTGGACGTTGTCTTTGGGCACGCCAAGTACCCACGCAACGCGGTATGTCGATCGTCTGAAGGGACCAAGGGCACTCAGTCACGTGTAGCTGTCGGCGCCTGGCCAAACGTACAGTGTGGTCATCTTGGTCTCGACGCTCGTGCTCGCGTCGCAGCTCGTGACGCGCACGCAGCTGACGCTTCAAATCGCAAAGCTTCGGCACCAAGTGCCGGCGTGTGCGACCTTGTGGCGCCACCCGGCGACGCGGTTCACGCTCGCGGCCGAGCTGGTTGCGAATTTGTGGATTGTCCCGCCGTTCATCACGGGCTTTGCCGAGCTCGACGAGTTTCAGTTTGATGCATCGACCTGCACGCTGCCGGTACACCCGCGATGTGGTTTCGGCATGACACGCATTTTTCGTCGTCATTAGATGCTCCGGCTCGACGGCGGGTGCTACTACCGCCTACGCTACCCCGTCGAGACGCTGGGACTGGTCATGCTCGTGCGGCTCTACTGGATTGTGCGCCTTGTCCGGAACCACTCTGGGTTTTACGGCCAGCGCGTCGACTTTCTCGGGTCCCTCCACAACGTCAGCACCGACTCGCCGCTGTGGCACTTTCGCGCCATCTTCCACCACCGCCCTGGTACGAAGATTGCTTTTCTTACGGGTGATGACGCGGCGACTAGTGTTTGCATTTCTGTTTTGCACGCTCGTGACGTGGCTCGCAACGGCGGCGGGCGTCTCGGTCATGGAACGCAGCATCCCGTCGGCGCTCGACTCGGATCTGACGTCGTCCTGGCTCATTGTCGTGACGATGGCGACCGTCGGGTATGGCGATTACTTTGCCCGCACCCGCGGCGGTCGCTTCCTCACCGTCATGGGTGGCATCATTGGCGGCACGATCGTACGTCAATACTATCTGGAGTAGATCCGGTGTGGATAGTACACGCCTCCTAGGTCATCTCGATGCTCACATCGCTCTTTATGGGGTCGCTCCAAACCACGTTTGGCGAAGAGCGGGTCTTGTACGTTGTGCGCTACAAGCGCTGGCAGAAAGCACGATTGGACGCCGCCGTGAACCTCATCAAAGCCGCGTGGCGCCGGCACAAGCTCGAGAAAGCCAACAAGTCGACGCACTCGGCGGACCGCGCGCTCTTCAAGTACATGCAAAAGGTAGCAGTACCATCCGTCCAAGCACAGAGGTGACGCGTCTCCCAGGTGCGCGAACTCCGGCTCGGTGCGATCACGGACGGCGACGACGTTGTCGGCAAAGGTATGGGCAGAGAAGGAGCATGCGTGGTATGGCTATTTAGTGCGCGAGTGGAAGAGTGAGTCGGTGGTACCATTGCTTGTCGCCGCGCACGCCAAGCGCACGGCTGTTCTCGACGACCTCGAGGCCAAGGTGCGTCCGATGCTTCCGAGTTCTCTTTCTACAGGATCGCGTAGGTGCAACGCGTGGGAAGCCTCGTGACGACCATCGAGTCGCTCGTGCTTGCCAAGACGAAGAAGAAGATGACGGTGTCTTAGAGCCGCTTATTGAACGTGTTCATTCGACAGACGCGCGCGGCTTGTGTCATGAAGCTATGCATATTCCTTCATCAATACTACGTGGAATCGATCGTGTTTGCATCTACGCATCGCCCGCGTCGTCGTGGCCTTGCCACTTTTCCAGTTGCCCGAGCTGCGTGAGCGCTTGCGCCTCGAGCTTCCATGCCTCCATGTTGTCTACATTCGATGTGGAAATGATGTCGTCGTTTATGGTACGAGGTAGAGAAGGGTGTACGCGGGTCCTTGCCGAGCTCGCGGGCGTGGTCGAGCTTGCGATGCAGCTTGGCGGCTTCCACGAGCACGTCGACGGTCGGCACGTCTATCTTGTAGTACTACCATGACGCACGTTGAGCGACAAGGCGGCGAGTCCGTAGAGCAGTCATACGCGCGTGCGCTCCGTGATGTACACGTGGTTGGCCTACGAGAAGACGAGCCATCGGCGGGATCGAGCAACTCAGATCTGGATGGTGTACGCTCTTCTTGACCTTGGACTTTCTCGCAGGCTCCGTCATGCGTCTACGACGGTACTTGGCTTGGCGTTGCTAATACTTGGCTATTCTTATCACGACGACGCGCTCGGACGCCATTTCGGTTGCTCTCGGTTAAGACACCACATACTGTGTAGCACAGAGGCGTTCAGCGTTCGCTGCTTCTTCAAGAGGACGGTCCTATTGTAGTCCTTTGGTGTTCGGTCGGACCTCTCTCGACGATTGATATCACCACCGGCTTGTCCGTTGCCGCTTTGACCTCGTTCTTTAATTTATCGGGAGCTGCTGACATCTGTGCTGCGTGCATCTCCGGCAATCATGGATAGACAGGCAGTGTGCTAGTATATCTATGTTATTAGCTAGAACTCAACCTAGCGGCATGAGCGCGAGGTCCGATGCGCTCGTTCGTGCGACCAGGAGCCGTCCGGGAGCCGGTGAATCCTTTGGCAACCGTTGGCGCCAAAAACCGAAATTCCATGATTTTAGCCAATGAAAACGCGAGGAGTCTCCGCCAGTCAATTTTCGATGGCGACGTCAAGTGCAACATTTTGTTCAGTTTGGAATTTGCCTTTCATCGAGCAAGTAGCTAGAGATGTAGTTAGTAGGAACAGAGTGATGAACTCAACTCTACGTTTCACGACGGTCAACTTACTTCTTCGGAAGGATGCCGAAACTCGAGATTCGCTTTACCTCTCTGATCTGTTCCCAAAAGACGATAGTTCGTAGATTCTGGAGCTGTGGATGTAGATGAGGAGAAACCAATTTCTGTCAATCCCCTGAGATTCTCGGTGAAGAACAAAAATTACACTTTTTAACTGCAAACTGATACATCCACCCTCCCATTAACGTATCTCAATGAGAAATAAATGCCCTTCTCGAATCAACTTGTGTCCCCGACTACCGCGCCCTTCTTCGTCCTCATCGCAGCTCTCCATCGCCAATGAGCTCGCAACGTAATTCCCCCAGCTCAAAATTGTCTCCGGTCGCCAGTAGCCCTGTGTGCGACGGAAACAAACGCACTCGCATAAGAGACTGTCCAGTGGTGTTCTGGACCCACTGCTTCGGCGACGCCATGACTGCGCAAGTAGAATCGTTGTATAAAGCTGGAGAGAAGCCCATGTGATGGCCGCGCATCCACCGTCTAAAGAGACTCGGACGACGGCAGTTTCAGCAGCTTCTAGTATCGGATATATAAGATTGGCCGTGGGAGTGTGATATGCCCAAGGCCAAGGCCAGTCGGCGCGAGAACCCGGTCGTCTTTCTCGACATAACCGTGGCCAAGCAGTTCATTGGGCGCATGCTCATCGAGGTGCATCTATCACCTCGACGTCGTGCAAATTCGAGCCTTTCGAGTCGTAGGTCCGCGCCGACGTGGTGCCCAAGGCGGCCGAGAACTTTCGCGCGCTCTGCACGGGCGACTGCAAGGACGCACGTGGCCGCGCCTTGCACTACCTTGGCACGTACGAACGCCTCTGCTTGCAATGCTTTAGACTGCAGCGATCAACAATACGATTAGGCCCATTGGCCGCGTCGTCCTTGACTCGCATCTGCAGGCCGGCGACATTGACGGCAACGGCGGGACATCCATTTACCCCACAAGGCTCTTTGAAGATGAGAACTTTCTCTTGCGGGTACATCCATCGACTCGCTCGACAGACGAGGCGTTGTCATCGACTATTACCTGTACGACTACTTGTATGGCGTAGCATGTCGGACCTGGCACCGTCTCGATGGTCAATGCTGGCCCCGACTCGAACGGTTCGCGCTTCAGCATCCTCTTTGCCTCGGTACGATTCTACATGATGGACGAGGAAGACGCAGCGGAGTAGGCGCCATGGCTCGACAACAAGAACGTCGTCGTCGGGAGCCTTCTTGGCGAGCGGAGCTTCGAGACGCTCGGGCTGCTGCAGCAGCTTACCGCCACCGAGTGCGGCCAGCCCAAGCAAGCCGTGCTCATCTCTAACTGCGGCCAACTCTTTCCATTTTAAGGTCCAACCGTCGCAAGCAAGGAAGAAGAGGAGGGCAGGATGCGAGTCGGACAGCGCTGGCTCTTCCTCCGTAAGGATGGGGTGTACTGTACAAGATGGTCTTCGGTTGTAACCATGTTCTCCTTTATTATGCATTATTGGTTGCCATAATGCAGGCGCGCGCAGGCACTAATTGCTTAGTGCTTGGCGGCGGCCTTCTGCTCGCGCATGCTGCGTTCCTCAAGGATCGAGAGCTTGACACCCTTGCCCTTGGGGAGCGAGACCCACGGGCGGCCGTCCTTGCCGACGGCGAAGACGTTGCCCTGGCGCGTGGCGAACTCGGCGCCCGTCGTGTCCTTGATGTGGGCAATGTTGAACGAACCCGCGTGTCTATAAAAGAGTCGTCATGAGCCTCTGCTGTCGGAAGTAGCCATGGGTATGGCGGAGAGAGGCGTGTGTGTTGCAATGGGAGTACCATCACACCCAGCTCGTAGAGTCAACGGGTGTGTTCATACCTTTCGATGTGGTGGAGGATACCGACACGGCCAGCGTTGCGGCCGCGCGTGATCATGACCATGGCGCCCGTCTCGAACTTGATGAAGTCGACGACCTTGCCCGTCTCGATGTCGATCTTGACCGTGTCGTTGACCTTGATGAGCGGGTCGGCGTAGCGGATCGTGCGGCCGTCGTTCGTGGCGACGTACGGGATCTGCTTGGCCGTGAACTCCTGGCGCGTGACCTTGGCGAGCTTGTACTTCTTCTCCTCCTCGTTGATGCGGTGGAGGACGAAGCGGCCCTTGGTGTCGTAGAGAAGGCGGAAGACATCGCCCGACTTGGTGATCTCGACGACGTCCATGAAGCCGGCCGGGAAGTTGGGGTCGACACGCGTCTTGCCGTCAACCTTGACGAGCTTCTGCATGCAGATCATCGTGACTTCCTGCTTGGTCAGGGCGTACTTGAGGCGGTTGCGGATGATGATGATCAAGGGCAAGCACTCACGGAGCTTGTGGGGGCCCGACGACGGGCGGGGCGCCCAGATGCCATCGAGCTTGCCGAGCATCCAGTGCTTGGGGGCGCTCATGCGCTTGAGGTGGTGGCGAGGACCGCGGGGCATGGTAGCTTCTTATCGGACGGTCAAAAGGAGAACTATGGTCCCAATTGAGTTTGCACTTTCATTTTCAGCGATGGCCAGCCAATGAATCGCATCCGGATAATATGCATACATCCCACCAGTCACTGCGACAACCTCCCACACTTAATATCCGTATCCGGACGATCCATGGCCGCCAACGGCAGACAGCACGCCCGACGACCAGCGACGTCAACAGCCTGGACGCGACGTGATGATGGCTGCCGGCAGGCAGAGAAGACACCTGCCGGATGATGGCCGCATGCAGGCCAGAGAGAGCAAGGTCGATGTGGCCGCGAACGGCGAAGCGGATGCAGGACGATCCGCTTCCTACGAGGATCCGACACGGCAGCAGCGTGGAGAAGTACAACGTAGGCTGCAGATGCAATGAGCGCCACAGGTAGTAGACATGAGGGCTGCAGGAAGGCCATACTCGCTGCAGGTGTGAAGGCGATAGAGTGACAGAGAGCCGATACGACGAGGTTTATTGGCGACGATTAACGTTGGGCGACAGCCCGACCGGAAGCACGGCCGTCTCGACGCCGGCGGCAGTGACCCACGTCGTGCGGCCTAGTACGTTATTCATGAGCCACGCGTCGCTCCGTCAATTCGTGTCTACCGTCGGGGTAGTCGCGGGCCTTGGTGCCATCCGGGTTGGTGACTTCGCGGAAGCCGTTGGCTTGCTCCAGCATGCGTGTGCCATCCGGGAAGAGACTCACCTCGTCGCCATTGACCTCGATGCGCTTGGTGGTGCCATCGACGAACGAGATTTCCTTGGCCCCGTCTCGACCTACGCCTCATCGCATATCGCCTCTTGGAGCACGACTCGGTTCTTAGTGAAGTGTACCTGCTGATTGGGAAACTCGAAGATCTGCGTTCCGTCCGAGAGCGTCGTGTGCGTTGTCTGCGCGGCGGCGTAATAGTAGACCGTTTTGCTCGTGTACGTCTAGGATGACGCGGCATGAGTTGGACAACTTGTCCTCTGACGGAAAGACCTCTTTGATGTCGCCGTTGGCGAAGCGCACGACCGAGTGCCCGTCGACAAACACGTCCTTCTCGGTGCCATTGGCAAACACAAAGGTCTTGGCGATCGGCCCAAATGCAAAGCGGCGCTCCAGCTTGCCCTTGGGGTGGCGAATCTCTTCCACGGACGACATCTCGGTCGTCGTCTCTGCTTCTTTTTTGGGGAGGCGACGACGGCGGGTGGATCGGCAGGCGGCGGCGGCACGACCCCCGACGCATCGTACCCATGCGAGACGGACGATGCGCGTGCGGCCATGGAACTCGACTGCCATCCGAGCACGTTCTCGTCTTTGCTGGAACGCGATGCGTCGAGATCTGGCGTCACGGGAGGATCGGCTTGGTACACTTGAGGGTCGTACGACATGTCGTCGTCGGTGTCCGTGGGTTTTGAAGGCGGCATCTTGGTCGTCGTTGTTGTCGATGGCTCGGGTGACCAGTTCCAGTGCGCCAGTCGCTCTTGCTCCATAAACTTGAGCTCGTCCCGGAGCTCTTGGTTGCGCACTTCCAGCTCCTACGCGCGATGAGCGTGTGCGACTACATGGTACTGCTGCAGACCGCAATGCGCTGGCGGAAAAACTCCATCGCAGCCTTTTGCTTGTTGGCTTTGGCCGTCTCGTCCATCTACGTCCTGCGACCTCAACTCGATCGGGCTCGACGCTACCACGCACCTTCATCTTGACAATCTGGGCCTTTAGCGCGTCGACTTCTGCGCGCTCCCTAGCCCATACGATCTTTGTATCGTGTTCAAGATGCCAGCGCGTCGTTCGTACTTGCGGTCGGGGAGGAGCCCAACGCCCATCTTGAGCGTTTGGTCCAAACTGCGCTTTTCCTTGCGCACCTGCTTCCACTCGGTCTCGAGCTCGTCCTGCGCTTTCTTTTTTCTTGCAGCCATTCTTGCCTACTCGATTCTACAGGGAGTGAAGACGATCGAGAGCGATCTACCTCGCGACATCGAGCTTGCGCTGGTCGGCTTCGAGAGCTTCGCGTCGCTTTTGGAGCTTAAGCGTCTCTTGTTTGTAGTGCTTGACCTCGTTCTCGAGCTCGTGGAGCTACGCAGCGTACAGATATTGTATGCACAAGACCTGGTATCGTACCTTGTCGTCAATGACGGACGGAATGATCGATGTCGATGTCGGTGTGCGGGGCGGCGTCGGCTCTGCCTTCTTCTTTGGCGCCGCCATGGCCTTCGCTGGCTTTGGTTTGGGCACCACGGTGGCCTTTTGCTGCAGCTTGAGCTTGAGCGTCTGCAGCGACGACGATGGAGGCGCTGGCTTGCTCGCGACAGCGGGCGGAGGCTTTTGAAAGAGTTGCTGGACGAGGGACGGCGCGGGCGGCGATGCCGGTGGGGCAGGAGCGTCCTCCTGCGTGTGATTGACATCAATAATATCGCCAGGACGAGAGATGTCGACGTCCCACGGCTCCGAGTCGGCGACGCTGAGCTCGCTCATGTCGAGGCTGCCATAGTGCAAGGCCTGGTCGTTCTCGTCGGGCGCAGGCACGTGGACAGAGGAAAAGTGGAGTTCTGGCTCGTCGCTCTTGAGGATGCCTTTGCGCCACTCGTCAAACAACAGCGACTCGTCTGCATTGTCCTCGGAGCCGTACAGCGCCTTCTCCCACGCGGGCGCGTCGTCTTGGTCCTGGCGCGGCAGGAGCTCTGGCGCCAAGCGGCCATCTTCGTAGTCGTCAAGAAACGAATCTTTCGCCGGGCTCGACTGCGCGAGCATCGCTTGCTCGAGGTACTCGAACTCTTCGAGGTCGTCTGCATCCTGCTGCATCTTCCAGTCGTACGATTGCATGAGGTCCATGGATGGCTCGGACCGCACCGACGTGTCGAGGCGGCTTCTCGCGTCCACCTTGCTTGGGGCGCTTGGACGCGGAGCAGACGCAGCTGGCGCCGAGGGCTCATGGACTTCGCTCGTCAAGACGTATGGTTTCCTCTTGGCCGGGATGTTGTCCTTCCACCAGCCGCGCGCTCCTTTCTTGAGGAAGGGCTTCTTGGGCACGTGGCGGCCCGCGGGCGTCGGCGCCGTCGCCGGCCACTGCTTCTCCAGCAGCGCTTCAAAGGACACTAGGAAGGAGCATGAGCATGAGCAGCTGGAGGTCGACGTCAACTGCACCGCTGTCGCCCGGCATGGCGGCGCTTCGGGCGGCCATCGCTGATGATGACCTCGGAAACTCGATTGCATCCGGCTGCACATCACATTGTAGAGGTTTTCCGGCTTGTCGATTCGAACGCTTGGCGCGCAAACTGAGATACGCTCCAGTAGCACGCACCAACTTCAAGCCGACTTACTAGTATAGAATTGGTGCATTTGTCGTATGATATTGCAACGAGTTTGCCGCTCGCTTGATACCTTGATAGATGGCCAAGTTTTGGATCCACGAATGGCGTTCGTCCAGCACGACAAGTTTCCTTGCACACGCTAGCTCGTTGTCGTGCTCGATGGTGGGTTGCGAATGAAGGAGTGGGAATTGAGAATGGAGAATGCAGAATTGAGAATGGAGAGTCGAGAAGGGAGAAGGTGCACCGTATCACATCATTGTTTGGAGAAACACGCCATCGAATTCATTTTCACATTGGACGCATGGCGCTCACTAGTACGTTTACGGCCGACGACGTTGCGTTCTTGTGCGAAATTCCGTTTTTGCGGCCGCGCGACGAGGCGCTCTACTCGCTCTTCCCGCTCACCGCGTACAACGGCATGGAGGCTCTCTTGCCGCCGCTTGAGGACGACGCGATGCTTCCGAACGATGACGCCATCATCGATGTCATCGAAGATGAGACGGTCGCACGCATCGACGACCTCGAGGGCGCGATGGAATTGCACTTTGTCGAGTGCCCCGTCTGGGATGTGAGCGCGATTCTGGACCTGGTCGAGCGCCTTCCGACGCCGTTTAAAGACCGCACGCACGGCACGTGCTCGTACCGCAACGGCAAGTGCCGGCAGCCGTGCAACCGGAAACGAAGCGGCGCCTTTTACAAGATGTGTCCGGACCACCGCGTCGCGGCCGTGCGCAACCACAAGAAGGCGCTCGCCAAGCGCCTCGCCAAGGTACCGCTTGCGTGATTCGCGTATTTCGTCGTCGATTGGTTGTGCAATACTATATGTATATGGTTGTCGAACCGTTGCACTGCACGCGTAGCAGACGGGTGTGCATAGAGACCATAGCCACTGCCGATGCGTTGGAGGCAGACAGCTTGGGCTTGGAGGGGCCGGGTTCATAACCCTTTCCCCAAGTACTTTACGCAAAATGTCTCTATTGTCTAGTACGATGAGAAGAAACAACCCAGCTCATATCATTTCTCGTTAGCTCGATCATGCAGGTCCTTGTCCCAGTTGGACCCAACGGTTTCCGCTCCTCACGCAGCGCAAGTCGCGTCGGCGCAATCCTAGAACATCACATCTACGCTACAGAGGACGCGTCTTCGTGTTCGATACAATCGTAGACTATGCCGAGCTTGCATCGAAACATCCCTCCATATATGTGTCCATGCTTCCACTGAAATGCACGATGTTCAAAACACCTCTCCCATGCACCCTATTGAATTAGTCTAGCACGAGAGAGCTGTACAAGGCATAGTAGAAATGTCGCATCAAATGACAACATTGACCACTTGCGAACGATGCAACTCGTGCGTTGATATTCTGAATTGGGAGTGTATTGAGTAAAAGAAGGACGTTATACGTCGACGCGGCCCGAAGCTTCGGCGCCATCGACGTCGGTTCTGACGACCGAGCGCCCAATCGCGTCGTCTTCGCCCGTCTGCCACACGTTGTTGCGGAAGCTAAACGATGGCTTGAGCTCACCCACAACCGACTCGACCGGAAAGATCTTGGCGTTGGCTGGCAACGGAGCGTCCGCGTTGTTTGCCACGTCGAGCGGCGACGGGCTGTCGGCGCCGCTGACGTGAAAGATCTCGTCGAGGCGCTTGTGGAACCGATCGCTACACAAACCATCCCAGTCATTTCGTAAGAGAGTATTGATCTATACCGGTAGGCCTTTGGCGGCAGGGCTGAGAGGCCATCTGGGTCCTTGCGCAGAATGAGCGTCTTGAACCAGCGCTCGAACCGCTTCTCGAGCGTCCACGTTTGAAGAATGTCGATCAAGCCAATGTAGTAAAAGCCAGGACCGACGACGACATCGGCGGACCGAAGACACGCGATCGACTGCTTGGCAACTGCGCGCTGCGACGTGCGCATCGTCGAGACGGCGCTGAGGACGTCGAGGGACGGCAGGGGGAGTGTGTCGATTTCGTCCCGCAAAATGCTCTGAACGTTGACTTGGAAGCGGACTTCAATGACACCGAGGAGGAGACTGTAGTCCATAATGCCTTTCTCGCAGAGAAAGTCGCTATCTTGCTTGAGCTGTTGAAGCACGGCCGCGCCGTGGCCGTGCCCGAGGCGGACCTACTCAATTTGATGCTCAATTCCGTCGACAATATTAGCATGACGACCTTGGTCGTCAAGTCCATGTCCTTGAGCACAACGTTGGGCGAGTGAAAGCCCGCACGGTTGGGACACGTATCGCGTGCACCGCTTCGAAATGCCATGTTGCAGTACCTACACGATCCATATATACCTCTGTGGGCCGCGCACAAGGTGGCGCGTCGTACCGGCACGTGGCTTCGGCGCCATACCGCGCCTTCTCGGCGTTCCGGTCGACCCACGAGCCTTTGATGTCATACCGGTGGTGCACCGCGTGCTGCTTGTCAAAGAGGTTTTCCATCACCACAAAATAGGATGTCTAGACACATAGTATGTTGGACAATATTGTCGTCTTGGACGAGAGACGCACCCGGCCGTAGAGCTCCATCGAGTAGCTCCCAAGGATGCGCGTCAAGAACGTCGCGGGTGCTTAGCGACGTACGCCGCGTACGCGTCCGTCATGCCATCCAAGAAGGTGCTCTCGCGCTTGGTGAGGCTCTTGACAATGTACGCGCCGTTGGTCGTAAAGAACATGAAGGCGCCGCTCGAGCCTTCCGAAACCTTGGGGATGCTGCAGTCCGCGAACGACGAGATGAATTGGCACTCGTCGATGCCAAAGCATTCGCGGAGTCGTCCAAAGACGTCGGGTTTGAAGGCGGTGAACTTGCACTCTTGGCACGAAAAGAGTGTGTGCTCGTGCTGCGGCGGGTGCACGGTGAAGATGGACGCTTCGCCGAGCTCGAGCGACTGGCTACAACAATAATTGAATTGCGTTGGAAAGTGCAGCGGGTGGAAGGGTTCGTACCGCTTGTTGGCGACTTGGACCGCTTTCGTGATGCCGCACGTGGTGTAAAACACGAGCTCCTTCAAGAGAGCATAGTTGGTTTGCGCCCGCGTCGCGTCTTCCCTCTCCGCCACCGACTAGAGAATAATTGGTCAATCTATATAAACAAGAAAATGGGTAGGGGATCGAACCTGCTTGATGTTTTTGTCGCTCGTGCTGTAGAGGATCCAGAGGAAGAAGACGACGCTGCCCCGGAACGAGAGGAGGAAGCCGAAGAGCTCCTTGAGCACGCCGTTGCTTGTCGCGAGCCAAAACGCCACGTAGAGACCCCAGAGCACCATCCAGTACAAAATGAACGCGACGGTCGTCAGAAACCCTTCGCGGAGGAGCGTCCGGCGGTGGTCCAACGTCGCCTCAATGCCACCGCGAAACCTACCGCCGGTTCAAATCCCCCAAATACAAATCGGTGGCTACCGCTTCATCGAGATGGTGCAGACGTAAACGTTGGTGCCAATAAAGATGGTCACGGGTAGCGCGATGAAGATCCAAATGCCAGCATCGACCGCCACAAAGCTACTGCTGGCGAGGCGGCTGCACTTGACCCAGCAAAAGTCGCCGACCGAAACGCCGTAGAAGCGGTCGTCCGAGAGCATGATGGCAGCCGCAACGAGACCTGCAAGGCGACTCGGACCACGCATCTTCATGACGACAACGTACCCGACGCATGGACGATGAGCTGATACTTGCGCCGGTTCTTGCGCGGCGACGTGAACGGGTCGTTGAGCTACGATGATGCTTGGATGAGATCGCGTTGAGGAGAAGAATCGGATATGCGCTACGAGGGCAAAGAGATCGAGCGCCATGCAGAGCTCCCAGCACATGGACGCCATGATCAAGTACTCGCGCGTCGCCGAGAGCTACGCAAACATCGAATATGACGTGTCGCCATAGAGCTGTACCCATCGGCACGACAGGTGGGGCTGGATACCCCCGCCTGCCATGTTCCAGAGCGGTTCCAGCAAAAACGAGACAGCGAGAAGGAGGTCGCAGATGCTAGTATGGCAATCGTGCGAGGCAGACAAGAGTGGAAGCATGTACCTTCGGTTGAGGAGGAGGATGTTGGAGTGGTTGCGGCAGGCCGGGAGGTAATGGTACGAGAGCAGCACAAGGAGCGACATGATGAGCGTGCCAATCGACCCGAGCAGCACGCCCGACGGGAGCTGGAGCGGCCCGTCGTTGGTCTTGTCCCGGAACGCAATGGCGCAAATGAAGAGCACGATCGAAAAGACGGACGCGGCTGCCGTCGCCACGACCGTCGTCCGCAGAAGCTGGCCCGACCCGCTTCGCACGAGGTGGTAGAGCTCCTTGAGCGGCCCAATGCAGCTCCCGCTTGGCCGGGCCTCGGGCGTCGCAGGTAGATCGCGTGCAGTGGGCGAGGCAGGTCCATCGCTGAGCCCCAAGGTCGACCCGACCGTCGTCGGCTGCGAGTCGGCGTCGCTGGCCGCGCGGGTGGTCGCCGTCGCTGCGTCCATGCACCTCGGTTCCGGGCTGTCGATCAAAAATAGACGCAAGCCGTTTCCACCCTTTTTGAGTTTGAGTTGGCCTTGCTCGGGGTAGGGTCCACAAAAACACCATCAAATCCATCAAATCTCTCAAAAATAAAATAGATTATTGAATATTAAAGCCCGTGGGGTCCGAGAGCAGCAGCATCTTGATGGCCTCTTGAAGGAGCTCCTTCCTTGGGTACAGCGGCAGGTCGAGGCGGTTAAAGCAGGCGTGCGCGACCGGGTACATGCCCGATTGGTACGCCACGCCTTTGAGTGTAAAGTTACAAATGCGTCCATCGTAGCTTGTCATGCCTAGTACGACGGACTCGCGTCCTCTTCTCAATGGCATTTTAGAGGCACCTTTGAAGCCTTGGACGGGAACGCGCGACGAGCCGGTGCAAAACTGGAGCAGCTTGGCTTGGTCGTCGTCCGACATGTCTTTCACGACCTCCCAGAACCACTACATCATCATTGCCATTGTGAGCTTGTCGACCATCGCCTCTGTACTACATACCACGAGAACGCGGGAGCCTTCGAGGTTGGACGACGTTTGCGTGTTGGCTTCCCAGTCAACAACGTCAATTTCGGCCAGCCCCGTCATGAGTAGCTCCAACTAGCCACATCAGCATCAACAGGCAGGACATCGGAGCGGATCTACCTCCTTGTGGTCGAACGGAATCAAGAGTTCCGGTGGCACGATGGCGTAGAGGCCGCGCAGCAGCGCGTGCAGCTGCGGCGCAATGCGTTCAAAGAGCAGGTAGCGCACCTAGATCCTCCTTTACCACCAGCAACACCGTCGCCATCGACGCACCAGAGTGTCGACATAGTCGTGCTTGTTGGCGTCCGTGACAGCAATGTCTTGTCCGTTCTCGACCAAGTCGATTTCAACCACCTTGTCGCCGCGGAGCTCGGACACGGAAAAGTGAGCGCAAGGTCGTCGGCGTTGTCGTTCTCGAGGAGGTAGCGCAAACTGATAAAATGTGGCAAAATGAGTGGCCTCGTACAGGATCGAAGCGCGTACCTCTTGTAGAGTGTACGGTCGAGGCTCTCGACGTCGTCCATCGAGACGGGTACGCCAAGCATCGCTAGCCGATACCATCAGCGTCATCACTGCACGCAGTTTAGAGCCAAGTACCTTTAAACAAGACGGGGCAAAAGGGCAGCTTGAGCATTTGGCCGTCGAGAATCGCACGGCCAAGGAACCGTCCGACCGCTTCGAACGCTGCCAAGTGGTCCATGTTGTATTGCCTACAGAGCCGTCGTTTTGAGTGTTCCCGGGCTACGATCCCAGCAGCATCGAAGCATCGCACCCGACGGCAAACTCGGAATTCGGGTTGAGGATGTACGAGTTGTCCTCGCGGTTCGAGAGCACAAAGAGCCCGGAATTCGGTGCCAGCAGCGCCTCCGAGACGAGCACATACCACTCACGCAAGACCGCGCCCGCGTCGATGCCCACATCGTTGTCAAAGTCAACGCGGATGATGGAGCAGAGCGCTTGGTCCTGGAGACTCAAGAGGTTCTCCATTGCCTCGGTGAACACTTGCTCGCGCTTCGTGCGCATTTTGAGGTACCCGGTCGTGTACGGAATGAGGAGGTCGGCGACTTGGTGCAGAAACCACGCGTACTTGACGCTGAACGACCGCTTGGCGAGGTACGTGAGCGTGCCCCACGTGCTTGGCGAGAGGCTCGACCCCATCACGGTCTGCGTGGCGTCAACGAGCTCCAGCGGCAGGAGAGCAATCTCGCGCACAACGTTGCCGCGTTCGAGGTTGTCGAGGATCGACACACGGTGCAATTCTTGCGTCGCTGCGTCTTCGAGGATGTCAATGTCTTCCTGCAGCGTCGGCAGCGACTTGAGCGGGACCTTGTCCTGGTGCTTCTACACCGCGATTCTATGAGCATGCGAGCGTGCGAGATGCGATGGGACGGACCATGGTGCCACCAAGCTGGATGAGGAAGGCGGTGGGCACGCAGCGGGCGTCGAGGCAGTGGCGCTTCCAATACGGCAGCCCGTGGGCGTCGAGGCCGCGCGACCACTCCTTGCGCATCCTAGACGCATGGTACTGAGGCTCCATGCATATAGGATGCGGCGGTACCGCGCACTGCGCTGGCGCGCGTTGAGATCTTCGGGCAGCACGATATTGAAAAAGTAGGACGACATTTGCTTGACGTAGTAGGACGACGTGAGCTTGCTCATACTGTTTTGCCGGCCGAGAAGCGTGCTCTGCGCGCTCAACATGCTGTGGTTGATGCGGCGCTGGCGCTCCGTCGAGAGCGTGTTGACCTCGCCGTCCATGTACACGGTCGTCGCGTTGGCGTACTCGATCTCTTGGCTTTCCTCGACAAACTTGCAGTCTATGCAGGCATGTTGGCTCGAACCAAGAGGCATCCTAGTCGTGCACCTTTCTTGGTGCCACAGAGGCTGCACGTGGTACGGACGACGACGTTGTGGAAGGCGCAGACTGAGCACTCCCAGCGCTCTGTCTCGTGCAGCCTAGTACGCGTTCGCTATCAGTCACCATCGCGGCGCCATGGCATGGCGTACATCTCTTCAATGTCGCCGCGCTTGAGCGTCGGCATGAACTCGAGCACCCTAGGATGCACTGAGCGGGTAGTACGAGCGGTGGCCGTACCCTTGGTCGACGTAGCCATCGTGCGTCGCGCGGCCAGCAGCATCCGCCTTGAAGCAGTAGCCGGACGCATACCAGAGACAGAAGAGCAGCGCGAGAGACGCGCCGACGAAGACGAGGTTGTTCACGCTCGGCTGCCCGTCCATGCTTGCTTGCCGATTGACCTCTGCAGCCGGATTACGGTATATTCGGGCAAGCGTCAATTATTATTTTAAAGTATTTTTATCATTATAAATGTCGTTTGTATGGTCCTTGCATTAAAAGGACATAAAACTACACTACCTTTGGGACTGGATTGTGTGGGACGTTCCAAGAACAGCAGTCAAAAAAGTGGTAATAAGATGGGCCGGCTCGGACGATGCATGGTGATGATGATGATGGTGCTGCTCGCGCGCATGGCCATGAGCCTCGACCTGCTCGTGCATCTCGACGAGACGACCACGACGATGGGCAGCAGTGCGGCGACGCCCGTCGGCTCGCGGGCGCAGGTGTACGCGCATCTGCACCAGCGCCACACGGCGCTCCAACATGCGGTGTGGGACATGGCCGTCGCGGCGGCGACCGAGCGCGTTGCCGCCGACCTCGCGGTCGCAGTCATGACGCCGCTCTGGATTCAAAACACGATGCTCGTGCGCGGCGCGACGTCGCGCGTCGCAAGCCACTTGGCGACGCAGCCGAGCATCCGCGCCGTGCACATGGACGAGACGATCCATCTGGACGCGGCCGAGCGAGACAGCACCCTGGACGCACCCGAGATGAACCCATACATTGACGTGGCAGCGCCGTTGGCGAGCAGCCCGCAGGCCAACATCAAGAATCTGCATGCCGATGTCGTACGAAGAATCATGTCGTTGTCGTCTCATAGGCCGCCTAGGCGTGGTCGCTCGGGTTTACCGGCAAGGGCGTCACCGTCGCGAGTATCGACTCGGGCGTCCGGTACTCGCACCGCATTCTCGCCTCGTCGTACCGCGGTACGGCAAAGTGCAACGTGCGGTTTGTCTGCTCGTACTACTGCACATGGGACTAGGCTATGTGGACGGCCACACGTGGCAGCACGACCATGCGTTCTGGATTGCGGCGGGTCAGAACCAAACGCTGACGCCGGACAACGCCGATGAAGTGGGCCATGGCACGCATACGCTGGGGACGGCGGTCGGTGCCGAGGGCGTCGGCGTCGCACCCGGCGCCACGTGGATCGCGGCCCGGCCCTTCAACGCTGACGGATCGGCCAAGCAGAGCGACATCCTCCTCGCTGCGCAATGGGTAATCCTCATGCCACACGAATATCGTCTTCAGCATGCGCTAGGTCATGTGCCCGACGGCCTGGGATGGATCGGCGCCCGACTGCCACCGCGGCGCCGACGTCGTCTCCAACTCGTTTGGCGGCAACCGCTCGATCGACTGGATGGACAAAGTGGTCGACGCGTGGACGCGTGCCCACATCCTTCCCGTCCACGCCAATGTATCGATCCTTCTCCTCCTTACGCAAGGGCTAGGTGTTTGCGAGCGGCAATGTCAACGGCTTTGAATGCGGCTCGGTCATGTGCCCGGGCTGCCTCCCAAACGCCATCGCGGTTGGCGCACTCGTGGGCGCCCAGACGCTCTGGGGCGGCAGCGGCAAAGGTATTAGTTTCGTCGATTCGTTTCGACTAGCAGTTCTACTACGAGGACTCTAGGTCCGGGCAAGGGCGGCGCGGTCAAGCCCGACTTTGTCGCGCCCGGCGTCGCCATCCGATCGGCCGCGAGCTACGACGACGCCAAGTTTACGCGCATGACGGGCACGTCGATGGCGACGCCGCACGTGTCGGGTGCGGCGGCAATCCTTTTACAACAGTACTACGCTATACCATTATCTCGGTGCCTGGACCACCGCACGACATGGTAGTATACTGTTAGGTGCAAGGCCGGCCCCGCGCCGTGCGTGCCATCGCGTGTCATCGGCGCCCTTGCAAGCACGAGTAGCCACAAGCTGTCCAAGCCGATCTTGGTGCCGTCGCGCTGCGGCAACACGAGCTACGACGAGTACCCCAACAACATTTACGGCCATGGCCTGCCCAACGTGGCCCGTGCGCTGCGTCCGGCCACCGCGACGGCGTAGCCCATTAAACGACATGGCCTCGTCTTACGTCGCTCATAAAGATAGCTGTTGGATGGCCCATGATCGCAATCGGCGGCGGCGATGGAGCGGCGTCGTCCTCGAGCGCGTAGCTGTGCAGGATGTTGCTGGTTTGGCGACCCGAGAGGTAACACTGACTGCTCCCAGCGTCGCAGCGCGCGGTCTCGATCGGACTCGTGACGAGCCGCGCCGGTGTCTTGGGCAACAGCCGGCGCATGAGGTACAAAAAGGTCGTCGTGACCAAGAGCCCCGAGACAAAGATCATGGGAATCGCATGGGACGCACACACGAGCGCATCGGCGCTGCTGCGCACTGCGAGCGTGAGGAGGAAGCCGAGGTCGAGACCGAGCGCCAGGACGAGCGAGAGCGTGAAGAGCACCGTCATGCGCTGGGACCGGTCCTTGTGGCGGAGCGTCGACGCCCCGACGCGGCCTTGCAGCTGCGCCCCGACGACGGTCGTCGCAATTGCATTGGCGACGCCGGTCGCAATGTGCACGATCGCGATCGACCGCACGGCCGCGGAATGGGCGTCGAGAAAGCGCAGGGTCTCGACCCGCGATGCATTGCGCGGGAGGAGAATCGGGCAGACGACAAGCGTCATGGCATGGAGGGCGTTGAGGGCGACGAGGCTGTGGGCGCCGACGTTGGCGCAGGCGGGCTGGCCGTGCGAGACGCGCCCGGCGGCGAGGGCCGTCGACCATTGGACAACGACCTCGGTGACGCACACGTACGTGGCAGCCCACGCGACGCACAAGAGCCCGAGCCCGATGGCAAAGCCATGGGCTGCTGTCGTGTCGTCGTCTTCGCGGAGGCCCAGCCAGAAGACGAGGCGGCCAATGCATGCAAGCAATAGCACCTACGCAGCGTCAGCACCAACACTGCGATAGAAGGCGACGTACGAGGTGCAAGGTCGTGCGGCGCCAATGGCTCCCGATGCGCACGTGGTAGGCGACGCGCCACGCGACGACGACGGCCGTGATGGCCTCGAGCACGAGCAGCGCCGTGGCGGGCGCAGTCGTGCACATGCTATAAGTGGTCCTGTACTAGCTGGCTGCAAAGCAAGACTGGGCGATCTTCTTCGTGGCCGCTTTGCCGAAACGTCAACCTGATTCGAGCAGCAGCTCCGTCGCAACGGAAGGGGCGCGGCCTTCTGCACCACTTGACGTTTATGTCACACTTCTGGCCTCTCCTCCGGTCCTTGCATAGTAACCATTTCGGTGGTAATGCAACGGCAGACTTCGGTGAGGGCTTGGGACGCGCGCCGTCTTCCGGCACGGCGAGACGGACGCCATCATCTTCCGGCATGACGAGCCGCCTGCCATGCAGGCACCTCGGGGCCCCTGACGGACAACAGGCACTTGCAGAAAATGAACTTGTCCGAATCTGGAGTCGTTCTGTCGACTGTGGGATGGTATGCGAGCGAGCAGAGATATAGCTGGCGGCTTTGATGCGATGACGGACGGCGCGTGTGAGTACCGAGGAGCTGTCGCGGCCGACGAGACATGGAGCTCTGGCCACATGATAGGGGCAGTGGCGCTGGCATCCTCCCGTCTCGGCCTTGTCCGTTAGGGAGAACCATCAAGAACGACGACACAGTTGCATTACACGCGGTAAAACGCAGCGGCCGTCAAGCTAAACAGGTGCTGCTGGCTCGTCTCGTCGTAGTCGGCGACCCACGACTGCACCTTGGCAAAGAGCTCGGCCATGCTCGGGCCCGTCGCGTCGAGACCGTCCGAGTCGGCGGCCGCGCCGTTCTGGTGCCAATTCGAGTTGATCATGCAGCGATGGGCACCAAAGAGCGCAATGACCTCGCGCACGAGCGTCTTCAGATACGCCTCCTTCGCTGCGTCCGTGTGCCACTGCGGCACCATGTAGCCAAACATCGAGAGCTTGACGTAGACGTGGGGCAGTGCTGCCATCGCCGCCATGCCGGCGCGCCACTGCGCGAGCTTGGCCGCGTCGTCGGCACCACCGTCGAGCGCGAGCCGCCGCAGCTTGCCAAGATGGTCGATGACCACGGGCACGTCCGGGTGCTTGGCGGCGAGCGCGGCTGCGGCCTCGAGCTGCGCCGGGCAGCACTGGAGGTCGAACGAGAGGTTGTACTTCGCAAGGAGGGCATACCCGCGCGCAAAGCGCTCTGCCGCGCCGTTCGTGTCGCGGAGAAAGTCCGTGTTGTGGCGCGAGCATGCAATGTGGGTCGCATTCTTGCCGTCGAACGGACCATCGTAGTCGAGCATGAAGCGGACGCCACGGACGCGCGACGAGGCGGCGACGATCGCGCGTAGCTGCGTCTCGACGTCCGGCTGCGAGAGGTCGCAGGAGGCGACGATGCCTGCTAGCGTCGGCGCCCGGCCGGCTGCGATCAGCGACTCGAGCCACTGGACTTCACCGAGGCCGTCATCGGGCATGGCGTCGACGTGGATGGTGCGGCGGATCGGAAGGTCGCCCGTTGCCGCCGCGTACTGCTCGGGAAAGTAGCTCGACGCGCCGAGCGACTGGAGGAAGCGGTAGCACGGCTGGTCGACGTCGTAGTAGTGGTGGTGGCAGTCGACAATGTCGGCGATCGGCGTCGAGTGGCCCATCGTTGTGACGATCGCGAGCGGGTGGCGATTTGACCGTTTGACCGTGCACCCTAACAGCGGATGCGGTATCCGGACGATACGTGGCACTTGCATTGAGTATGGGCCGTGAACGTCAACTTCAACATCCTTGTGCAGGCTCAACGGCTGTAAACATCCGGATACCAGATCTGGGATTTCCAATCAGCCATGATTTCCAGACGCCACGCAGCGGCCATGGCAAAATGGCGTTTGTATTGGCCGAGGACAGTCGCACCTCGATATTAATTGTGCCAAGTCAGCGACGAGGGGACATCAACGAGTACCGACTACTAGTACTACTGGAGCTACGGCGCCTAAGATCTTAGCTGCGCCTGGGTTTCCATGGCCAATAAACCCGAAACTCCACAAAGCGTGATGTTGCCTCACAACCTGGTCCATGCCGAGAATCAAAGCAAGACATAGCTAAGCGTACTTTGGGTACTCTTCAAAACGGGGTACTTGTTGAATCTCGCCTGCGATCCAAAGCAAGGCCAATGAGCCGTTTCAAGCAGGCGCCATGACGTGGCGTCGCGTCGGCGCGCCATTTTGAAACGGCGTCCCACAAGCGGTTGGGACCAATGGAGCCGATCATTCTTAACGCGCGGTAGATGCCTCCCCACGAGCAGCGATCGCTATCGCTGACATGCGTCGATCGCGCGCTGCTCCTTCCGCAACGTACACCCAAGCGACGACGAGAGGAGCGACGACGCTTGCCGCTCGTGTACCTCCTGCTCCTTCTCCTTAGTGGCATGACGGCGTGCATGGTCGTCTCGATCGTGCAGCGCATGTCGCTCGAGGCCACGTTGCTTCGCGTCGTCCAGGACCTCCGCCACGCCACCTTACTGCACGGCGAGAACGGTCTCGTCCACGCGGCCATCCAGCGGCCTCGCGTGTCGTCGGCAATGCTTGACAGCGAGTGCAAGGTGCTCGGGACGCTCTACTTGCACTTGGTGGACCGCCAGAGCCATCTTCTCATGGAGATTCTTCGCGGCGCGCACGTGGTCGTCGCCGACGATCGCGGGTATTATTACGATTTGCTTCAAAACGTCTCGGCCCAAGCGTACAAGCGCATCTCTTCGCATTATTCGTCGGCGCCGCAGTACGCCGTGCCGCAAGGCCCGCTGCTCGACACGATCTTGGTCGGCACGACCGCTCGCAACGACTCGTGGTTCCAGTTTGAAGGGGCGGCGTGGGACCCGTTCGCAAGGCCCATCGACAGCGTCCTCCATGTGCTCCACTTCCTCGAGTACTCGCTGCGCGGTGTGCAGATCGGACCATTGGGCACGTCTGCCTTCACCGACAAGACGCCACTGCGCATTGCGTTCGCACCCATTCCACCGCATTTCTCTCGACTGCGTTGACGGAAGCTGATCGGGTGTCTTCTACTCTGCCAACCAAGAAAGCACGCAACACGAAAACGCATCTCAATATAGACACTCGTCGTTGAATATCGCACAGGGATTCACAAAAGGCGTCAAAAAGGGATGGACCGCTTTAGACCATGTTGACGGGCTGCGTGCCCGTCTGGGGCTGCGCGGCCTTCTGCGCCTTCTCCGCTTCCTTCTTGGCGTCCTTGCCGAGGCCGTAGTCGATGCCGACGGCCGTCACGCGGTACTGGACAATCGCGTAGATGATCGTGAGCGCGATCAGGCCCGCAAAGTAGAACCAGAACGCCTTCTTGACTGCCTCCGTCTCGCTCGCAAAGTCCGTGCCCGTCGGGTAGTTGCCGGCGAAGAAGCCAATGACGCGGACGACGATGGCCGCGCCAGAGAACGAGCTCGCCATGATCATGACCGGCTTCTCGAGGTAGAGGACAAGGCCGGCGACAACAAGCGCCGAGACAACGACCAGAATGATGGTGACCGTGTTGCCCGCGCTCGAGACTTGCGCGAGCTCAAAGCCGAGCGCCATGCCACCAAAGATACCCACGATAAAGACGCCGGCGCGGTAAAAGTAGACGCTGAGCGCACCGCCAATGAGACCGCCGAGGATGAACGCAATGATCGGCACGGCCTTGCCAGCGATCAGCGCCGAGAAGACGGCTTGGCAGAAGACACCGGCGACGCCGAAGCCGCAGATGAACGTCACGGGCTTGACGAGCTTGTAGCCAAAGACACCGACGACGAAGCCAGCCGCACCAATGGCGAGCACAATCGCCGACTTCCACACCTTCTCGGTCGTGTCGGCGTCCGAGACATCGAAGAAGTCGTTGATGTGCTTGTCGAGGACGGCCGCGGTCTGGTTGAGGTCGCCGAGCGTCTTGTTGAGCGCGTGGACGCCGTCCTTGCCGGCGTCGGCGATTTCGGTCTTGTTGAGGTCGGCCATGGCCATGGCGACCAGCGTCATGAGGAGGTAGAGTCCGAGGAGCAGCTTGTTCATGGTCGAAGCGAAATCGGAAATGACGAAGGAATGGCAAGCTGCGTCGGCCACAACCCCCCACATATCTGTATTCAAGCGAACAACACACGCCCTTTTTAATCCATATCGAACATTGGGGATCGTCCATAGGCATTTTTATTTGTAGCGGTAGAAAATAGCTCTCTTTCACTATGTGTTTGCGCGACACATGAAATATTAATAATCGACCTTGATTTTCTGGCATCTCAAAATCGAAGTTGTTCCAGGTCATGCCGCTTGAAGCACCAATCAAACGCCCTTCAGCCAAAGTTCGAAGGTATCTTGCCAACGCAGATGGCCCTTGGAGCCATATTGAGCCATACGATCGCGTTCCCTGCAAGCAGCCTACTGTGTGCGACCAACGACCAATGCGACCGCGTCCAAGGCGATGGCGAGAGGGTCCTCATAAACAGTCGACTCTGTCGGTAGCTCGGTGCTGTATGCAGCGAACGAAACGAATACAAAACGTCCAGCATAACGTCACGGCAGCGAAATAGCACATTTTGAAAGTAGGTGTTTTTTCCTATTTGTCGACTCGTACGGCTATTCGCACGCAACGCTTACCGCCCTCGCAGCACAACGCGAGTCGCTGCTGCGGAACGCAAGCCGTTTGACCGCACCGTGAACTAGTGCTTATGCAGTCTTTGTACAGCACAGGCCCTGGCGCTCGGTGGCCGCGCGCCACACAATGGTACATGGCTTGTTGCGGGATGCCCATGGGACAGGTCGTGTTGCCGACGTACAAAGCGCATGATGATGTGGTCGCACCAATAAAATAGGATTGTTTAAAAATATTGATGCGCAGACGAGCCAATCACGCTGCGTGGCAGTGGACATATTGCAGCCGCTTGGCACTGAATTCCAGCGATGGCCCCAAGCCCGAACGCGGGCCAGGACCGGCGCGACGTTGTGGCGCCACTGACCGTCGACGTCTCGCCCGCTCAGGAGGCCGCGCCCAAGCCGCGCCGGCGCCGGCGCCACCACCACCACCATGGCAGCCTCAAGCTGCTCTTCTACCTTCTCTCGACCATTGTCGTCGCGTCCGCCCTCATTCTCTTCTCGGCGCTCCAGCGCATGACGCTCGAGTCGACGCTCTACTCGCTCATGAACACGATGCTGACCGCTGAGTACTATGCACCTACGGACGATGGAGGCCTTATCGACATGACCATGGCGCCGGCACGCGAGGTGGCCACGATCGACGTCGAGCGCATCATCCTCGCGACGCTGTACACGCAGCTGCTCAACAAGCACTCCAAGGTGCTCATGGAGATTGTCAAAGGCGCGCATGTGATCGTCGAGAACGACCATGGTACTTACTACGAGCTCTTTCGCAACATCACGGCGACAACCTACACGCGCATCTCGTCGCATGCCTCGATCGTGTCGCAGTACGCAGTGCCGCAAGGGCCGCTTCTCGAGACGCTCCTCACAGGCGTGACCGCCGAGAAGCACTCGTGGTTCCAATTCGAAGGCGCCAATTGGGACCCGATTGACCGGCCCATCGACAGCATCCTCCACGTGCTCAACTACCTCGAGTACAAGGTGCGCGGAGTCCAGATCGGACCCCTCGGCACGTCTTTACACACGGATCGCAACCCGCTGCGCATCCGCTTCGAAGACACGTACCATTACCATCGGCTCGTGACGCCGGGGGCGGCGCCGCTGCCACACCATTAGCCATCGATTGCACCTTGTCGCGAATATAGCACTTAATATATATATAAAGTTAGCAAACACACAGTGGAGACGGCTCGAGACGGCTCCTTGCTATACTAGGACGCCTCGGATCGGGCCTTCTTGGCGCAGTACGGCGCGTCCGTCGTCGCTGCTTCTTTAGGCCGCGACCGCTTCGACGCCTTGGCCGGTGTCTTGACGAGGACAAACGAGTCGCCTGCTTGCGCCTTGAGCTTGCTCTCGACCTGGGCCTTGAGCTTACTGTCGACGTCGAGCCGCGGCTTTTTGCTCTTGCCGAAACGACCTTTCCCACTCGACGACCGGTGGTCGGCGTCGGCGTCCGTGGGCATGCGACGCTTCCGCGACACCTTGATGAGCGGGCTGTCGACGATCGCTGCAGCGGTCGACTCGGATTCTTTGGACGGCGATGTCGACGAGATGCTTACGTTACCAATCTGTTGGCAGAGGGACGCTTCACGCCAGGACGGAGATGCACACGCATCCGTCTCGTGCTCGGGGCTGGCTACATGGACAGGGGACGAGACAGGGCGAGGTGACAGGCTTTTCTTGCGCTGGAGTTGGGCACTGTCCGGCGACGGGCACGCGTCGACCGCATGGAACACCAGCGACGGGTGGGCACCTGTCTCGTTTTCGGCGTCGGTCGGCGACGCCACGGGGGCTGTCGAGAACATGTCGTGGTCGATTTCTTCTTCCGCGTCGTTGTCGTCTTGCACGACCGAGGCCAGCGGCAGGAGTCGCTGCATCTTGAGCGTGAGCTCCTCGATCGCTGCGAGCGAGTCGAGGCCGCGCTGCTTGAGGCGGCCAAGCTCTTGCTTGACGATGAGCGCGCGGATCGCGTCGTCGCGGTTGATGCGGAACTGGACCATGACCTTGCGGACCTCGGCGTCCGTGGGCTCGACCATCTCCTCGACGATGCGCTGGAGCAAGATCTTGACCGCGACCTCCCGCGGGATGTCCGTCTCGAGGAGCATGTCCATCTCGGCCTTGACGACGCGGGCGAAGAGCCCTTGGGCCTCGGCTATCTTGGTCGCGCTCTGCGTGGCGGTCGTCGTCGTCGTCATGGTGCTAGCAGAAGACGGCGTCTGGGACTGGCCTCTTCTTTCTCCAAACGGGCACACCAAAGGACTTCGGTTTTGTATGGTCTATTTTATTAGAGGCGGCTTCGGCGCTTTTTCCTTCTGGAAACCGCGCATTGGAATAAAAATATTGTAGACGCACAATGAAATAAATTTCTTCGAGGAACGGGGTTCGTTTTCTTGATCTTGTTGTTTGGACGCCTCTGACGACCTTTCCGGTCGAAACCAACGCATAGTCCATCGAGCCCATCGGGCCCATCAAGCCCATCAAGCCCATTGAGGTAGACCCTCCTCCACTGGCATGCAGTAGCCTACGAAGAAGAGGTGTAATTGGCCTGCGATGCGTACTGCGATTACAGTAGAAATGGCCAAAGCCGGGCTGCTGACCGCAGCGACCTCGACAGCGTCGGTGCGCGCGGTGGCCGAAGCCGTCCGTCGGTGCGCAATCACTGCAGGCAAGGTACTAGTATATACTAAATATTATATACCCGTGCTGCAGGATAACGCCAGTCATCCGGATACGACGCGGCGGCGGAAAGTGCACCTTGCAAAAGTTCATGTGGGAACAGGTGGCGAGAGTGCGACAGGGGTATATGCGAAGTCCACGCCGTGCGCGCCACTCACTTCGTTCGGGTGTACGTCCATTCGCATCGGTGAAGGTCCCGCGCCAGAACAGCGACGTCTTGGTCGTCGACGTGAGCCCTCGTCCCACGCACCGTCGAGCGTTTAGCCCGTGGCATATGTCTCCCGCACCTTCATTCTTGCTGGCGCCAGCGCGCAGTTGCGTCGAGAGCTCGGCGTCTTTCCGTCGTTTTGACATGGAATTCTTGAGGCGCTGTGCTTCTTGAGCAGACGCCAAGAGCAGCATTGGCGCGTTGGCGCGAACCTGCCCGAAAAGGTCGCACACCTGAGTTCGTGTCGCACGACCAAGCTGGCGGCCGAAGCGATGGCCACGGGCCGCACGACCACGAACTGATGGCCAGCAGGCGATGATGCGTGTCATCTTCGTTCGCGCCGAATGACTCGTATCCGGATAATGCCACTGCTTTGGCATCTGTCACGCTTGGAGAAGCGAATCAGCGACGCGATCCGGATAATGCCCGCCGGCCGTTTCTGTGAGTAACTTCAAGCTCGGCACCAATGAGCGCGCGTTTTCTTCTTTCTTCGTTCGGAAGTCAATTGAAAAATCGAATACGAGACTTCACGGGGTTTATCCGGATGCTGCGATCTAGTTTCAACTTGCAGTCAGTTGTGAAATCCCACACACAAAGAACGCCCGCCGCCGACTATGAAGCAGCCGCCGCCGCCGATATACCCGGCGATGGACAGGGACCTGCTCTTCGAAGTGCTCCGCGTCTACGTGGACGGCGAAGAGAAGAAGCGCGAGCTCGCGGCTACGGGCCTGCGCCTCGACGTCGGCTCGATGGAGGCGCCGGGTGTCGACCCCAAGCGCGACGACCGCTGGATGCTCGACGCCCTGAGCGCCGACAAACCTTTCTACGGCTACGACGAGGTGCTACCGCGTCTCCATGTGCGCATGAACGAGCCGGTCGTGACGCCGAGCGTTGTCGTCGAGGTGAAGAAGGCGACGACGCCGCACCAGGCCAACAAGCGCAAGTGCTGGACGTGCCGTAGCCGCCTCGCGCTCGCGCCCATCTCGTGCAAGTGCGGGTACACGTTTTGCCACAGCCACCGGTACCCTGAGATGCACAACTGCTCGTTCGACTACAAGCGCGATGGCAAGCGCAAGCTCGAGCTGCTCAACCAGCCGTTCCGCTCGACCAAGCTCGTGCGTGTCTAAGCTGGACATCCAACCGATTCACTGCGGCAACCACCCTTTCGTTGCCCGCGAATATTGAAGACATGGACGCGAATGCCTTCTCTCAAGCTCGCCGTACATATTGTGACTAGTTATTTATTTCTTAATTTTATATCGCCTCGAGGCTTCCTACAACAGGAATAGGAGACCCCATTAATGTCAACTCCTTTCTACGCTTTGTCTTCTCCTGTCGTCTTGCCTTCCGCCTCCATCCAAACCGCTGAGCTCGCTGTACCGGTAGCGGCTTGGCGAGCTCGTGGCGGCAAGGCCGCTTCGCGGTTGCGCCAACGGCACTGATTGGTCCCCAAACGGTACAGGTTCGTGACACCGCCGGTGGTGGCAGCTGCAGGCCACCGACGACGACGACTCTTTGAAGACGACGAAGACAACCCCCTCCGCGACAACGCGGGTAGGTACACGTCGCAGTTGTACAGTTAGTTTCGTCGACGGGACGCGCCTTTTATAGGCAATTCCATATTACTACCGGTACGCAGACTAAGAGGCTCGAGTCTGCGACTGGTGTCTAGGGTTCCGCGGCTCTGGACGCCTGCCTGAGCTTCTGGAATAGTCGAAGAGAGGCGACGACGCTGATCGCATTCTTGTTGCGTTGTAGTACTTAAGTATATATTCGTCTACTCGATGTTGTTTGCATAGAGGCGGCACATAGGCAGTCGTCAGCGTTGGGCCCCGCCGACGTGGCAGGAGCAGCTTTAGTCGATCGCTTTAGTCGATGGCTCGTTTTTGTCTCGCAGAATTTCACGATGTCATTTTTATAAGAATTTTTCGTATTGGCACGTCCGCTCGACGCTCGACGACGATCCGAAAGCTCAACTCAACGCACTTGGCATTGAGTTTCAGGGCGTATCCGGATGAGTCGTTCACTGGCCATCCGATCAAATTGCAAGCGATCATCCAACCATGTCCATGTCGTTGCTCCAGCGCCTGACCACGTTCGTCGCCCCGGCCATGCCGATCCGGGGCATGGCCAAGATGAGCGAGCGCGCCATGCGCCGCAAGGCCCTCCGCGACAGCAAGAAGAAGGCTGAGCGCATCCCGCCGCTCAAGGAGACCTTGCGCAAGCTGTATATGCGCACGCACCCCGACTTGTTTGGCCAGTTTCCCGCCGAGCAGACGTCCAACACCGAGTCGTACAAGGAGCTCATGGGCATTCTGGATGCGATTGAGAATACGAGCGGTGAGTTCCCGCCGGCGAAGAAGCTCAGCCTGCCCTTCTACCTCACGACGCCTGTCTCGGGCGAGTTTAAGAAGGTGACGCTTAACCTCAAGACGACGGGCGGCTCGTGCGTGACGCTCATGGAGACGCAGCTCGGGTCGTTCTTTGAAGAGTGCGGCTGGCCGCGCGTGTTTGAGTGGAGCAAGGGCAGCTGGGGCCTCACGACGGACCACAAGGTCAACTCGAACGAGCAGTACGACACGGACGCACCGGTCGCCAAGCCCGCGCCCGAGCCTGTCGCGCCGGCCTTTGTCGAGACGCCGCGCTCGACGCCGGAGAACGACACGTCCATCGAGCGTGTCCTGGAAGAACTCAACGATATCTTTGAGATCGTGGCCGCGGTACCGTACATGGCGCACCACGAAGAGTACGCCGAGATCTACGATCTGTATACCAAGGAAGACGGCGAGGACGGCCACATCAACGGCCTTACCGAGCTCGAGCGCCGCGGCGGCTACAAGATTGTGGACGCGACGCACCAGATCTGGGAAGGCGAGCGCGACTTTGCCAAGCTCTCGGCCGGCCTCGACGTCGACTCGGCGATGATCGTCCAGCGCATTCTCATGCACGCGCTCACGGCCGACGCCAAGGTCAAGGACCTCATGGAGCAGCAGCTCGCCGAGGAGGCGGCCGAGAAGGAGGCGGCCAAGAAAGACGAGTAGATCATCGTTCGCCGCACGACTAGCACTAGACGTAGACGAGATACATATATATAGACCGTAGAGAACGTGGCATCAGCATCATCGCCATCGCAGCCTTGACGACCACTCTTGACGGCTGCGGTGGGTACCCAGAGAAGCCAGAAAGAAGATCCAACGAGCAGCTGCGTGCACGCGGTGTTCGTCGTCCACGCACCTCACCGCCCATGGCTGCTCTTAGAGGCCATGGCGGTCGCGATATCGGATGTCGATGATTGCTGCCGCGTTGGCAGTCGCGCAAGCAAGACGGTCCATCGTGTCTCTGTGTCAAGGCGCCACGATTTTAACCTGATCATGTCCGTACGTTTTAAATTGCATACAAACGCCAAGAGATACAATTCAACTCGAATCCAACGGCAACTTCAACGCTACATTTTCGCATTTGGAAAAGTTGCAGTAATGGAGGTCCCGAAGCGTCTGCCACAAGCCGACGAGCGCACGCTCATGCACAGCGAGGACCACAACGCGAGCTTCGACGACGACGACTCGGAGAACGAGGACAACGACGACGACGTCCATGCAGTCTCCGACTCGGAAGGCCACGCGAGCGCCTCGCCCAAGCATGACACGATGCCCCGATCGTCGTCGTCGCCCGAGATCGGGCCATGGTCGCCACGGGCCATGGTCGCCACCGCCGCCGCTCGCGATGAAGACGAGTATCAACAACCTCGCTGCGTCCATCATGGCGATCGCGCGCCCGGCCGGGCCACCGCTGCCCAGCACGCCCAGCGAGCGCAAGACGTCGGCCGATGTCGGGTACACGTCGCCATGGTCGCATGGGACTCATCCCGTCGCGATAGGTTGCATGGCAACGTGGGCACGAGCGTCTTCTTTAGCCCACCGCTGCTGCCCCCGGCCTTTGCCAACCTCACAATCTGCGAAAACTGCAAAGGTAATACTTCAATATGGAGAGTATATCGCAGAACGGATCCGTAGAGGAGGTCGGCACGCTCCTCGGGAAGAGTCGCCACCACTGCCGCAACTGCGGCGGTACGTTCTGCCAAGCGTGCTCGTCCAAGACGTCGGTGGTGCCCTTTGACGCGCTCGTAGCACTTTCGGATTCGTCATCTTGAGGAGGTAGTGACCACTTGGTTGTAGACGCACAAGGGCGAGTTCCGCGTCTGTGACTGCTGCTGCGTGCGCATCCGCGAGTTTCAAGCGCAGGCGCAGACGCCCCACGCCACGTGGAATGGCCTCGCGCCCATGACGCAGTCGGATTTTCTCGCCAAGTTTGACTTGCCCGACGCGCAGGTTCTTGATTCTTTGTTGATATCGATTGATATATTGATACCTTGTCGATTCTAGTCGCCGGTCGTCATCTTTACGTGCTGCTACTTTCCCGAGATCCAGCCTTTTTACGGGCACTTGTTCTTGACGCGCGACTACGTGGCGTTCGCGGTACGCACGCAATTCTTGCCTTTTGTTTTTGAGATTCACATGGATGTAGGCGTATCGGTCGTTGGAAACACCCATTTTGATCTCGTATTCCGACATTACGGCCGTCGTCAAACCCGAATTTTACTTTATCAATGCCCTCCAACTCAAAACCAAGGACAAGACGTGGTTTTTCGCCGAATTTAACGGCCTTCGGTACGCGACACCATCGGAGTATCGGTCGTCACAGCGTCTCCGCGTAGGGACATGTGCTTTGTGCGCCTCGACCAACTCATTTTGGCCCACCGCCAGCAACAGAGCCGAGGTGCGCCCTCGCATGTAGGACGTGGCGATGTCACTCTATAGCACGGCATAGACAGCGACGTGAGCCCGGAAGCGCTCAAGGCAATGGCGTCCCAGCGCCGCAAGTCGATGAAGCTCACGAAAAAACCGAGGCCCGTTGGTTCTCAGCACTTGTTATTAGCTCGACTGACGACGACGCTACGTAGCAACGTCACGAGCCCCAAGAACGGCGACGACGACGATTTCGTGCCACTTGCCCCGGACGAAGCCCTTCGTACGCACATCGATCCTCGTGGTCGCTCGACTTCTATTTTTTGTGGTGATGTAGTGGGCATGACGGGCGTCCTCGACTGCGAGATGCCAGGCAACGTCCGCGACGTCTTTGATACGCTCTTCGCCAACGGCCTTGGCCAAACCTTTTATACCAACGTGATGGTGTCGACCAAGGACATTGATATTAGCGTCGGCGGTATCTCTTGATACACTGATACTTTTTTTCATGTTGAAAAATAGCGTGGCAGCTCTTGACGTCCGACACGCCCAAGGAGGTCACGTCGGGCTTCAAGGTCTCGACCGAGACGTTTACGCATTACCGCCGCGTCGAGTCCAAGCACCCGCCCAAAGTGTCGTTCCCGGGACTCCCCCCATACGCCGAATGCGTGCGCCACCAACTGTACCGCCATCACGGTACAATAGTTTCGACTCTGAAATGGCACCAGCCTATATGGCGACACACGATTAGGCGACGGGAAGAGCTGGAGCCGCCTCATTATCGCCGACGTGCTGCGCATGAACAAAATTCCGTTTTCAGATTATTTTGAGATTGAGACTCGCTGGGTCTTTACGCGAGACGGCAAGAAATTCACGCACGCCCAAGTGGGCCTCGTGATTCACTTTCTCAAGTCGACGTGGTTCAAGTCCCAAATCGTCTCGTCGACCATTTCCGAGTCGAAGGAAGCGTTCGAGACCTGGTTCGATCCTGCGCTCGGCTCGCATTGACCACTGATTTATTCGCATCCATAGGGCCAACCATGGAAATACGGCGCTCCGACAAGCCGCGTCCGGCCCTCCTGCACCGCCACTACCGAAGCGGTGCGCTCCTGCTTCCATGTCCCCCTCTCATCCTCGTGCGCCATCGTGTACAGGCAGCGGACGACGAGTCAAGCACGACGAGTGGCCGCACGAGTTGCAATGCGGCCGAGTCTATCGCGCCGCTCGAGAAGGCTCTATCGACGCTGCCAGCAACGCCAAGTGTCCGGGCCTCGCCGCTCCCGACGATTGTGCTGGGACTCCTCGTGCTCTACACGCTCTACTGCCTCCGCGCTGTCCAGAACTCGCTGCTGCAGCTGCACGGCCGGCTCGATACGCTGGAAGAGACACTGGTCGCGCAAGCCAGTGCGACCTGCCCCACCGAGCTGGTAGACCACGCGTGTCCCTTGCACACGGCGACAATGAGAACTGTCTGCGTAGGTGCACAGCGTCCTTCGCGCGCTCGAGGCTGTCGTCCGTCACTAGTCTCTTTCGAGACTGGCATAACTAACACTGTCCTTTCTACTAATTATCTCGACGACTAGTACTTGAGTAGAAGGGTACCCTAGCCCCAACCGTTGTGAAACAGTAGATTCGGCATGGAAGCGATGTTTGAGGCGGCGCTGGCCGACGTGCCGGCGACGCAGGTCGTGGGCATCCTCTGCGCCAGCCTCCTTGCCGTTGCGACCACGCTGACGTGGCTGCTCGTCCTGCGTCCGCACGACCCGACGATCCCTCCGTGCGTGGTCACGCACACGCTCTCGGACGCGATGGACCTCGACACGCTTCAGCACCGCTGCTCGCTGCGCGAAATTGACCGCGAGATCGACGCCGTGCGTACGTCGAGCCTTGTAGCATGTGTGGGAGAACGAGTACGGACGTGTAGGCAAGGCCGCGAGCGTGCGGCGACTGGACGCGACCGACCCTCTTCCAGCGACCGATCTCGCAGGCGACGGCGCGTGCGAAGTCAAGACCATCCTTGGTAGCCAGCTTCTGCAGCAACGGCAAATGATGGGAATGCTAGAGATCGTTCGGCGCGACGGGCCCAACGCGAGCGCGCTACGTCGACCGCTCACGACCATCGACGAGCTCCTGCGCTACTTCAAGGCGCCCGACACGCGTGACGTGAGCAAGACGTCGGTCGTCTGCAAGGTGCTCCTCAAGCACGACGCCCTCGGCGTCCTCCGCGACTTGGCGGCCACGACCAGCGACCATGTACTTCTCCCTTTCAAATCATTGGATTGATGGACCGTGTCCAGGAGATCCAAGCACTCGCACAGCGTATTGTCGAGTCGGCGGTCGCGTCGATTTGGAGCTAGTCCAAGAAGTACTAACATGGACAAAGTTGGTCTATAATGTTGTCGTGCGGTTACTCGTCGTCGGCCTCTAGCATTTCGCCAAACGCATGGAACTCGCTGTGTTTGAACGCGACACCGGCCGCCTCGAGGGCGACGAGCAGCCTACGCCAAGAGAATATCAACCGCTGCCTGCGTGTCCAACTGCTGATGTCGTAGTACGCGTGGAATTGGTCGCACGTGAGCTTGACGGCGCGCGCGTCATGGAGGTTCGTGGCCTGTAGCACGGCCAAGATGGCCGCTTTGCGATCGGCTTCGTCCATCTCGGTGGAGGGCGCAAAGCCGTCGGCAGCGAACGACGACGTGAGCTGCGATCGCAGCGTTTTGTTCTTGCGCTGAAAAGCAATGCGCAGCAGCGTATCCATTTTCTAAACAATGAGAGAGAGCGTTCCAGGGGCCTTGGCCACCAACCGCGAGCGTCGACGCATCGGGCTGGTCGGTCTTGCGCTCGATCTTGATGACGCGCGAGTCGACTAGACGCCGACGTGGACAACGGTTTAGTCGAACGACAGCAGATGTACTACTACCTTTGGGGGGCGGCACAAAGTGCTTGCGCGGGACCTTGACCACGGTCGAGATCGACGCTTGGAACGCCGTGTTGACGCTCAGACGACTATAGTTCTTATGGCCCGCTCTAATATCACGATAGAGAGTAGGAAGATGATTCGTAAAAAAGAGTGTACGTGGCCATGAGACGAAGGGCAAACTCGTCCTGCACCATGAGCACGGACGCGCGCAGCGTCGGGTCGACCTTCTGGCTCAGTAGCTTGGCGACGATCGGCGACGAGATGTTGTACGGGATGTTGGCGACACACATGTCGATCGGGTCAATTGCGCGCAAGTCGAACTTGGCGAAGTCGTCGCGGATGATCGTGAGCTTGGACGAAGCGATTTCCTTGGGAAAGCGAGCTTCGAGCTGCGCGACCATGCGGTGATCGTACTCGACCTATGGCGATTGTAGCCATCGCCAGCAGTAGAGAGCGGGACGTACGCAGGTGACGCGCTCGGCGACGCCAAGCAGCAGCAGCGTGAGGTTGCCCGTACCCGGGCCGACCTCGAGCACGTGGTCGGTGGGCCGCAGATGCGACGCGTCAATGATGTCTTGGAGAATACCTTCGTTCACGAGCAGATGCTGGCCCAAGGACCGCTTCAGGCTCGGCGTGTTGGCGACGCGGACCGCCGAGACCGCGCTCGAGTAGGCGCGACGCAGCATGGGAATGGCTCGATGGCAGAAATTCGCACCGCCGAGTAGCATCTGTTACAAATACGACGACGGGATTGGCGGAGCAGTGGAATAGCGTACTTTGTAAGCGAGCGTAGATCCAAGCCGCTGACGTCGACGAGGATGCAGCACCTCATGAAGAAGTTCGTGCAGTCGTCGCTGGACGGCCTGCCACCGCGCCACGACGCCGAGCCCAAGCGGCCGCCCGAGCCGACGGGCCTCGTAACGCCGCCCCGCATCCCGACGCCACCGACCTCGGGCAGCCGGCGCCACGTGGCCAAGGCCGACGTCACGACCGCGATCGAGGGCTTCCAGTACGCGATGCTGCTGGCGGAGCGCAAGGCGTCGTTGACCAAGCTCCAGGCGCTCTGGGACACGGCCGAGATCCTCGACGAGTACCATGCGCTTCTGCTGCCCGTCTTGCTGAACGCGCTCGTGACGGACCCGCGCGACACGGAGCTCATGGAGGCGATGCTCGAGCTCATGCAGGCGCTCATGACCATGCGGCCGGTCAATGCGACGCTGCTTCTGAACGGTACGACTTCTTTGGTCGACACCAATGAAGCCGTCGATGTAGAGCCGAATGCGCTGCGGGAGATTCTCAACCTCATGACCGATCCGTCGCCGTGGATTCGAGGCCCGACCGTGCAGCTCATCAAGCGTGTCCAAGATGGCGACGTCCAGAGCTTTGCGTCTCACATCCTCGACTGCCACGAAGGGTACACTGCCTTTCTCCACGTTCTCCATCTGCGTGGCATCGTAGGCTGCGGCTACTGCTCGACGTCGTCGAAGACAAGCGAGAGCATATTCGTGACACAGCCATCCAAGTAATCGCTTTCTGCGTCGCGGCAATCTCATGGGACCGAGTAGATTTTGTTGCATCTCATCACGAACCAAAGCACCATGGCCCAGCGCCACATCCAGCAGTTCCTGGCTTTTGAGGACGGCTTTGCCCGCTTGTTTCAAATTGTCGACCTCGAACTTGAGGGGTATTAGTGCCCTTTTTGGATTGTATCAATGTATCGAGTCGTGCTTTCGATGTAGGCACGGCTGCGACAGTGCGGTTTTAGTCGACTGCCTCCAAGTGCTCTACCACATGGTCCACGACAACGTCAACTCGCAGTACCTATTGTGCCAAACGCCCTTCATTGCCGCGCTCTTCCCGCTGCTACTAACGGCGCCCCTTGCGCTGGAAGACGCCGACGAGGACGCGCCGACGCCCGCCATTGACTGGACGCTGCGGCTTCTGCATGCGCTCATTGGGCCCGTGTTTCAAGACATGACGGTTCGTCGTGCGGCGACCATCTCGTGCTGTTTGTTGATGCGATGCAGGACTTGGACGAACTGGCCCAGCGCGACCAGGTCAAGCGAAATGCAGATATCCCGAGCCTCCAGAGCTACTTGGCCCAACAGCCCGATGTGATCTCGGCGGTCGCCGAGCTTGCGGCCTTTGGCACAACAGCCGACCGCGTCGCCGCCTGCAAGGTGCGTTGTGAGGTCGTACAACGACGTATTCTGACATTGAGGTAGCTGCTGGAAGCATTTGCGAGAGACCACGAAGGGAACCAGCTGCTCTTGTTGACGCTACCGCTGCGCGAGTCGGCGTACTTTGTGTCGTCCTTGCTGCGTCTCGATCTGCACCACGAAGAGACGGCGCTGAGCGGTACGCGTCGGGTACGATGATGGCGACATCCTTACGCTTGGCTAGTGGCGGCGACACGGCTTGTGAGCACGATATGGAGTTCGCCGCTCGTGAAAATCTCACTTTTGCAGCACATTGCAGCGCCGCCCCACCACGAAGTCGTCCCTCGCGCACTCGAGAAACCATCGTTCAACATTGGCATTGCGTAGAGCGGTCCGATCACGCCGATTGGCCAAGAACTCATTGATATTCTGGAGTCGACGATTGGTACCTAGAAGAATATTGTCCATTCAAAGGACATGTTGTCCACGTAGATGCCATTCTCGATGGCACCACGACGGCCACGATCGAGCTCACGACCCGCGACGCCATCAAGGTGGCGTGGAAGGCCATGGCCCGATGGCGGCAACTCGTACGACGACAATGGTTCCTTGCCATCTTGATACATTCCATATGTAGATTGATACGGCCGAGTGCCGCGAGTTTGCGCTGCGCATTCCGATGGTGGCCAACACGGTCGCGGTGCCGGGCGGACTCTTCCTCAACAAGTGGCTCCACTGGCTCTGCAAAGGGGCTGTCGCCCCCGTCTCCAAGGCCCAGTACCCTCTCTGCGTCGGTTTGTTTCGCGTGCTTCTCGCGTCGATCGTGCAGTGCCCACGCGCTGTCGCCGAGGTGGCGAGCTCGGTGCCGACGCTGACCTTCTTCTTCGACTGGGCCCGGTCGTCGTCCTCCGTCGAGAGCGCAGACGTCGAGCTCACGGGCCTTTCCGCAGCGGTCCTAGGCGTCGTTCTCGACACGCTGCCAACGGGCCCTGCCACCAAGGCTCGTGCGATTCGACAGAGTGTTTTTGATGTAGAACTCTTGTCTAGGGCATGGGCAAAAAGCAATTTCTCAACTTGGTGACGGACCGCGTCGGGCTCCAGCGGCTCACCGACTGCTTTACGCTGCTCCAACAAAGCGATGCACTGAGCAGTGCGCGGCGCCCCGATGGTTTCGCCTACCCGCTCTACGACAAGCCGTTCGGGACGCTCTTCAAGCACATTGCAGGTACTAGACTACGATCTCGGAACTCGACAAGAGGATTCCCATGATCATGTGCAGAAAAGACGCGGAGTGCCATCTTGAGCGCCTACATGGGCGACTCGTCCGACGAAGATAGCTCGGCGCGGGCGTACCAAGATCTTATTCGTATGCAAGATGCGCAGCTCACGGAGCTCCGACGCGAGCTTGAAGCCAAGATTCCCGCCCCTTCGGTCGCCCTCGACGAGGCCCGTGCCCAGATCGACGAGCTGCGGCGCCAACAGGAAGCAAGTGACACGCGCTTCCGCGGGCTCCGCCACGCGTTCGACCACGTACTTTATGAGAATGCATATTGCAATGGGACTCATACAGCGTAGGTGGAGGCCGAACTCGCTGAGAAGGAGAAGGAGCTCGCATTGCTGCGGGGGCACGCCCCTGAGGCCCCTCACGCTCCTGCCGCGCCATCCCAGGCCGCTCGGTCCGTCGCGGACGAGGAGTCGTCGCTTCTGCAGCTGCAGCTCCAGTCGACGATCGCACGCCTCGAGCGGCAGTGCGCTGAGAAGGACGACGAGCTCGCGGCGCAGCAAGCTATGATCGACCGTCTCACGGCCCACAAGGCCGTCCTCGACGCCAAGCAAGCACCCGAAACGGACCACTTAGCAGCTGCACACGCCAAGATGGACGAGATGAAGGCCGCGCACACGGCAACGGTTGCGTCGCTCGTTGTGCAGCACGAGCAAGCGCTTCAGCAGCTCCGCGCTGACTGTGATCTGCGGCTCCAAGAGGTAGCTTTGTCTGCGATGCTTATTTTGGTGTTGAACCATCGTGCATAGGAGCTTCGGAGCCAAGGGACTGCGCACCATGAATCGACAGAGACGCTGCACTCGTCGTTGGAGTCGCTCGAGCTCGAAAAGGTAGTACTTTAGCTTCTGGGCGCTCCGACGAACGACTTGCAGGAGACGATGGCAGCCGAACTCGACCGGCTCCGTACCGAGGTGGTCCAGTTGACGACGACGAAGGACGAGGTGAGCGCGTACTTGCGGTGGCACGCTCACGTCTCCTCTGTCCGTCTAGGCGATCGCGTCGCTCCAATCTCAAATTGACGAGCTTCGAGCGGCGCCCACCGAGACGGTAGGAACCTCTTACTCGAGTGCTCCTGACGATATCTGCTGTGCAGACGATCGAGAAGGGCGACGGCGACTTGCTCCTCCTCCTCGGCAGCCTCGTACGATTCCGTGTCTGGATGATAAGTATATATATGATGGCGTCGGTGGGTAGGAGGTTCAGTACCGCAGCTTTCGGGACGTCGTCGAGACAGAGCTCGGTCCTGCCGGCGTCGAGAAGGCGCTGCGATTGAGCGAGAAACGGGGCGCGCTCCACAAGCTTTTCTCATAGATCGCTGAGTCAGTTTTAAAACGAAAATAGTTACGAAAAAGACGGTCAATGATGCGGATGTTGCTATGGACGGCGGCCTCGCTCGGGCTCACCGACGCAACGAGCTCAGTCGTGTTTCACGTGCTGGCGCCGGTGGCCGGCGGGCCGTCGACCGCCTTCAACCACCAAGTCGTCACGTCTGCACCGTTGCAACGGAACACTCACGAGGATGTAGGCGCAACTGGTCGCTGCGGCGAGCCTCAACCAAACCAACGTGTGGACACTCACAACAGACATCAATGCGTCCTCGTTGCCGCTCTCGCTGCTGGTAGATTCGCTACAACGGCGCTGGCACCGAAGCTGCTGCCTGTCTAGAGCAACCTGGAGCCAGCCACTCCGGGCTCGACGCTCGTCGTCAATGCATCCGTCGAGGTCGACCCGTTCTTGATTCAAGTACAAACCTCCTTCGCCGTCTCTCTCTGGAACATGCTGCTGTGGGCGTAGGTGGTTTTTATCAACGACACGCTCCTCGCACCGCCAGGTAGATACGTTGCCTTGATGGGACAACCGTTGAGAGAGGCGTAGTTGTGTGCACCACGTCGTGCGACGCGACCAACCAAGCGCAAGCCGCCCACGCGAATTGGTCAGCAGCGTATTTCTCGACTCGAGACATAGCCCGTCAATTTAGGCTGGAAACGACCCTCGGTGCCAGTCGCAGCCAGTGGCTCTTTGTCGTGGGGCAGCGACCGCTCTGCCAACTCACGACCGCACTAAGTTCGGTGCTGCAGGAGCACCGCGTCGACGCCTACTTTGGTCTTTACAGCGCCAAGTCGCAAGTGAGCCAAGTCGCCACCAATGCGACGGTCGTCACCGCGTTCGCGTATGCACACGCGGCCGCTGCGCCGACCTCGGTACACGCTTCAACACCCGATGCGTGGCTCGCTTTATGATCTACCTAGTGTCCGAGTGTCTTTGAGACGTCGCCGGTCCTGAGCACGATTTCGGCGCACGTCGTCTCCAAGTACGCCATGCAGGTTTCCGTCCATACCGACAGCACACTGGGCACCTACGCTTTGAGCCAAACCCGCCTTCTCAAGAGCTTTGAAGCCAGCGACGCGACGACCGCAACGTGCGTCTTAAAATGAAAAGGCTCCTGGATGATGGTGGTGTGTAGGTATGTTCCGTGGGTCATTGTTGGCAGCTTCGTGTTGCTCTGTGCGCTCAGCATTCTCTACGGGCTCAAGTACAAGGGACTCAAGCTCCAGAAGCACCGCCGGTTCCCACGCCAGAGCTTGTCGACTGACATGGACGGTGCGCGCTTCTTTCCAAGAAATGTACCAAGGTGATGGTTGACGTGTAGCGATTGCGACGCTGCCCCGGACATCGTCGGCGGTCGACTTGGAGATCGAGTCGAGTGACGACGACGAGGATGACCGGCCCCACCAATACACCATGTAGCATTCCAATAGCATGTACACACTGTCCTGTAAACGTACTGAACGACATAAAGAGCTCTTCGCTGTATGCTAGCTCCTTGGTCTCATTTGAAAACGCTGGATGAAACCTTCACTGTGGACAGTGACCGAGGTGCGGGACCGACCGCTCGCGTGGCATGTCGAGAGCAGCGCGCGCGTCTTCGAGGCGAGCTGCAAGTACAAGCAGCTTCGCGCCCTCCCGCCGCCGATACTGTCGTCGGCGTACGCTCGCTACTCCTAAACCTCGTGCCTCCAGAGGCTATGTAGCACTCCAAACGACGATATCGTGCTCCTGGACGCGTCGATGAACCGGCTGCGGCAACTGCCTTCCCTTGCCATGTGGCCCAACCTCCGAGAGCTCCGCGTGCAGCTCAACCAGGTACGCGACCCTCGGTGTGAAAGTTGGCTCACGCAGCCCAAGCTCACACACGTCGCTGGTCTCGAAGCGTGTCGCCACCTGCGGGTGCTCAACGCCGCGACCAACTTGATCACGGTACCACCACCGGCGTGATGGCTATCTTTCGTAGCTAGAGTAGCACGTGCACGGACTACCAGCTGCCAACGCCCTCGTGAGCCTGGACCTCTCGTGCAACGATATTGGATCTCTGGATGGTCTCGCCGTCTGTGTGCACTTGCAAACGCTGCTTCTGGATGAGAACAAGCTCACGACTCTACGCGGCATCGAGAGCCTTCGATCGTACTAGCTGCGAAGCAGAAAAAGTGGCTCATGTGTCGGGTCATATGTAGACTGGAGCGGCTCTCGGTGCGTCGCAACCAGCTGCGCGACGACTGCATGGGGTCGATAGCGCCTCTTCAGCAGCTGCGGTCGGTCGCTCTGAGTTATAATCATCTCGCGAATCTCGACGAGGTACTATGCATTCTTCATGACAATTTCGGCGTTTTCGGGAAACATTTCGAGGTAGCTCGTCAAGACCGTGCTCTCGCTCCCTTTGCTCGAAGAGTTGGAGGCGCTGAGCAACCCCGTGACGACCGGCGACGCATACAAGTACCGTCTATGCCAACACACGCGTCTCGAGCATCTGGACATGAAGAAGATCCTGCCGACGATGCGGCAAACGCTGGCCAAAGCGGCGGATGCCAATGACGTCGCGTCCTTCGTTGCCGAGACGACACAGCTCGTACGGCGTCCTCTTATTTGGTATCGAATTGATGTTGGGCGCTCTAGTACATGGACCACATGCAGCAGCAGAAGCGCGTCCTGGACGACGGCCTGCGCTTGTACAAGGCGCGGGAAGCCATGCTCACGGCCGCGCACGACGAGTGCATCGCTGGCCTCCACGCCGACCTCGCCGAGTGCGTGCAGTTCGCCCGCGGCCTCTCGCGCCACGACAAGTGCGTGCTTCGATCGGCGCGGGTTCTAAGCCACTGTAGGGCATCGTATCTTGTCTCGAAAGCTGGCCTCGAGGTAGAATCCCTACCTCTTGATCGTCCGTCGGAGCATGCATGCAGGAGTGGAAGCACATGCTGGTGACCACAATGGCCGCGCAACAAGAAGAGGAAAAGAAAGCTGCAGAAGTGGCCGCGAGGAATCGCCACGCGACGCTACTGCAGCGGGTCCGGGACACAAGGTACCGTCGCTCTCTCGAGCCCGCGTCCTAACCTAGCCCTAGTCCCGAGCAGCAGTTGCGGGAGCTCGCGGCCCACCGCCCGCACGTGTGGCGGGACATCAAGGTACTCGCATTGCAGCAGCGTATGGTCGACGAAGAGGCCGATCGGATGGCCTCCGAGGCCCGGCACATCGAGTACGCTCCTCGAATTGAATGTGATCGAACCGATCCGAGTAGGCTGGCGGCGCAAGCGCGGAATAAAGCCATGGAGCGAGACGCCCGCGTCGAGCTCGTCTTGGGCCTTGCCAAGGTCCAGCGCCAATTTTCCATCTATTCTACAACTACAAAGAGGCGCGTAGGACTCGAAGCTCCACGAGGCGCCAGAGTACACGGCCACATTCCGTCGGCTACGCGTCCGAGGCGACGCGCTTGCCAAGCGACGGGCTGCCGCGAGATGCATTCAACGGGCCTACCGCCGCCACAAGCGCAAGGACTTGACCGATCTCCAGGCACCGAGCGCCGTCGCCGTCGTTGTCGACGCGGTCGCACCGCCCAGCAAGTCTCGGTTCGCGCTGCCATGGCGCAAGAGACGCGTCTAACTAGCACAGAGTGTTGGATTATATATAAGGAACAGGAATCTAGCCTAGGCAAACAGACGCGGGACAGGGAACGCAGTGTGCACACGGGGCAACCGAAAGTCGCAGAGCCCGAGCATTGTCCACTCCACAAGCTGCTTGGCGTGGAGCGCGTCGGCTTCGAGCTGCTGCACGCGTATCAGCTCGTCCTACAGAACTGGTATCAATCTATCAAGGCAGGAGGGGTGTCGAGGCGTACCACGTGCTTTTGAAAGATGTCTTGGAGCTGACCGGGCTCGAGCGTGGCCGTGCCCCGGCGATGCATGTCGTTGCACACGGTGCGGATGAGCTGCCGGTGGCCGCGCGTGAACGTCTCTTTGAGTTGCGCCTGCTGAGCTTCAAAGCGCGCCATCGTCTCGGTCGTCTACACGTGGAAGAAATCCATGAGAAAAAGAGTTTGAGACGGCGGATCAAAGCGTGTACCAATGTCCATGGGCTCGTCTTCGTCCAGCATGCACGTCGTCAGCTGCATTAGAAGCGACCGCGCGTGGCTTGCAAACGGCGACGGCGTCACACTGGGTGGTGCCGCATCCAGCGTCGGCTCGACTGCGGCGACGATCGTCGCAACTTCCGCGATCGTGTCGAGACGCGACGGAATGCTACTCTCCACCGGTGGCGGCGTCATTGCCTCAAGAGGCGACGGCGGAGAGTCGGCAACAACCGCCGGCTCGTCCATGATGAGCTCCTTGTTGCGGCGCTTGGGGATCACAAACGGGCTCCAGTCGCGCTGGTCCTCGGCCGTCGTCTTGGTTGGCGTCGACGGCGCAGGTGTCTGCGGCATCACGGGCGACGAGCACGGCGAAATGGACACGACGGGCGACGGGACTGCGATCTTGGCTGGGCGCTTCATCGGCGTCACGAGCGCTGGAGCGATTTTCGGCGGGTGCACGACGATCGCAACCGGCTTCGGTGCCAGCGGCTTGAGCTCGTAGCTCCACGGCGACGCTTTGGTGCGCTTTGTCGAGTCGGTGGTGGCGACGGCAGCAATCTCGGGTTCGAGCTTGCGCTTGAGTGGCGGCGATGCCAGCACGTCGGGCACAACGTCGACGACCGGTGCTGGCGTTGATGCCGGTGTCGATGCCGGAGCGTCGACCACCTTGACCTTGAGCGGCCGCACAATAAAGGCGTCGACGTCGTCGACCACGGACGGCGGCGGACTTGGCGTCTTCTTACTGCTCTTTTTTGGTCTTTTTTGACCTTGAGCTCTTTTGCCGCTGTGAGTTTGAGCTTGCACGGCTTCGTGGGCGCGGCAAACGTCTGCTTGGGCTCGCCGAGGAACTCGTGGAGCGCGTGCACGCGGAGCTCATTCGCGTTGGCCGACACGACCATCCACTCTTTCTCGTCTTGAATCTCAAACGGCAGCAGCGTCAAGAGACCGCCTTGGTCCTGGTAGAACGACTCGTAGCCTTGCACGTACGTCGGTGGCGTGTGGACGCCGAGGGCGGCGTCGGCCGTCGCCTTGTGCACGAAGACGCTACCGTCCGAGCACATGCCGAGCGTGACGCCCATCGCGTCCCCCGTGAGGTTGGAGACCGTGCGCAGTTGACGCTTGCGAAAGTTGAGCGTCGGGCGCGCGGAGGCGACCGCCGTCGACGACGGAAGGTCCTACGCAGTGCGTTAGCTTGCTGTGTGGATGCTTAGAAGCGTACGAGTTCAAAGCGCTTGGAGTTGTCGAGGTCGACGAGCGCCAGCCGCTCCGACCCGCCGTACGCGTAGTGGCCAAAGACTTCCACCGCGTCCTAGATCGTAGAGGTGAGTCGATTCGGAGAGCAAGCTAAGAAGTAGGGACCGTTGTGTGTTTGATGTCCGTGTACTCGAACGACGCAATCGTGCCGTCGTCGGATGTCGCTTCTGAGAGCGTCCAGACGCGGATGGCTTGGTGCTCGGACTTGGAGATGACCTGGTTGGGGCCGGGCCCGAACGCGAGGTACTCGAGGCTGATCCCGTTGGTCTGACGATCAAAGACGCACTGCCACGTCCACTTGGACTCGTCGTCGTCGGAGTTCGGGTCCCAGTAGAAGCGCCAGAGGTGCAGGTTCTTGATGCCAAGGCCGCAGAGCACTTGGTATTCGGTCGTACTAATGGCACATGCCGGAAATGAGACAGGAGGACACGAGATGCGTGGACCAACATGAGGCTGTCGCCAGGCACCGCGCGCACCGCACCAAAGCCCTAGAGACGAGCATGAGCATGTCATGTTCCGATACAAAGGTCGATCGATGCGTACGCGCAGCTTGGCGTCGTTGTACGAGTGCGTCACGACCTCGGCCGTCGGCACGCCAATCGCCTCGGTCGGTAGCACGATCGAGTCGATGTCAATGACAAGGATCTCGGTCGATCCGCGGTAGACACCGGCAAAGATGAACCGACCGTCCTCTACGCGAGAGACCGTCGTACGCGCATCCATCAGGTAATGGCGCACCAGGAATGACGACGTGGACGCGCAGCGTCGTGTACATGCCACGCGCGGTAATGTGTTCGAGGACGACGCCCTTGCGGAAGACGAGCGCGTTGGCGTCGACAGAGCTGACTTCGACCGTTCCGACGTCAATGCCCCGCTTGAAGTTGTCGACGAGCGGGTAGAGGCGGATCGTGCCGTTGTTAAAGCCGGCGACGACAAAGCGGCCGGCGCGGTCGACGGCGACGGACGAGACCTATGCCCACTGTTGGCATTCGACTTGCATTCGCGATCTGCGTACCTGGAAGTCTAGGGCAAAGTGGTTGGCGGGCGTCGATGGCGTGGCCTTGGCCGGCGACGAGAGCGAGTCAAAGAGCACTTCACACTCGCTGTCGCTGTCGCTGTCACTGTCGTTCTCCATCATGACGTTCTCCTTGTTGAAGCTCATGGCCTTGTAGTCAAACTCTTCCTCGGACGAGCTCGCACCGCCGTCGTCGTCCTTGAGGTCGAGCACCTTGGCGATCTTGCGCTTCTTCTTGCCTTGGCTCAGCGTGAGCTGGCGCACGTCGCCGAGCCCCGCCGGCTTCTACATCCCGTTGTTTAGTTAGTCGAATCCACACAATGTAGTCGAACCGTCTTGAGCGGCGGCGTCAGGAAGGACATGGCGGCGAGTGTGCAAATGGCTCAGCCCTCGGCAGGGTCGCGCTTTTTAATACAAATCGTTTATTGCAAATACAAAAGGCAAGTAGAACCCTCCTATTTAAAAAAGAACCGGGTGCGGTATAAAATCACACGTGACAGCCATCGCGTGCGCGGGAAGAGCGGCCAAGCATCCGGATAAAAATCCGGATAACGCAAAATTGGCGCACTTTTTGAACGGCCCGCGCGTCGTTTAGTCGTTTAGTCGTTGGCTCGTTTCAGTAGTCGTTTCGTTAGTCGATATTGGTAGTCGATATGGTAGTCGAAACGCGCCAGCCCCAGCGCCAGCCCCATGACCAGAAGCGATGGTCTCGGCTTTCGACCCTTGATGGCGTCGGAAAGATTGTCCAGGATCATGATGCTAGGCACCATGCAAGGGGTGCGGGAAGAGAGCTTGCAGAGGAGGCCTGCGGCGATGATTGTAGTATCTGCTTGGAACCGTGATGCCCATCGAGGTGAACGCAAGGGTTGTGTAGTTGATGGAAGCTAGTCGTACTGTGTGGTGGATTACTCTACGCCTCTGGGTCTGGCGACGCGACGGCGGCGAGACGCTCCATGTAGATCGCATGCCGCTCCTTTGTGAGCTAGTAGCCATCACGCCGTTAGACTATCAAGTTGATACATCCATCCTCATCTACCTCCTCGCGCTCGGCGTGGAGCGCCATCTCGAGTTGTTGGAACGCCTTCATTTTGAGTTGGACTTGCTCCATTTGGCATTGGAGCAAGTCGCGCATGAGACGCTTCACGGCGCTTGCCTCTTGCGTCGCAATGCTCTACCGTCACATGAGAGACTACGTGGCGCATGCATGATGACCGACGTACGTGCGCGTTGGCGGCGAGGAGCGCGACGGTCGTTGCCGACGACACCTGCTCCGACACGAGGCCCTCGAGCGACACATCCTCCTTCACTACACGTACGCTTCAGTGGGAACCCAGGGGATGGAAGATGAGACGTACAGCTCAAGCCCGCATCATTGGCTGTCTTGGCGAGCGCCTTGGCACCCTTTTCAAGGCCCGCCTTGGGCGTGGCCTAGGTTCGAGACACTCGAGTCGTTTACCACGCAAGTATTATTCGTACCGCCGCTGGACTCGACGCTTTGGCGGCCGACGGCGTGTTGAGCTCGTCGAGCTCGGCCAAGACCGCGCGCGTCGCTGCTTGCACAAGCTGCGGGTCGGCGCTCGCGACGATATCGGCCACGTTGGCCGTCGCGCGCGCCAGCGGGAAAAGACCTGAGGTTTTGGATGTGGATGCGTTCGTACGCGGCTCTTGGGCGTCGAGCGGCAGCTGAAGGAACTGGAAGAGACACTCTTTCGGCGGCTTCCCCACCGCGATGCCGACCTCGTTCCAGTCGACCGCCTGGGACGTATCGAGCGCATCCAGTGCATCGACCAGTCGCTGTACGTGGTCGTCCGTCCACTTGCAGTTCGAAGGCACCGGCACAAAGTCGGTCACATCCAAGTGCGTTGGAAACTTGCGCTTCGCAAAACAGTTTTCGCAGACGCCGGTGCCTGGACGGGTGCCCCACGCATCCAGCTTCCGGAACGGCCCGCCGAGCTGCGACTGCCGCTCCTTGCGCTTGGCGTCCAGCGACAGTTCGTATGCAATCGCGCTCTGGACGCAGGATTCGCACACGCTCAACTACGCACGAAACACAGGATGTCAGCTATCAGCTATCAGATATCAGATACGAGGTGTACCGCGGGCGTCGGAAGCGCCGCGACATCGAGGTCCAGTGTCGAGGGAACGCTGGGCGGCATCGCGTGCGCCGGCACGTGGAAGTTGATCAAGCCCCAGTGCGTCAAGAACTCGTGCACGCGCAAGACCGCGCACACGTCGCCTGCAAGATTACGCCGGCATGCCGTGGCCGTCAGGTAGACGTGCGGCTGGGCGCGCGAGGCATGCACCATGTAGTTGCGGTACGTCACATACACCTAAAACGACGACAAGTTGTCCACACTTCTTGCCAGAGTTCCTGGAGGCACCTGCGGCGTCTTGGACCGGATCGTGCCGGGCCGCGGCTCGTCGAAAAACTCGGGCAACATGCGCTTCTCAAGCGGGTGCACGGCGTCGAGCGAGAACCAGCGGCTGCAGCTCGGAATCGCGACGACGGTCTGTTGCTCGAGCGCGACTGAGCCCGGCGCAGAGTGCAGATGCACGGCCACGCCCTTCGTCGGCTCGGACGTTGCGCTGGCCTCAAAGTGGTCGAGCACGCTCGTCGTAGGCTTGTTGGTCGTCGACGACTGCAACAAGAGCGAGACAGCCGCCGCGGCGCCGCCGTCAAGCCGCGCAACGACACTCGAATCGACCTTGGTGTGCTTGACGTGCGCCGGCATCTCGCTCGCGGAGGGCGACTGCACATGGGTCACATCAATCCATGATGGTCAAATGAGAGTGTCGTCGTACCCGAGGACGCTTGACCGTCGACGGCGTCATGTAGTCGAGCGCATTGATCCACATGGGCGCATACTTCTTTTGCGCATTGTAGAATTCGGACGAGATGTTGAAGGGCGCGGCCATGGCTTCGATCGAGTCGATGTGCGTGTCGGTCGTGATGCTCGTGCGGAGCACGTACTCGTCGTAGGCGTCGGGCAACCCGGGCCAGTGCACGACGACGTAGTCGCCGACGCAGCCCACGACGCGGCAGCCTAGATAGCACACCGCTTAGGCTACATGGCTACCATGTTGCAGTGTACCGCGTCGCTCCAGCTGCGGGTCCGTCGTCGTCGTCGCGACCACGTTCGAGTGAGAGAGCAGCGTCGAGACTATCACGTCTGCGTCCTTTGTGGCCTTCTCACGGATGTGCGTGAGAATGTCGTTGGGCGTCAGCGACAGCGTGAGCAGCGGGTAGATGTAGCCCGAGAGGAGGCGCTCGGTGCGGAAGAAGATCCCGGGCACGAGGCCGCTCTGGCGCAGGTGAACGAGCGCATCGATCGCATGCGCCGTGACGTCCGGATGCAGACGCATGAGCAGGATGCCCACGGACGCGCGGAAGCCTTCGTCCCGCGACTGGTTGACCCCGTCGGAGCTCGGGATCGGCCGCTCGAGCTTCGTCATCCGCACTTGAATTTTCACCAGCCTCCAATTTCAGCCAATCACAGTGCGCAACCGTCCAAACTCAAAACTCAAAACTCAAATCCGTTGTCATTAGATCGAGGCTGTGGCATGCAGCTCGACTTCGGGTGGCACGCCGACGACGCCAGTCCGTAGCAGCCACTCGAGCTCATGGGCGACACCGTCGGCGTCGTGGTCGTAGCGCGAGACGCGGTTCGCTGCTCGCTTGACCGCATCGTCGCCGTTGGCCATCGCGATACCTAGTCCGGCGGTCTGGACGAACTCGAGGTCGTTCAAGCCGTCGCCAAACGCGACCGTGCGCGTGAGAGGTATCGAGAGGTGCTGTGCGAGGCGCGTGAGCCCGACTCCCTTGTGCACTTGGCTTGGAAGGCATTCGACGAACGTCGAGTACTTGTTGAAGGTGAGACTTGGCACCTCGGCGGTCAGCGTAGCGTGGATCGCATCGACGTCGCGCCCGAGGACCGCGAGCTGGCATGGCCGGACGCCCGTCGTGTCGTACTCGTCGACGAGGTTGTAGACGCCGCCCGTGCGCTTACTGTACTCGTCAATGAGGTCGTAGTGGTGCGGATGCGTCGGCTTGGCGTGGATCACCCCACGCTCCTCGTCGTACACGTTGACGCAGCGGTCCATATCGGCGGCCACCCGAAGCACGTGGCGGACGCTCTCGGCAGCCATCGTGTCAATGAACGAGCGGCTTGTTGGTCGGGTCAAAGGCGCGGCGCCATTGCATGACACCAGCGTCAGCGCCATTGCACGACACCAGCGTCACACCGTGGTCGAGGCCGAGCTGGCGCGCCGCCTCCACCATGCACGCGGTCGACCGCCCGGAGCAGAGCGAGACGATGGCGCCGGTCGCAACGACGGCGCGGATCGCCGCAGCAGTGCGCGGGCTCACGTGGCCGGCCTTGTTGAGGAGCGTGCCATCGAGGTCGAACGCGAGGAGCGAGTACCACGGCGCCTTGCCCATGCCGCCAATCCAATATTGGTCGCCGAGCAATATATTGGGTGCGTGCACTTTCATGTTGAAAACAAATGTGATACAAATCTCGAATGTAGCGCCACGAATGCAACATGTTTAAAACTATGGGATGCAGCCAACTTCAACCGAATCTTCGGCCGACGACGGCCTGTTTGGCCGCCATCTTCTGATCCATGACGCCCTGCGGGGCCAGCCGTATCCTACTATCCTACCAAACTATCCTTTTATCCTACCGCGCTCAGTCGCCGCATGGGACGGTGGTTCAATCCACGCAACACCGAGCTGCTGCGATCGATGCGCCACCAACATTCAAGTCCTGCAACGGAGTGCGAACGCTTTGTGTTCCTTTGACGATTGCAGCTTCGCTTGCTTGGGCTACCCCTCCCTTTTCTAGCTCGACGCATGCAGAGACGCCCTTTACTCGTCGTCGGCCACGTCGTTGCCCGGCAAGATGGCTTGGCACGCCTACGTACGGTGCTATCCGTCATCTGCTCATCGACACACCATCGCGGATACCTGCATGAGTTGGGGCACGTGGAGCTCGTCGAATGAGAGCGACATGAGGTCGAGCGCCGTCATGACGCGTTGCAAGGCCTCGGCCGAAATCGTGGGCATCTTGGGGTAGCGTTGGCTAGTGCACCGCCGTCGACACAGTGCAGAGAGGCGATGGTTTGGAGTACCTAAAGTGCGTCAACAAAATGTACTTGGCGTTGGCCTTGAGCCCGACGCCGATCGCTTCGTCGGTCGTCGAGTGGTCCTTGGCCTTGGCTTCGTCCAGCATGCCCTCTACACCATAGGTTGGTCGTTGATACACTGCACTATCAACTTGTTGACGCGCGATACCTTCAAACGTGGCTTCGTGAATGAGCAAGTCGGCGTCTTCGGCGTACTGGACGAGCGCATCGCTCGGGCGGCAGTCGCCAGAGAAGGCGACCTTGAACCTAGATCTCCATCTTCAGGTTTTCGTCGATTTAAAGAGCACAGAAACGGATCCATACCCGTTGGCACACGTGAGCACGAGTGCATACGAGAGGTGGCAGTGCTGGACCGGTACGCACTCAAAGCTACACATGCCATGAGCCAACCGATTGTGATTTTGGATGAAGCGCTGGACCTCGTCACGCCATAACGCTGCTTGAGAATATCACGAATGGCCTTTTCGTGCGACCCAAATCGCTCCTCTAGAGACAATATGCAACTGAGCTCAAGTTGGTCCGGATGTATGTACGTACGGTCCTTGGCGCTGGGTCCATGGACGTCAAAGAAGCCGTTGCTCTCGTACATGTACTTGGCGTTGATGTTTGCGTCCACCGCGCCATAGTCACGCAGCCAGTTGAGCACGTGTGGCGGGCCCACGATCGCCAAGGGCGGCAGCTACAACCATCTGCTGGAACACGCCGAGGTTCGATCCCTGTACCTCGATCGGGCGACGACTCAGAAGCCGCACCAAGCCCAAGTGGTGGTCGGCGTGGTTGTGCGAGATCCACACCACGTGGAGGTTGGTTAGAAGCGCCGTCAGTGCGGCCTCGTCGCCACCGACGTGCCGGTACAGCTGCCCGTACGTGCCTTCGCCTGCATCCAGCAAGAGGTAGGCGTCGCCGAACCGAAGCAAATTCGACGTGACGTTGCGATATTTCGACGGAATCGCCGAGCCCGTGCCGAGGAACGTGACAGCACCCGCTTGCACGCAGGCGGCACTCGAGCGTTGGCTCGGCGGCGCCAGTGTCACGTTGGCCTCGCGGAGCATCGTCTGCGTCTCGGCGGTGACCGCGGCAAGGTCCAACGGGGCAAAGCAGCTCGCGCGGTCAACGCCTTGCTTGGGCACAGGGACGAGCGTGAACTTGAGCAGCGGTTCCTACACCCGACGTCTCGAGGTACATCAACGGTGGTCGAGTCTCGGGACGTACGCCGACGATGGCGGCGCCAAACTCCGTGTCGACTGAGGTCGTCGAGTCGTTTTCGTGGTGCGACGTGGGAAAGGTGGCCGGGAACAGGCCGTGCAGCGTGGCTTGGAGGGCCGCGCTGGCACGGTACGGTGTCCGTTGCGGACACGCCGTATGGTTGACCTAGCGAGTACAGCGTTTGAGCTGCAGTCGCCACGATAGAGTAGACCAGAATGTGCTGCACGCGGCGACCAAACGTCAAGGTCCACGCAATGTAGTCGGGGTGCGAAAGGACGTCGATGCCGCCCATGTGCACGAGCACTGCCAGGTCCGTCTCGCCACCTTGATACCTGGGGACCGATACAATCCAATGTACTTGATAGAGACGGGATGCGTACTTGTGAAAAGCGCGGGCTTGCAAGAGAGGCGCGATCGACGACACACCGGGGCACGCCACGACCGCAAACGCGGCGCCTAGCCGAAGGCACACTCGGACGCAGGCCAGCGAAAGCGTGTCTACCTGGAAGCGACGGTTCGACGCACTGCGCCGGTGTCACGACCACCGACTTGCCGTCGACGACAACCGTAACGTCTTCACCGCGATGCAAGGCGCCGCAGAGCGGGCCCTTGGGCACACCGAGAGCAAGCGCTTTCTGGATCAAAAACTTGCCGCGCTGGCGAGGCGTCTCGCCAATGTAGCTCACGCTCGTGACCGTCGGGACTTTCTGGCGCTTGGCCGAGCTCTCGTCGTCGGTTGCCGCGCGCGACGTTGTCACGACGACGGCGTCCAGCGTCAGGTTCTCATCGGTTAGGAGCGGCGCGTCGCTCGTCGATACAATGTCGTGTGCTTTCAGCTCAAACTTGGGCCTAATGCGATCGTGAGCCATCGACTCTACGCGCAACCGCAGGACGCAACCGGTTGAGGAAATGGCGCGTCGCGTGGAGAAAGGCGGACGTGCCGTCAGGTCCGCAGAGGCGCAGGCCCTTCTTGCCAATGTCCGAGATGGTCAGGATGAGGCCCGGCAGGCCGCCCAATGTTTCGGACGTGAGCTCCGTGAGAAGGACCGTCTGGAGCTTCCCGAGGCGGACGCGGTGCTCCATACACACCCGCTGGAGGCCTTCGCATGCGTTGAAGAGGTACCTAGCACGCATGGCCTCAGAGGAAGGATGCAGCAGATCAAGTACCGCTGGCTCTCTCCCGTGACGATCACGGACGGCGCCATCTCGGCGCTGCCAACGCCGAGCACTTGGATGTCGAGGCCCATGGCTGGCAAGTAAGTGCAATCTCGACGACTTGATTTAATGCCAAGGAATTCACACTCGTGTACTTGATAGTTGTATGGTGAATAAAACACAAACAATATCATTCCGCAATACCATGGGCCAATCGTTGGCGAGATGAAACGGGACGGCAATGGACGTGGCAGCGCCGACTGCCAGCATGGCGTCGGCTGCCAAGGTCGTCGCGGGACATTGGTCGCGGGAGCGCTTGCTAGCACGAGTACCGGATGGTCGCAGCTCTAAGAACTGGCGAGCGTATGATGGCCCGCCACAAGGTGTCTCGCTCCACGCGAGACTCGTGGCACATCGCAGGGGAGGTCGCGTGTCGAGTCCTCGCTCGCTGTAGTGGCCATAACAAAGCGAATGCCCACAGCTTCGCATGCATGCTCCATACCAAACGTTCCTACCAGCATGCCCCGCTCGGGACCTGTGAATGACCATAAAGCTTGCTCGTTGGAAGCTCCGACGCTATTCTGCCGTCTGCAGCATGCCAGATCCAAAGCGAGGCATGGACACACACATATCATGTTCTTATTTACCGCATGGCGGCGATCTTATTCGATCTTAATCGCGCTTAGACATTGCGGTAGCCGTGGAGCGGCTTCTTCTCGTCCGAGTTGCCGTCAATGTGGTTGACGTTCTTGGCCGTGTGGAAGAACTGCACGTAGGCGCCGAGGGCGAAGAGCACGAGCGTCGCGGCGAAGTAGCCCCACCACGAGGACGGCACGTTGTTGATGAACGACGCGTTGCCCTTGATGTTGGTGAGCTGGTCGCCGGTCGGGTACCCGCCGATGAAGTGGCCAAGCGCGCCGATAAAGATGGCCGCGCCCGCAAACGACGTCGCAATCACGAGCGCCGTCTTCTCAAGCTTGAGCGCCGCGACACCGCCGGCGATCGCCGTAATGATCACGATCGCATAGTGCACGTACAGGTGGTTCTCGCCGCCGAGGCTGGCCGTGAACGACGCGTCAAAGATGAAGCCGCCCATCGCGCCGGCGACCGCGCCGATCGCGAAGATACCCACGTCGTAAAAGTAGAGGACGAGGACCGCGGCGAGGATGCCGCCAATGACAAAGCCGACGTACGCTGCGTTCTGGTTGGCGAAGAGCTGGAGGAGCACGTCGTACGAGAAGCACGCGCCAAAGAAGAACGAGGCCGCGAAGAGCACCGGGTAGATCATCTTGTAGCCGGCAAAGGTGACGCCGAGCGACGCGACGAGCGCGATCGCGGCAAAGATGCCCTTGAGCGTCGAGGCGGTCGCCGAGTCGCCGCCCGAGAGCGTGTCAATGACTTGCGAGCCCGAGGTGTTGAGCACCTTCTGCACTTGGTTGACGGGCGCCGTCGTGGCCGAGTCGGCAGCGACAAGCGCGACGCAGAGCGCCGCGGCCGCGAGGTAGGTCATGGAGCGGGCCATCGTCGTATTGTGGGAGGAGACAGCAAATTCACAACTGACCCATCATCTCACTCGTGGCGATCGTCCTGTGCCGAATTCATGACAAATGGCGTGCGTCTGATTGGTGCGTTTGGGTTAATTTTCGGCATCTGCCAGCGCAGCTGCCGCACGTCGCAGATGCAATTCGCTTATAGCGTGTGTGTCCGACGCTGGGGGCGGCCTGTCCCGCGCGTACCGACGTCAATTGGTCTTGAATGAGCGAATTGCAGATGAAGTGCGGGCGAACCAGGTCGCTGCTGCATGGATCGCACACGCGGGCAATTGCTTGCAAGCGAAGATCAAGGTCGCATACCGTACCCAACGCAGCCCTGCTGATGTTAGATTTTTAAAGTCACTCGACCAGGGCGATGGTGGCCGCATGGAGCTGCTTGGTATCGGCAGGGGCCACTGATCTGGTCCGGGCACCGGTCGTGTGGCATGGAGACGGAGAGCTGAGAAGGAGAAAACGTGAAGCTCTCAGCAGAGGAGCGGTGTACTTGTAGCATATTGGATGCGTGGTGTGGATACACGCCGCGCAGCTGCCGCACGCCAACGCGGGAATGACGAGAGTCCGTGTCGCCCGAACTTGACGGCGGCGCTGGCGCAGCATCTGTTTTCGGGCACGCGACGCGCTTGAACAGTCCACACTCGACAACCTCCGCTGTCGAACGCCCTCCGAGTCCAGCCGACCAGACGCCGACCATGCATCAAGTCGGTGTTTGGGTCCGGCACCACTGCCGATGCTTGGTACGCAGAACGGAGAGGTCTGCGTCCTTGGGCACGCGTCCACCTGCGAGCGAGTACTGGACGTAGCTCTCCAAAATGCCCACCAACTCCAAACGACAGCATGTGGATGGCAATCCAAACATCTCGCATTCAACAAGTCTGTTGTCGTCGTCGACGAAGGCTTCTTAGCCCATGTGGATCGTGGCGGCAATGCCCTGCTGGCCCATGTTGCGGAGGTGCTTCAAGTGGGCAATGAACGCGGTCGTAAAGTCCGGCAGAATGGCGTACTTGATGTTGTACTCCTTGCAGACGTCGACGATGATGGGCGCGATGGCCGGGTAGTGGTACTGCGAGACGCTCGGGAACAAGTGATGCACGACCTGGTAGTTGAGCGCGCCGGCGAGGAACGTCGTCATCCACGAGCCATGCGCGTAGTCGACCGACGTCTTGACCTGCGAGACGGCCCACTCGTCCTGGAGCGCCATCTTGGCCTCGTCGCCGCACGGGTAGCCGCACTCGGTCGAGACGTGGCTCACCTGAAAGTTGAACGCGAGGTACCAACCAGTGACAAACTCGGCGAGGAAGAAGATCGCGAGGTACGTCTTGATGGGCATCTGGAGCACCGCGAGCGGAAGGTACACGCGGTAGAAGGCCCAGAACGACTTGGAGCAGATCATGGCCACCCACGTCGAGAGCGCGTGCGGGTTGACGCGGATCGGGCCGTTCGTGTGCGAGCCAAACGTGTCGGTGAAGTCCTGGATGCGGAATTTGAGGCCGAGCACGCCGTAGAGCGGTGGGAGGTAGATGTGCTGGAACGCGTACATGGGCTGGAACACCTGGCGGTTGACAATGCGGCGGATGTCGCCGTCCATGTTGACCGGAAGATCCGGGTCCGAGCCCGCGACGTTCGTGTAGATGTGGTGGCCCACGACGTGCTGGTTGAGCCACGACACCATCGAGCCGCCGGCGAACCAATCCATGGCGAAGCGGCCGACGACGTAATGGAAGAACGGCATGTTGGTGTACGACGCGTGCGACGAGTCGTGCATGACGTGGAGCAGCGGCAGCGCCTGGCAGACGCCGAAGAGCGCCGCGGCCGCGAGCTGCAAGGCAAAGATGGTCGAGAAGTGCATGCCGTACAAGGCGAGGCCGGCAACAGCAAACACGAGCATCATGCGCCAAAGGCCCGGGAAGCCGTCCTGCGGGTGGAGGTTGTTCTTCTTGAAGTACTCACCGACGCGCTTCCGGCACTCCTTGTAAAAGCCCGAATCGGGCTTGAAGGTCGGAAACTCGGTCGGGCCCGTGAACGTGCCAATCTCATACTTGTTCAAGATCGACTCGGCCTTGTCGCTGAACGGGTGGTACGAGTCAAACGTGTCGGTGGCCTCGCGGCCGGCGTGCAGCAGCACCATCTCGCGGCCGCCCGGGTGCTTGGTCGCCCACTCGGTCACGTCGTAGACCTTGCCGCGGATGATGATCCAGGCCGAGGCCGCCGTGTTGTGCTGCGCGACCTCCTGCCATGTAAAGACCTTCTTGCCGGCGATCGGCGTCTCGGCGACGGCGGCGTGGCGCTGGCGGAGCTCCGTCTGCGGGGCCATGCTGCTGCTTGTCTTCGCTGAACTTCGAAAGCCAAACTAAGAAACCCAACTCCAGTGGTTTGTGGATCTTGGATCATCCGGATACCGCCGGAAACGGCCGATGCATGATTTAAACACCTCTAATTCTCTTGTGGTTTGTATGTACACGGTATAAAACAAATTATCGCTTGACCCTGACGGCAACGACCACGTTTTAAACACATTGCGTGCGTGGCATCATCTCGCCACGCCGTGTGACGCAACGGCTCTTGATTGGCTGGATTTTGACACCCGACCGATGATTGGTTCGTTTTGAAAACCGATTGGAGCGCGCGGCCATGCAGCGATCTTGGCCGCAGGCCGTCAACGCGAGAGGATGATGGTATGGCCAAGGGCCTCAAGAACATGCATGTAGAACTCGAGATTATAGGACGCGCTTAAAGGACGAGGAAAGCATGAGGCCCGCGCCTCAGTAGCTTTATTGACCTGCGCCTCATGACGCGCTGAGGCGCAGGTCAATAAAGCAACTCACATGGTCTTGCGTCGCTCTATCTATGCACAGGGTCGCGCAAGCTTTTACCAAGCGAAAAAACGGGTGGCTCGTGACTGACGTGTGCAGCCGCCAGGTGTATGTGCATCCGCAACGCGATGAAATGTGGCACTCCTGTGATGCCTTCGAACGGCCATGTTTTCTGTCGTGGTGCTCTGTAGAAACGTCGTTCATAGCTACCGCCTCGGAAGAAGGCCCTCCATACGGCTGTCAAAAGCGATGATTTGGTGCGGTCTGTCTCCCGCGCCGGCAAACTTGGCGATGACGTTTGTCGTCTCTGGTGGCGCAAAGTGTAACCTGCTTGTGGTAGGAGCTTGCATTGGTATTGGGGCGAGCTAGAATTAGACCGCCACATGGGCCGACGAGCTCAGCACTTAGTAAAGATGCTGCTGGATGGCAAGTTGGTAGCGGACGTAAATATGGTTATAGGTGGTAAAACGTGATTATTTATGGCGAAATATGGCATATACGACAAGGAACAGGTCGGCCGATTGCGCGCGCTGTAGGTCTCAGACGTCGAGGTGATGTAGCTTGTTGTGCTTTCTAAAGTGTCGGCAATCATCCCTTCCAGTATCAGCGACTTTTATTTCAAATGTCATTTGGCCGCCCGACCGGCCGTGGGTTCGCTCGCGGATGTGCCAAAATACATCGCACGGGATTGGTCTAAGTGATTTAAATAATAGCCAATAGAAACAATTTGATGGCAGTATATTATTATACACAAACGGCAAGTGCTTTTTTTACACATTGTGTTCCATGTTGTAGGCGCTCACTCTGCCACGCCATTTTGCACTTAGCACGACGTGAACCAGGGACACGGTGGGTATAGTATTGCAAACTATCTTTCAAGAATAAAGTAGTGCGCGCATACCATTCGACGTCACCTAACAAGGTAGCATGCAAGCACGATCTTTTGAAAACCCTGCGGCAGTTGGGGCTCAAAGCAGAACGCAAGACGATGTTGACATGGTATCCCACATTTACGATAATCATAGTGTCATTCACGGTGCTGATGACGCCATCGTGCGAGGCAAGCGATGATAAACCATGGTCCCTCCTGCGAGGATGAATGCATGTGTGGCACCTCGTGGTGTCCACTCAAGACGCTGCCACCTGCACACTGCAATGTACTTCATTGCATTTCAATTGTGCCACCTTGTAGTTCGGTCACCCGCGGACGACCCTCCAAACATACCGGCGAAATTAGTGTTCCGACTCATTCGCACTGTAGCACAAGCGACGTCAATGACCTTGGTACAGAGCTGCAAGCTTGGCCATAAGCCCCCGTTTCCTGGTCGTGCAACCATCGGGACATGCACCCGTGGTCCCACTCTATTTTGATAATCGCGCGGTCCGAGGAGAGTAGGCAGTGGTACATTCGTCGACGGTGCGCGTTCCTACGACCGCACTACAGCCAACGTGCATAATCAGACATTTTATAAACCTTTTTTTGCTACTAGAGTACATTCAAAATGAAGCAATCGTCACTTTTCAATTTGCCTCGACCATGAAGCTGTGGATCCCAAGCCTTCTCTGCCTTCTCTTGGTGCTTGTCGTGGCCCAAGAGACTGTCCAGGATGTCGCTGATGAGCGCTACTACGACTACGCGACGTCCCAAGCGATCGCCTTTCTCACGAAGAAGATGAAGGCGCACTCGATCACTGGCATGGGCATGACCGTTGTCCGCAACAACAAGGTAAGAAAAACACTCAAAATCGCCTATAATATGGTTGGAGTAGACGGTCGTTGCGACGGGGCTCGGGCTCAAGCGTGCCAACGTCTCGTCCGACATCGTGCGATCGACAACGGGCTTTGAGATCGGATCCGTCTCCAAGACGCACATTGCAATCGCTCTGGCCAAGCTCGTCGACGACGGGAAGCTCCAGTTCTCCGATACGGTCAAGTCCCGTGTCCCGTGGTTCACGCTCCAAGACAAGTACGCCGAGGCGCACACGACCATCGGCGACTTGCTCTCGCACAACTCGGTGCTGACCAGAGACGGCGACCTCCCCATTCTCTTTGGCCGCTGGGCGTCCGAGCGCGACAACGTCGAGAACCTTGCGTTCTTGCAGACGCGTCGCGAGTTCCGAGCCGGGTATGCCTACGCCAACCTGGGGTTTCAAGTGCTCGGGCAGGTCGTCGAGGCTGTGTCTGGGCTCCCGTGGTACGAGTACCTCCAGCGTACGATCTGGACACCGCTCGGTATGAAGTCAACGTACGCCCACGCGGGCTTGGCGCCGCCGGAGCAGCTCTCGTTTGGCCACTACGCGTGCAACCGGACAGTGATCGGGCCCTACCCGCTCTTCACCTCGAGCATGACGATGTTGAGCGCTACATCGCCGTTCATCGCAGCGGGCTCGATCGTCTCGTCTCCGGCGGACATGGCGATCTTCACGCGCTTCATCCTGCAGCACGGTGCCGGTATCTTCAAGTCGCCGGCGCTCGTCAAGGGCCTCGCAACGGGCTACACAAGTCTTCCTGCGACCCGCGCCACTGTCATCACGGTCTATGGTTTCGAGTACGACCCCGAAGGCAACGCGCTTGGCGTTGGCTACGGCTATGACATGACGGGTGCCCTTCTTTTTGGCCACCGGTACTTCTCGAAAGGCGGGGCTACGTTGGTCAACTATGCCGAGACGGGATATGTTCCGGATGCCAATTTGGCCGTGACGCTGCTCTCCAACACGGCAGCGGGGGGCGGGGCCGGCCGCGAGCGCGCCGTCTTGCCGCTCCTGAAAGTGTACGTTCTCGGCATCTACCTCGGCGTTCCCCGCAGTAAGCTCGACGCGATGTGGGACGCCGGGCTCGCCATGGCCGACAAGTTGACCCCGTTTACGCCGTGCGACGGCCACTATTTTGGCAACGAGCCGTGGCCGAGCGCCAACTTGCCCGTGCCGGGGGCGTCCGCCCTCGTCGGCTCGTATGCGTTTGTGTCATCGCCTGCGTACAACGGCCCCATCACGGTCCACGCGGCGCAAGACAAGCTGTACATGCGCTACTACAGCTATGACGCATGGCTATGACGCACCGCTCTTGCCGCTTGGGAACCATACGTTTGTGTGGGCCATCGACGTCACGCCGTCGACGCTCATTGTGCCGTTTACGCCCCAGCTGGACGGCAGCGTTGCGCTGAACTTCTTTGGGTCCGTTGCCGTCAAGGGTGCGTAGACGTTGGCCCGAATACGTCCTGTGCGATGTTTGGATAGTACGAAGGGCATAGACTAGTTTGCGGCCTTGATAGTAGAGGGTTCATCACGTAATCAACCTATCGAGCTTCATGCTGGTAAACGTGTTCAATTGCCGATTCCTTGCTGCACCGCACCCTCGGTATCAGAGATTGATCTTGTACAATTGTGCCATGCGGCGGGTGTTTATACCTTTAATGATACGAAGGGCAACCCAGACCCACCAGACCGTCACCCGATAATGATCGTAGTATACAACACGAAGGAAGAGATCCCACGCAAAAATCAAAAATACCGCTTGGCATCATATATATATATATATATATATGGCTTGGCATCGTGCGGTTCGTCTCATGACATAACAGCGATCTATGCTAATAGTCATCGAGCGCCGTTGCGTACTTGAGAGCCTGCGACGCCGCTAGCGCAGCAGCGACGACGTCAAGGCGATCGGCAAACGTCTTCTGGAGGAGGTGCTGCAGATGCGTCGTAAGCGCCGCATTGGTCACCATATCGAGCCACCGTAGCAACTGCGCGACGTGTTTGGTGGGGTCCGCCGACGCGACATGCACAAAAAGTGTGGCAAGGCCCCAGTCAGTAACACCCGACTTGAAGAGCACGCGTTGTTCGAGGCCTCCGATCGCAGGTTCCAGCATCGCCGTTGTCGCGCCCGTCTGCAATAGCATCGCCGTCAGCGCTTCGATACCTGTGCCAGCGTGGATGTCAAGGCAGTTGGCAGCATGCGCTTGGGCAACCATTTCGGTCTTGAGCAAACGGAGCGGCGACGCGGTGAAGTCGTGCGACTGCTTATGGACCCACTCGACGAGGAAGACGAGGTTGTCGATCGGATCTGTGGCGTCAAGACAGTGCGGCAGGAGAATGCGCAGCATATCAAAGCTCCGGCGACGAATGTACGCGCGTGCGACGTCCCGTGGCTGCCCGACACCTGCTTCAAGGAGAAACGTGAGGGCGTTGAGCGACTCGTTGGTGCGCACGACGACCTCGAGCAAGCAGTCGTGGCGCAGCTCTGGTCGTGTCGCCCAGAGCGCGCCAACCGCCTTGAAATCTTCCTTTGCGAGCGCTGTCTGCACATCGTCCAGCGTCATATGCTTGAAGGGAAAGCTTGGGCCGTTGGGCGCGTGGTGCGGCGAGTGCTGGCGGTAAAACGCAACCACGTCCTTGGCGCCAAACGTGTGCACATCCGTTGTCCACGCTGCTGGCAGCGCAATTCCTTGGGCCACGTAGAGCTGCAAGAGAGCGAGCGCGTTGGGCTGGCGCATCGCCCGCACGACGCGGGGAATGTCCGTGGGAAGAGAGTACCCCGCAGCGATGAGGAGCTCGACGATCGCAATGTGACCGTTTGCGAGCGCCCCGCGAACGGCACCGTCGGGACTACCACCATACTCGTCTCGGTGCGCCAAGAGGTAGGCGACGACGTCGAGGTGGCCGTTGCTGGCGGCCAAGTCCATGGCGGCCGTCGTGCACGCAAACGACCCGCGCTGCTGCCAATATACAAACATGTCCAAGTGACCACTTGCCGCGGCAATGTCCAAAACGTCGGATGACGCGCCTTCGTCCCGGTGGTCGACCAGGAACTGGACAATATCGAGGTAGCCACCGGCCACAGCTCCGTCGAGCGCGTCTCTGGTGCAGCCTTCGCGGCGATTCTCATGGAGGAAGACGACGATGTCCAAGTAGCCGTAGGTGGCGGCGATGTTCATCGCGTCGGTGGTGCAGCCTTCATTGCGGTGCGTGTGCAAGAAGACGACGACGTCGAGGTTGCCGGCGGATGCTGCTCGGTCCATCGCCACGTGCGTACAGTCGACACCGCGAGCATGCAAGGCTTCAACCAAAGACAGTGGGCTGTAGCCGCTCACCGCGTCCAGCACACCCGTCAACGTCACTGGCGGCGCGTGTCGACACAGAAACGCCAGTGCTTCAAGCGCGTGCTCGTGGATCGCTGCAAGAACAAGGTCTCTCCAGTTCCAGTCGCGTTGACGATGGGCCCACAACAGTGCTACAACCGACGAGTCGTTCATGCACAGTGTCGAGCGGGGTAGCCACTCGTCGAGGCATCGCGACGGCCACCCGCCGTAGGTGTCTTCAAAGTTCCGGTAAAGCTGAGGCATGTTCGTCGCCCGCTGCTCCAAGAGGTACGCGGCGATCTCGAGATGATGGTGCTGGATGGCGAGCGCAATGGCTTCTTGATACGCGAGGTCTGGTCGGCAGCGCAGAATGCGCCGAGTCGCCGTTAGATCGCCTTCGAGAATCGCCAAGTGCAGAGGAAAGCGAGGATCGCGCGTATTGTGCTGGTTGAGATTGAGCTCCTCTGAGCTGAGCACGGCTGGCGGCGTTTCGTCGCATGCGCGGTGGCGGTACGAGGTTCGGAAGAGCACAGGGTCGAGCCAGTAGACGCCGCTGTTGCCGCTCGACTCGAAGTCGACGAAAAGATAGAAGTGCAGGAAGCGGGGCGCAATGTCTTCGAAGACACCACCTTGGTAGCCAAAGACCAAGGCCGCGAGCTCGGGCTGGCGCAGCACGGCGTCGAGAAAGGTGGTCATGCGAGCACCAAATTGCTTTTTGCTCATCAACCCTCTCCTGAAGATGTTTGATTAGTGTGAGAATATGTATCAAATGGTGTTATCGATTGGTGAAACCAAATTGCTTTTTGCCGCCTTTGATTGGCTTGAATTCAACCAATCAGACGTAGCGAATGCAAATCCAAACAGGCATCCAAGAGCCAAGTCGTAATTCCTCCCGTCGACTGCAATTGCCATCGCTTCCTCGTTCGAGAAACTGATCCCGGTCCTGTACAATGAATCATGTCGTACTAGCACACGCACCGTCTTTTGTTCTGGCATCGCGCTAGTTTTACTAGACTTGGTCGAGCTTTTCACCGCCGACGATCGGGCCAAACGGCCTCGTCGCATGTCGTGCCTCGCCCAAAGCTGTTCTGCGCTCGGAAAAGCTCGAGGGTGGATCTGCGAGTGTGCTGTGTAGGACACACTCGTTTGTGATGTGGTTCTCGTCGTGCGCAGGGCCTAGCACGTTGTGTGCGTGTGGCTATCACGCTGGATGCCATCGTTTTAACTCGTGGTTTGTATGGCGTGCAGTGCACGCCTCGCTCGAATTCGCTGAAGAAGTGCCAGTAGTCTCAGCCACAGACGCACAGCGATGCCACGTCACGACCATGTTGGCCCCTTGCATCAAGCACCAGCCAAACGCTTGACCACGAGAATCCTTGATACACACAACGTACTATATTGCAAGGCGCTTGGAGCTTACGAACGCATGGAATGAATAGAGTCTACTTGTAAACCCAGCGCAGGTGCATTTCGTACTCGGCGATCGAAGCAACGTCATGACGGTGGTTGCAACGATGACCCAACTGCCTTTGTGTTCGTGACGTAGCGTGTCAAGTGACCCCACGATGCGGCAATCTTGGTATGTCTAGGCGGCACTGGCCCGCGCACGCCATTTCGTCTAAGGGGTTCGGGGGGTCCGATTTTAGAGCCTGATGTTTTCAAGCAGATGTCGGGAAGGCCATCGCTTCAACGTTGTCGCTTCCGAGCCAAGCGCTTCCACGAGAATGCTAGTTTCTGTATGCGTGGTCTTTTGAGCGAAGATTTTGCCGATATATATGGCGTTCAGCGAGTTCAAAACCCTCTGGGCCACACGCAATTTTACAATGCTCTCCGCCACGATCACCTGCGCTGCATCGATGCAAGATGGCAAAAATGAAATCCAGGGCAGTGCGATCGCTTGACGCTTCAAGTCCTCGCCGTTTATCCACCAACACACGGCAAAATGGCCTTTAGCGCAAGCTCAGATGCTGATTGACTCGCAGCGCGCATTGCGGCGTATCAAGGGTCCATTGCTGGGTCCATTGTTATGCAGTACATCGTCGTAGCTAGCACGAAGAAGTTGTTTACAGGTGAATTGATGGGTTATCCAACGACCGACGTACGTCACTTCTAGTTAGTGCGACACGTGGGTCGCTGCAATGCACTGCCACGAGTGGTTTTCGTTCAAGACGCGGTCCGGCAGTGTGTGCTGCGTCGCGCGCTGCGTGAGGCACAGGAACGCGTTCGCCTCGTGCCGCCAGCGCCAGACGAAATCCATTTCCAAATCGTCGAGGCAGTCGGCGTCGTCGATCGCTTCGAGCGCATTGTACGACGTGATGACAATGGGTGTCTTGGGCTCCTCGGCCATCATGAGCGCAAACGTCGGGAGCCAATCGTCGTAGCCCCACACGCCAGCGTTGAAGCAAAAGATGGCTGACGGCGACACGTACGTCGGGCCCGCGAGGTGCTCCGACCAGAGCTCCGACGCATACACAACGCAGACGCTCTTGTCGCTGCCGGGGATCGCGCTTGTGGCTGCCGTGCCATGCAGACGCTGCTCGACGTTCGGCCCAATGAGGACGAGCACGAGTTCGTCGTAGCCGTGGTCGGCGCTCCCAAAGGCAGCGAGAAGGACCTCAAACACCTTGAGCGTTGCGTGTACCGAAGTCCCTTCGCGCTGATCCGCGCCGACAATGTGCAACACCAGCTTCTTCTTGGGACTCAAAGCCGTCGTGGCCTTGTGCTTCTTGTGCTGGACACCGGGTGCGGAAAGGAGCTTGGCGCACTCCAGCGCCTTGAGGATCGTCATGGAGCGCGAGTGGGCATAGCTACGCTCTTCGATGGGCGCGGCCTCTTTGAGCACGGGCGCGGCCCACCGGCCAAAGTCGTCCCAGTTCGTCGGCGGCTGCTGCCACATTGCAGAGTTGCCGTCCTGCCACCTACCTCGCATGCCATTGGCTGGGCCTACAGCGCATTGGCCAATCGCATCGCTTGTGGCCGAATATGGTGGAGTTTAACGCCATTGACAAGGTTTTTTACAAGGTTAAATCCACTCAACATGGGTTGAATGCTATTCGTATCGGAAGTGGCGAGATGAGCACGAAGCCGTACAACCCCAAGGTGCTCGTCGAGTGGTGCCCGTACGACAGCGCGCTCTTCGCGGCCGGCGCCGACTCGCTGAGCCTCTACGAGTGCCAGACGCAGCGCGAGATGGCGGGCAACAATGGCATGGACCTCATGGGCGTCGACGTGGATGCGATGCTGCACGGCCTCCCGCCTGTCACGACCGCCCGCCGCAAGAAGGATATCTTCCGCATGGTGCAAACCAACTCGGACATTGCCCAAGTGAAGAGCCTGCAGTGGTGCCCGCTGCCCCGCCAGCTCATCGCAGCCGGCGTCGGCGCTGGCAAGGTCATCTTGTCCGACTTTAGCCAGACCGTCGTCGAGCTCATGCCATCGCGGACGTCCGGGAGCTCGACCAACCTTCTGCAGCCCATGACGGGCCTCAAGTCGTCGCGGCCGTCGATGCACACGCCGATTGCGTGCAATACCGTCGCATGGAACCCGCACAACCCGACGCAGATCGCCGCCGGGTTCGAGAAGGTCCGCGTCGACTCCTGCGCGTTCGTGTGGGACCTCACAACGCAAACACCCATGACATCGCTCGCCGCGGGCCCGATCCTCGCCGGTACGCGTCTCTCGTGGCTGCACATGTATCGTCTCGTCCGCCCATCTGCGACGCTATAGATCCCTTACACTACGAGCCCAAGCAAAACCATTTCCAGAGCCGGTCCGGCGCCGGTACCGATCGTTTTGTCCATATTGGCGCTGACAAGGTCGTAGGCTTTTCGTTTTTTACCAAGCCCATGATCACGCACGAGTTGTCGCACTCGGAGGCGATCGTGGCCATGGCGTGGCTGCCCTCGGACCCATCGTACCTCGCGACGGGTACCGGCTTCAAATGGTGACCGTCCTTTAGCGACAAGACTTTATAAAATGAGCCGCTCGCGCTAGGCTGCGCATCTACGACCTGCGCACCAAGACAACGCCCATGGTCGTGTCGGCGCACACCAAAGGTACTCGCGATGATCGACGACAATCTCTCCATCATGCGCGGCTAGGGGTCTACGGCGTTGTGTTTGATACGCACCGCCCGCACATCCTCGCCACGTACAGCGACGACCCGAAAGAGCCGGTGAAAGTGTGGGACATCCGCTCGATCCGACAGGGCGACGCGCCGGAGCCGCTCGTGTCCATCTACCCGAGCGGCAAAGCGATTACGCAGATCGCGTGGTCGCCGACCAAGCCCGGGATTCTCGCGACCACGACCTCGGACGACCGGTCGATCTCGCTCTGGGACGTCGACCAGCCGTCGGGCTCGCTGCGCAAGCCGATCAAGCGGCGGTCGACCAAGGAGCCCGTGTTTGCGTTCTCGTGGCGGGCGGTCACGAACGCCGACGTCGTCGCCAACCCGGACCGCCTCGTGACAGCCTCCATCACGGGCAAGCTCGAGAACGTCTCGATCCACGACACGATGCCCTTGGCGCTGGCGTCGACGGGGCAGCTCGGCTTTGGCTGCGGCAAGTTCCTCTTTGCCGACGCCTCGGGGGTACGTGGTGGACGTTTGCGACCAAGAAGTTGAATGTCTCGTCGTTTCAACTAGGTGCCGGAACGCCGGGGCCACGACGATATCGCAGCGCGCATGGTGCGCCGCGTCAAGGCTGGCTACTCGATGAACGTGCTCACGTCGCTGCAGATCTTTGTCAAGGAAGACAACCGGGATCTGCGCTTTGTCTGGATGTGGGTCGAGCAAGTCGAGGCGCTGCGTCGACATGCGATTGCCACCTTGGACATGCACAGCCAAGACGCGCGCGGTACCGACTTCATTCTCGGCTTGATATATCGATACGTCACTAGGGCTCTTGACATCGAGCTTGCACCGCGGTCCGCTCCGTGCGTGGCCGATCGACGCGCAGGCGCTCATGAACGCGGGCGTTCAACACCTCCTCGGTCTCTCGAAAGCACCGTCGCTCTCGAGCTCGTCCATGGAGACGTCGATGCGCGATCCGAACCTCGGCTGCCTCGTGTACGACAGCCTCGGGCGACGCACCGCGCTCCTCGCGTGCCAATGGGACCCCGAGTGCGGGCTTGGCCTCAACGCATCGGCCATGCCGCGCACGAAGCTCAACAACGGGTCCTGGGCCTCCCTCAACGAAGACCATATGGACGACCCGCCCCTCGCATCGTCCTTGCCGTCGCTCTCGTCGCTGCTTGCGCAGTGCGAGGCAACGCACGACTATGACCGCGCAGCGGCGCTCGCTGTCTTCCACGGCGACCTCCTCGCGGCCGTCTCGGTGCTCCAGCGGGGCGCCGACTCGGACCCGCACCGCGATGTGCGGCAGCTTGTCGCCATGGCGATCGCCGGCTACTCGGTGAACGGCCCGACGACAAATGCGCTCTGGGGCTCGATGATTCTGCAGCTCCTCAAGCGTCAAGAGCTCCAATCGACCGCTGCGCCCCGGTATCTCCACGCGCTCTGTTCGTTTTTGAGCACGGCCAAGGACCTCGCCGCGTCGACGTCGACGCCATTGCATCGACCGCCGAAAAACAACGTGGCTTCCCACCTCCGGCGCAACTCGAGCGCGTCGTTCATGCCCGTTGTCGACGACGGGCCGCCGCTCTTCGCCGCCATCTTGCACGACGAGACCTTGCTGCTCTCGGACCGGACAGCGTTTGCCTGTCGGTTCCTTCCGCTGGATGCGCTCACGCGATTCATTGACACGTGCGTCGAGCGCTGCGTGCACGAAGGCAACCTCCAGGGGCTCCTCCTCATCGGCCTCGACCCGACCTTGCTCCAAGAGTACCTGGATCGAACGGGCGATATCCAGACGATTGCGCTCCTCGCGGCGCGCGTCGTGCCGAGCGAGTACCCGATGATGACGACGTGGATTTCGCTCTACCGCGACCTGCTCAACCAATGGCAGCTCTTCCACGAGCGCGCGCTCTTTGATGTGGGCCGGGCCCAGCTCATGGACCAGCTCACGGCACTCTCGGCGCCCGACGGAAGCAACGCGCCGGCGCCACTGGCCCTTCCGCAGCCACAAATGTATGTTCGCTGCAATTTCTGTGGCTCTTCGCTCGCGCTCTCGTCGCTGCTCCGCGTCGGCAACGGCGACTGGCTCGTCAAGGCCAAGCCGAAACTCAACAACTGCCCGAGTTGCAAGAAGCCATTACCGCAGTGCGCGCTCTGCTTGCTGCCGTTTGGCGCGCTCAACCCGTACTTGGAGCTCGCGCTTCGGAAAGGCGACAAGCTCAAAGCGGAGCATGAAAACAACAGCAGCCACGCCGACAGCCTCGCCGACCTCTCGAGCATCCCGTTCGCAGAGTGGTTTACGTGGTGCCAGACGTGCAAGCACGGTGCGACCCTCTCTTTTTAGTTAATTAGTCGATGGAAATGGTGCGTAGGCGGCCACGCCCACCACATGACAGACTGGTTCGCCGCCCACGACGTGTGCCCTGTCTCGGACTGCGACTGCCCCTGCAAGCAGCTCGATGGGCCCGTGACGCGCCCGACAACAGCGTTTGCATCGACGTCGACGCCCAAGTCGCCCGTCCTCACTGCGCAGCCAACTGATTACGCTGCCATGCTCGAGCAGCAACTCCAAGGTTGACCACTATCGATTCGTCTTCCCAGACCCCCCGACGTTTTTCTTCTTGTAGCAACAAGCCTCGCCGAGGCCGACGCCCCCACTCGCCCGCAAGATGCGCGGTCGCCACCGCCCGCAGGACTAGGCTACGGCGCGCTGAGCTTTTAACGTCAAACAGTATTTGCATGTTTTGATCGACACCACCCTTGACGACGCTGCTATCGGTCTTGCTCGTCGCCTCCATACGCGTCGTCCGACTCTGTCGTTGTCGTCGTTGCTGGTGCAAGCGCTTTCATGGCGACCGTCACACGTCGCAAGATCTTGGCGTACTTTTCGTTGACGCGGCGGACCTTTTGGACGGCGACGCCGTACGAGTCGAGGGTGGCTTCGAGCTTGGAGGCGTCCGGTGCGTCCGAGAGCCGGAGCAGCTCGTCCCGAAGCTTCTCTTCAAGCTGCGCCACCACCGCCGGCGCGGCGTCGGTCTCGAGAGCATTCTCGTCCAAGTCGTTGACAAAGGCCACGACTGATGAGGACGGGCTACGACTACTAGTGGCAGTAGGGTGTGTTGCCGTCGACGCTTTGCGCAGCAGCTTGAACTTGACCGACGTGAGGCGCGCAACAGCATCTTTAAACGTGGTTTCTTTGGCTTTGATCGCTGCGATCTCGGCCGGTTGCAGGTCTCGGAACCGGTTGACATCGCGAACAATCGTTCGGTAGGCGACCCACGCGGTCTCCGAGTCGATCTTCTTCGCGATAATCTAACACAGATCGAGTGGCGCCATGCTTGGATGCGATACAAACCATTTTGAGAATGCGAACGCGCAGGTTCAGCGACGCAGCGGTCTCGGCATGCGGTATCCGCTGCACCGCAGCGAGTAGGTCGCTCTCGGTGGCCTGCCACGTCTCGTCGAGTGCCGCAAACTGGTCGTCTTCGTACTCCTAGAGAAGCATGGCGAACCTCAATCTCAATTCCAAAGTACCGTCGGGTAGGCTGCCCCGGACGCCTTGAACTTGTTTTGGCGTGTCGAGAGCACGCCATTGTCGAGGATGACGGCGACGAAGCGCGCCCGGGGCACCGTGCCGAGGGAGAAATCGGCGACTGCATCGCGGTAGAGTCTTGCGGTGTCGCGGTCCGAAATACAGGGCGCGAGGTCGTGTAGCACGATGGAAAACTCGTCGTAGCCCATGTCGTCGTGCCCGAGCACGTCACCAGCCGCGTAAATGTCGAGCAGCATCTAACCACATGTCATGCAATGGACAAGTTGTCTTCTTTTCTGTAGACAAAATACCGTTTCCACGGTGCCTTGCATGACGCCAAATTCGTCCAGTGCGATCTCAAGAGCCGCGTCTTGGTCGATGAGCGACGCGTCGTCGACGCACGCCTTGGCCGTCACCTTGGCCTTGATCTGCTCGGTCGAACAAAAGGGTCCAAACCGCTTGTCATAACTAACCGCGCGTCAGTCGTCGACGTCGATAGGTTGATAGATTGATAGATAGATACCTGTCTTCGAGCATCGGGAGCAGCGTCGCGAGCGGCATTTTGGTAGAGGCGTTCGCGCCGAGCAAGAACGAGCCGTTGGTCCAGAGATGCAGAAGTCCCTAGCACGAACCTGCTGTGAGTCGATACGTCGACGAGATGCGTACCAGAGCAAAGTTGAGTGTCCCGTACTCGTACGCGGGGAGGTACCGTCGACAGCGTCAAGGATCCCGTCGTTGCTATGAAACATCGCTGCATCCTGGACTGGAAAAAGGATATCTCGACGCCCAAGAAGCGGCTAAACCTACGCGAGCATCATAGGACAATCTGTCCAACCTCTGCAATTTGTACGTACAAAAGACACTTTTTGTTGTGCTTGCGGTGTTTCTTGAGCGAGAGGAGGAGCTTGGCGAGGTGCTGCATCGCTAGTTTCCGGAGCCCATACCTACGCGCGCCGTGCGATCGGGCGGTGGCGGGTGCTAAAACGTACTTGCGGAGGTACCAGTCGTACACGAAGTCGATAAAGGCCGTGGACCCGACGCTGTCTTGGTCGCTGAGGTTGCACTCGTACCGCTCGCGGTAAATCTAAGCCGGTATCCCAATCTTTCGACAACTATGCCTGTGTAGAACCTGGTAGAGGAGCTTGAGCACGGTGCTGAGGTTCAGAACGACCTTGTTGTCGCTAAACATCTCGGAGAGCTCGGCGACCGAGATGCCAAGCACGTGCGGCCGCCGCCCTTTATCCTTCTCCAGCGCCATGAGGCCAGGAAAGAGGTTCGGGCGCGGCTTGGGCGCTGTCGCCGCGGCCACATTCGCCTCGTGGAGCGTCCGTAGCTCGTTCGCGAGCTGCACAATGCAGACGGGCGTGGCGTCGACATGGACATCGGTGACCACCGCATCGATGGCCGCATCCGACATGGCCCATGGCGCCTCCTGTGGCTTGGTCCATGGCACATTAGTCGCTCCGAGGGGTTGCAAAAGAGCTTTGAGCGTCGCTTGGAGGTCGTCGAGGCCCTGAATAAAGTCCGAGAGCACCTTCTTGTCGTTGGCGAGCTGGAGCGCATTGACCATGGTGGCTAAACACGCGTGCACAGACGCGCCGTGCATCTTGGCCTGCGTCTTGACCAAGAGGCTCTACTCGGACACATTGTCGACATATTACATTCCTAGGAGCACACGTCGTACGTGCAAGGCATCCAAAATCGCACAGGTCGATGGTCCTAGCGACGCCTTTTGCAGCAGTGCTTGGGCGAGGAGCGCGCCGAGCCACGAAATGCTGTTTTGAATGTGGTCGGGCGCCAAGAGTGCTTCGGTCGTCGACGGCGCGTCATCCGCATGCACGAACGTCGCAACGAGCGAGTGGAGCCGCGTGAGCTCGCGCCGCGTCGAGTGCTGCAGCGGCCCGGTCTGCATTTCATGCTCGAGTTTCGTGAGAAGGACGTGGCAGACGCTCTCTGCGTCCAGCGTCCGCATGTGCCCCGACGCGAGAGACGATGGCTTGCGGCTGGTCGTCGTGTAGCCCAAGACGAGCGCGGCGGCTTGGTGGCCGATCGCCTCTCGGTTCTCTTCGTTGGCCGTCGCGATCAAGCCCTTGATCTTGTCGAGCAGCGATGCTTCGGACGAGAGAGGGCGGTCGCCAAAGCCCAAGGGTTTGGCCGACGGCTTGTGCAGCGTGTCGCGCGTGTATCGCTCGAGCTGCTCCATGAGTAGAATCAAATGCGACTGCTTCTCGAGCGCCGTCGTGTCCGATGCGATCGTCACGAGGTGCGACGCGATCTCGGCTGGAAACCCGAGCTTTAGGAAATTGCGCACGTCCGACGGATGTACACTCGGTGCTGCGTGCAGCGCTTCTTCGTCCATGCTACACAGCGAGATAAGGATGCGTGAATGCGACGAAACAATCATCGCACCAAGGAGGTTTCCCAGGCATGTGCGCCGGCGCGCGCTGGTTGAGAATGTAGTCTTGCAGCGCCTGCGCCTCGGTCTTGATACTCAGCGGCGCATGGTCGTGGTCCATGAAGAGCTGGAGCATGTGGACCATGCACTGCTTGTAGTGCGGGTTGGCGTGGAGCGTCATCGTCGCGTCCTTGGCGCTGGATACCGCGCGCGTCTTCTCGAAGCGCAGCCTACGCGCGTCTCTTTAGCTCGGTACCGTGCAAGCGTAGCGTTCTCCTACCACTCGAGCAAAAGCGAGCTCATCGACAGCACCTGCAGCGGGACGTTGTGCTTGTCGTTGCCAGTATCGACAAATGTCGAGAGGTGGTGGATGAGGTTGTCGGTGAGCGCCGCGACCGTCCAGAGGTCCTTGACCAAAACGCGGTTCTTACTCTCTTTCCCAGCCTTGTGCTCGGCGAGTAAATGCAGGCTCTTTTCGCGGTTGGCGACGAACCGCCGCGGCGAGTACAGGCTTTCTTTCGGCGTCTGCGGCGGCGACATGACAGCAGGCAACAGGTCGTCGTCCATGTTGACCTGGATGCCCTTGTGCCGGAGCGAGATCGGCTCGAGCTCCTTGCGCTTTGCTTCGTTCTGCAGCCGAAGTTTCTTGGCCTCGAGCGTCGCCGTCACCGACTTGGCGACGAGGCTCGTCATCGTGTGGACGTGACGCGCCTGTCGCTCTTGCTTGCTTTCGTACCCGAGCTCTTCGAGGGCCCGGCGCAACACAAAGGTGCTTGTTTCGAGGAGGAGTTGGACGATCTCAATTTCCATTTCAGAAATGTGCGTGAAGATCTGGGCGAGGAAGGCGAGACGCTCACGCTTGGGCAGCTTCCAGTACTCGAGGAGGAGGCGCGCGGTCGCGTCCTGCATGAGCCCGACATCGGTCGCGTGCACCATCTCCCAGGATTGATCCGCCGAGCTATTCTTGAGCATTTGGATCTCCCGCTCGAGCTGGTGGCAGTAGTGGTACAGCGGCAGCTTCTCGCAGTGCGACGGCGCGAGCGACGCCGTGACAGCGGCCGCGACCGATGGGTTCGAGCAAAAGAGTGCGTCGGCCAGTGCGGTCTTGAGCTGCGCCATCGCACTTGTGTAGCGCACAACGAGCTTCGTGTGCACCTCGTCTGCGCGTACAAACACGTACGGAAGCGAGTTGAAGAACGTGTCGAGAATGTTCCAGAGGCGAAGACCCTAATCGCGATGTTGGTATGGTTGGTCATATTGAACCTCGAGACGAAGACAAGAAGACATGGGCACGCACGTTGTCGGAAAACTTGTCTTGGTCCCACTGCGCAATGAGCGACGGGATGACGCGATGGCCGCGGTCACTGGTGAGAATCTCGAGCGTGAGCTTGTTGGACGTGAGGAGGCGCAGCGACGCCGTGTCGACCGGTCGCTCGCATTCGCGGTTCGCGCGTGCCATGTCCCACGACGTCCACTGCGTGGCGTCGAGATGAACGCCGGCTGCGGTGGCATCCCGAAGCTTTTGGTCAAAGAGCAGAATGTCATGGAGCGTGCCCGTGCCATTGGCGTCGCACGCGGCGTAGTTGCCCGGCAGGATCGAGACGAGGTCGTTTGCGCTGAACGCGTCGGCGGCGCGGACGTCGCTCACCTTAGTAGCAGCAGCAGCAGCGAGCATTCGCTGCTTGCGCGGCGAGCCACTCATCGGGCCCAGTGGCGGCGGTGCCTTGCCGGGGCTCTTGGTCAGCGGCCGAAGGTGCATGCTCGAAACTGCTTGTATAGATACCACTCTTGAAACGACTAGCCAATGGCATCGTCGTGTGCCACTTTGCCCATTGTGATTGGTCCTTGAAGGGGTGTCGGGGACCTCATTGGCTCGTTTGACTGTGGTGCTCGAAGAAAGGACGAGAAGATGACCGCGTACGACGTGCTGCTGAAGCGGCTCCTGGGCGTCAACCAGTTCTCGGCGGCCGTCAAGATGGGCCTGCGCAACTCGGTCGCGCTGCACGATGCCCTCGGGCAGCCGGCGACGGTCCGCGCGACTGCATTCTTCATTTTCCTCATGATGCGCCTTCTAGCGGTTTGACACGGTGCACGTCGCCGGGACCAACGGCAAGGGATCCGTCTCATGGAAGCTCGCAAAGGCGCTGCAAGCATCGGGCTTCAAGACCGGCCTCTTTGTCTCGCCCCACGTCGCGTGCTTCCGGGAGCGTATCCAGATCAACGGCGAGCTCATTTCGGAAGCCGACGTCGAGGCGCACCTGCCGACGCTGTTTGCACTCACCGAGGACGAGGGCATTCCCGCCACGTTCTTTGAGCTCACGACGATGCTAGCGCTGCAGCACTTTGCCGCGCAAGACGTCGACTGCGTCGTGCTAGAAACCGGCCTCGGCGGCCGCCTCGACGCGACCAACATTGTGACACCCGTCCTCTCGGTCATCACATCGATCGGGTACAAGCTCCACGATTTATGGGTCCAGAGGCATGCGCTGATCCATGCTAGGCTCGACCACACGCGTATTCTGGGCAGCACGATCCCTGAAATCGCGCGCGAGAAGGCCGGCATCATGAAGCCCCACGTCCCCGTTGTTGTCGGGCCGCAATCGCCCCAGCACATCATGCGGCAGGTAGATACACTCGATCGATCGATGGCTCTTTGTTCTTAGAGGCAACTGTTTTTTAGCACGCGCGCGAGGCGCAGAGTCCGATCGTCTGCGTGGCGGCGACACCGGCCCACGCAAAAGACTACAACGCCGAGAACGCGGATATTGCGTTGGCGGCGGCCATGCAGCTCAACATCCTCCACGGCCAGCACAAGACCAAGGTAGCTACTACCTCCAGCACCACCTCTTCGAGCTGATGACGACCTAGCTGACGCTCGACACAACGTCCAGTGCGGTGGCCAAGTGCTTGGCGTCGCGACCGCCATGCCGCTTTGAAGTCGTCGAAACCAAGCAGGCCACCGTCGTCCTGGACGTCGCCCACAATCTACCAGCCTTTGAGAAGCTCCTCGACCTCCTGGAGGTAGACACTTGAAAGCGATGCAACGTGAAAGTGAAGCGGAGGGTACGTAGCTGCGGTACCCGGACCAAAGTCTCCGCTTCGTCTGTGGCTTCTCCGCCGACAAGGACATGGCGCACGTCACCGACCTCATCACGGCCAAGACGACAGCGCGCAAGGTGCATTTCGTGCAAGGCTACCACCCGCGCTGCGCCACCATGACGGAGATTCAGGCCGCACTGCACAACTCGGCGACGGTTCGATCCCGTGTCCGACCCGAGATACACATGATGGAATGGCGTAGCAGTCTGGCTTCCACTTCCACGACGGCGAACACAGCGTTGCGAATGGCGTCTCGGCCGCGATGCATGGTACGTCCGCGCATTTTTCCCATTTTCTCAAAGGACTTGCAGCCGCGGCCGTCGACAAGGACGTGGTCGTCGTCTGCGGCAGCGTCTTCATCATGGCCGAGGCCCGCGCCGCGCTCGGGTTTTGCGAGCCCCATGACAGTGACGAGCTCAAGGCGGTTGCCGGCGCCGGCGTCAAGACCGCGGTCCAGCGCATGGAAAACCCGTAAGTGTCTTCTTGTGTACACACATGTACAATGTAGATATTGTCTTCTTCATGCAGCTGTCTACCGTCTCCCACTACGCCCACTCCAAAAAGCACATGTTGTCTTGTCGTCTACTTGCTGCCGGGGGGAAGGTAGTTGAAGAAGTCCGACTTGGGGCCGTAGTGGGCCCGCGGCGAGAGCACGCCCTTGGCCGCCTTGGCCGCCGCCGCATCCGCCTGCTCCTTCTCTTCGCGCTTGCGCTGGCGCCGACGAGCATTCTTGTCCATCGCCGCCGGCGCACCCACGGGCACGTGGCGCGTCGGCTTGGCCGGCGTCTCGATGGGCGCTTCCACTGGCGCGTCGACGGGCGCCGCTGCCTTTTCGGGCTTGGGCTTGGTGAACGCCCGCTTCTCCGCATCCATGGCCACGATCGCCGCGATCTTCTCGCGGACCCAGACCGCCGCGGCCGCGACCGCCGCCTTTTCACCGCGAAGCGACACCTTGCTCTGCGCACCGTCCTTCTCGGCACGGCGAATGTCGACCTGGAGGCCTACAACGTACACTCGCATGAGGGGCCCGTCGTTTTCAAACACGACGTACCAGAGTGCATGGACTGGAGCGTCTTGATGTTGGCGCCGCCCTTGCCGATGAGCGAGCCGACAATGTCGGTCGACGGCAAGACAATCTGCAGCACCGTGGTCGTGGCCACAAGCTCTTGCAGCTTGGCGACCGTGGACGCGCGCTCGGTCGCGTTCTTGGCGTGGATCTGAATCGTGGCCGAGAGGTCCGTCTTCTCCTGCACGTTGAACGAGACGCCGCTGGGGCTCTGGCGCTTGAGGCCCATCGCCGCGTCGAGGAGCGTCAGCGGCACGACGACCGACGCGCACTCGGCTTCGTACGCGTGCAACAGCTCTTGCACAAGGCGCACCTACGCCAGCATCATCTCTATATATGTCGAGGCAGATAGGAGGGTACCGCCGCCTTGACGTTCGCTTCGTCGCGCGAGTGGATCGTGAGGGACCGAGCGGCCCACGGATCGTCGGCGTCGGCAGGCGACAAGTTGAGTGTCGCGTGGCTTTCGCTCGAGAGGCGCTTGATCGACTCGCCGTTCTTGCCCACGAGCTGCGGCACGAGGTGCCTAATCCATCCATAGCATGAGCCACCATGGACAAGAAAGGTCCACAACGTACCCCGGGATCGTCATCTCGTGGTACTCCTTGTCGTGCGCCTTGAGGATCTCCTCGAGCTTCTTGTGCACCGTCTTGGTGTTGGCCTCCGAGTCCGTGATGATCTTGATCGAGTCTTTCGACGCCAGAGACAAGGTCGCCTACAGGGCCGTTGGAGCCAGGAGGCTACTACAATGGAATCGCGTACGTGGTAGGCACCAAGGAGGGGCAGCGACTGGAAGAGACGGGGCACGGCCGAGGCCGAGACGCCCGAGAGCACCTTGACGTGCGACGGGAAAAAGAACTGGAGGAGGCTCTCGACACGGAGCTTGGCGTCGAGGACCTTGGCCAGCGACGCGCCTTCGAGCGAGACGGCAAAGCCGCTCGGGCTCGACTTGTCGGCCTTGATGCGAATGACCGTCTTGGTCTGCTTGACGACCTGCAGCACGTTCTCGTGGAGGCTGTCGTCGGTCGACCCGCGCAGCGACGTTGCATGCGCCTTGGACGCTAGCGGAATCGACGCGATGCAGTGCGTGTCGGCGAGCATGTCGAAAAAGCTCTTGAGCTTGGCGATGCCCAGCGGCGACCCCCGGAGCTTGACCTGCGTGCCGTTCTCTTGCACGCTGGCCTTGACGCCGCCCTGCGCTTCGAGCTCAGCGAGGTGCAACGCGATCGTTGGGTCCGAAAGAAGTGCGTCGAAGCGACCGCGCCCGCCGGCCTTGATCGTCTCAAACACGGTCGTGTTCTGGAGCAGGTCCAAAATCGCGGCGGCGCACGCGTCCACGTCGGCCTTGTCGTTGCCTTGGATGCGCACCACCTGGCTCTTCTGGAACGTATCGAGCGTCACCTTCGGGTGGGCTGCTCGCACTTCCTTGATGCGCTCGCCCTTCTTGCCAATCAGGCACGCGACCGAGAACTCGTCCAAGTTCAAGAGCTGGCGCGCCGACGTGCGGAGGAGGCCGTCCAGCGCGGATGTCGCCGCCGCCACTTGGTCGGCGGTGCCCATAAGCTCGAGCTCGCGGCTACCCTCCGAGACGTCGTCGAGGACGCGGAGTCGGCACCCCGTGTCCTTCTCCAGCTTCATGATCGTCTCGCCCTTCTTGCCAATCACGGTCGCGACCTCGTCCCCGTCCAAAGGAAGGTACACGACCTTGTTCTCGTCGTTGAGCGCTTCCAGCGCCGTCGACGCCAGCTGAATCGCACTCTAGCATGGAACGTCGCACGTGGCGTGACATCGATATTTCGTTGTCGTCGTACCGTGGTGCCGGTGAGTGTGATGGCCATCGTCGTCGCCTTGGTGCGCGGCGCCTTGCCCCCAGCGGGCGCGGGCGGCAGCTGCACGTTGCAGCCACTGGCCTTCTCAATCTCGTTGAGCTTGGCACGCTTGTTGTTGAGCAAAAGACCCGTCAAGTGCGATGACGTGTACACAACGGAGCGCTGGTTCTTGGCCACAATCTCGTCCACCAAGGCCGTCGCCTTTTGAATCTGCACCTCTTCATGAGAAACTTCCATGTGGGCAGCAACATACCTGGTCGGCCTCGCCGAGGATGTAGAGCGTGTGGCCTTGAATGTCGACTTTGGCGCCGCTCTCGGCCTCGATCGCCTTGATCTTGGCACCCTTCTTGCCAATGATGAGGCTCAAGCAGCGCTCATCGACGTCAAAGGTATGCACGCTCTCGAGGAAGCTCGCGACCGCCGCCTGGATCGCGCCCTTGAGCGCCTCGATCTGGTGGCGATTGCCGTCGACGTCAAACCGGTTCTTGTTCTAGTATCCATGTGTCAAAAGGAAGACTCGGATGGTCGTATTCGCACCTTGTTGACTTGAAGGCGAATGTCCAGCGCTTCCTTGCGCAGCGCCTTGAGCTTGGCTGCCTTGTCGCCCATGAGGTACTCGACAAACGCGGGAAATTGCGATGCGTCCCAGCGGCCAAAGAATGCGACGTCCGACGCGTTGACCTTGACGGCGCTCGCGGCTTGGTCGTGGATGATCGCATCGACCGAGGCCTGCGCGGCGAGAACGCTCTCGGCCGGACCGACAATGTGCACGCAGTTGGTCTACAACATAGGCAGTGTGAAACATTGAAACATTGAAACAGCGAGAGAAAGAACGTACGACGCGGTCAATGTCGAGGAGCGCGCCCGTGTCTTCCATGATCTTGGAGATGACCTCGCCCTTCTTGCCAATGAGCTTGGGGATGACGTCGGTCGGGAGGTCGATCGTCGCCTTGTTGGTGTTGAGCGACTTGAGCGTCGCCTCGAGGAGCTGCGTGCGCTCGGGCGAGGCCTGGAACGAGATCGTGTTCTCGGCGCGCTGCACGTCAATCTTGACGTCGCACTTGGCCTCGAGCGCCTTGAGGTGCAGACCCTTCTGGATCATGAGCAGCTTGAGCACGTCCGGATGCACGGCGAGGGACTGCGTCGTCGCGAGCGCAATGTTGTTGATGGCCGCCAGGACGAGTGCGTTTTGCTTGGGCACGCTCGTCGCCTTGACGTCCTGCGTCCCTACAGCATGTCGTATGAGCACCTTTGAGAGAGGATAGAAGAAGGATACCGTTCTCGACGTCGAGCAGCACGTGGTACGTCTCTTCAAACTGGCGCAGCTTGGTGTAGTTCTTCCCGACGACCATGCCCATCTTGTCCTTGGGCACCGAGATCGTGATGGTTTCAAACGCGTCGAGCGTCGTGTGCAGCTCGAGGGCGAGTTGCATCTTGCGCACCTCGGCCTGGAGCAGCTTTTCGTGCGTCTCGGTCGCACGCAGCGTGTCATAGAGCTCGTTCTTCTTGTCCTTGAGCGTCTGGACCGTCGCTTGGAACTCTTCGTACTCGGTGACTTGGACCTTCCGCACCTTGATGGCCTCGAGGTCCTTGAGCACGCGCTTCTCTTCGTTGAGCGACATGGACGTCGTCGTACGGCGGAACTCGAGGTTCTTGGCTTCCTCCTCGAGCTGCGCGACCGTGCCCTGCACGCGCGCCTTGGGCGTCTTCAAGAGCTTCGCTAGCTCCTCGTCCGCGGCCTTGGCATCACGGGCCATTGTCACCTTGCTGGTCGAGAGGCTCTCGAGGAGCGCCTTCTTTTGCGCAACGAGCTCGGGCGTCACAATCGGCGCCTTGGCCTTGGGCGACGCGGGCTTGGGCGCGGCCTTGGGCGCAGGCTTGGGCGCGGCCTTGGCCGGCGCAGCAGGGGGAGCTTGAGCTGGCTGCTTGGCAGCCTTCGTTGCGGGCGTCTTGCCCTTGCCTCCTTTGCCCGACATACTACGGACCGAGGTGAATTGACTTGTGGACAAAAAAAAGATTTGGTCCAAGTTGAGGTCGCAACATGGCGTCGGAAATAGTGTATATAGTGTGAAAGCTGCAGCGCATTCCAAGGATGCGAACGGGCATGAAGCGTACTGATAGTGCCCATGTAGTAGCGGGTATGCGACCAAGGGATGTTGTATAACTCCCTGGGACGCGCGAAAAACACAATTGTCTGCGGGTTGTACGCGTCTACTGCTAGTATCGGCGGTTGCCGAGTGACAGCACTGGACACGCCACAAAACGGCGGTCCCCGTGGTCTACAGCCACACGACTTTCTATCAATATACACATCATTCGTCCCGCCTCGTATCCAGAATGACGTCGTATCCACTGCCCTCTACGCACCGCAAGCGCTCGGCAATCAAGAAGCATGGAACGGCCTCGCAGAAAGTCCAATTCACACTATATCCGTTTCGTATCCAGGTTGAAGCCATGTATCGATATAGTGTAATAGTGCGTGTCGCTGGCAACAGGGGTGCCGCCTCTTGGATGCTCGCCCGCCCCGTGCGTTGCACTCGTATACAATAGTACCGTAGCCAAAGTCCCGCGTTGTCAACCCGCTGGAGCTTGTCGTCGCAGCCACGACAAGGCGCGTATCCAAACTTGACGCCACTTCAATCGTACACTATTTCGTGTCGACGCGGTTTCGGCGAAATCGGAATACCGGGGCACGGCCGGGGCACGCCGCCGCGTCATTAACGCCACTCGAAGGTCGCGTCTGAGTCGGCTGTCGAGTCGACGCCAGGTCGAAGAGCCACGAGGAGACGCCGCAGTGTATTCGAGGAGTAGGAGCTTCTTATATTAACTGTTCGTGGTGTATACTCGTACGGGAGCGACCTACTGCTGCTCTGCGGGGTGTTAAATAATCAGGTGGAGGCCATTTCCATGGCCCACATGTAGTCGAAAAGCGCCTTCTCTTTCAGGAGGCGCTGAATCTGAGCGTAGAGCGTCGACGCCTCGGCGTCTGTCTCCCTGCCGGGGCAAAGCGCTTCCCGCAGCGACTGGACGACGCTCAAGTCGTACGCGACCCAGTCCCGGTGTTGGACGGCAAGCGACTGGCGCAGCTGCGCCTCGTACGTAGCTAGCGGGTCTGCATACATGGTGCGGAGCGAGGCGAGCACGTCGGCGCGGGCCGAGGCCATGACGGCGTCGATGTGTGCCTCTTCGGCCGGGCTGGCCACGCTCCAACGGAAGCGCGACCGCTTGCGCTGGTTCTTTATCCACGTCGCGCCCACGGTATACCGCAGCTGCGCTTGCTGGAACGCGGCGGCCGTCTCTTCGGGCGTCGTGGCGGCCGGCGCTGCATTGGTCGACTCGGTCGGCGTCGGCATGACGTCGTCGTCGCTGGTCTGGCGCACAAGCGCACAGCCCTTCTTCGCGATGAGCTGGACACGCGAGCGCATGTGGCGCACGTAAGCTTCAAAGCAGTCGGCGTTCGCGGCGAAGAGGCTCTCTTCGACGGACCGGCACGTGTCGATGACATGGCGCTTCTCAAACGGCGCGCGGAGGAGCGCGTGGACTTTGAGGACTTCGCGGCAGAGGAGGCGTACAAAGTACTGGCGCTGCTGCGCGATGGACCGGCCACAAGCGATCGGCGCACTCGGCAGCTCAAGGTCGGTGAGCGTAAGGACGGCGTCGGGCGCGACGACACTGCACGACTGCGCGACCATGCGTACGACAACCTGCAAAATGACAACTGGGAGATTTCGCCCAAGAGCAAGGAGCGGCGAGATAACCGCCGTGGCTGCAAGTCGGTATATCCCAATCCCCCGTAATCACACATCCGTATCCGGCATTGCCGGTGTATTCCAGCCCATGCGACACCTCTCGTATCCGGATGCCCCGACGGCAGTGTTGGGGCAAACCCGGACGCCACAGTGGGACGATTGGAGCCCAAGAGTAATCGGCGCCTGGGCGTGTTGAGTTGGTAGGACAAGCCATCGCGACGGCCATTGCGTCGACTTGCCGTGTGCACCGAGTCGAGGAGGAGGCAAAGGCGAGGGCAACCGAGACACGGCCACATGGGCGCAAGTGGTCAGAGACGTCCATTGGCGCAGAAGTACCTGGCAGCGATGATTTCGCCATGCACGGGCTAGAATACACTGTACGTAAGTTCCATCCACCTTCCTCGCATCCCACCTTGCACCCATGCTGCGACACGACGTGGTTTAAACGCGGTTTGTTTACCGGTCTAAAAGAAAACGGCACCGACGCAGATTCCGTTCGTCATAGACACGATAGAAATGCACTGTGAGGACTTATTGTATGAGCTCACTAATACCGTAGGCATACTCTACGCATCGAACAAGGTGGTGCAGAGACCAGCAGCGACCAGCATATCAGTCGCACTATTATTAGCGTGTGATTGCTTGCCGCCCCGAAATGCACAGTATGGACGCATAGTATGGACGCGACTGGAAACTCGACCTCTGCCACGTCGCCGTCTTCTACCTGAGCGCCACCTGCACGTCGTCGTCTGAAGATCCTTGTAACACAGACGCCACGGTAAACGCGTTAAACAAAGCAAAGGTAAATGATGTTGTGTCCATTGCTCTTTACTGGGATTCAGATGGTTCGAAGTTCGAAGCTGTTGAGTCACCCAGAAGAACGGTGGTGGAAGGAAGTTCCTTGATGGCTTGTTATTTGACGCTTGTATGTCGCGCCACCAGGCCGTCGAAGTTCGAAGACGTGTCGCATGCGCGTACGTACGGTGCATGTACGGTTAAGCGGCTCTGAAATATCAGCGCCGTACGGCGATCCAGTACGGTACCGCTGGCTCCAGTCTACAGCCTTCACGTATAATCGGGGGTGCTGGGCGGTCCCTTCTTGCCGATGGCGTCTGCCTCTCTTGCATCCTGTAGCACCATGGGTGGCGCTTGTCAGGCCCGTGTCCGCATGGTTACGCCCGTGATTACACGCTCTGCCGTGTGGGTGGGTGATCGCGCGAGATCGGCGGAAAACGACGCTTCTTCTTCCGCACAAACTGCAGCTACTTGAGCTACTTGAGAAACCTTGGGCTCTTGTATGGCGTAGTCAGCATTTATGGAACGCCGTGATGGCCTTTACAGGAGCGCAGGCATCCTCCCACGCCTCCCAAAGTTGCCTCCCATGCTATCCTCTTCTCTGCCTCCAATACCGGTAGCATGGGTCTCTCTGGCAACGGTTGCCCAACTACCTATGAGAAGCATGAATGAATGGGTTCCATCGAGCGAGCGAGTGGCTTGACGTCCTCCACAGAACATCTATCCAGGATACGTCGCAATGATTGGTAGTGGCTTCTTCGATGTGCACCGTTGTGACTGGCACCACACCCACCCGTCATTATTCTTGTGTTTGCAGCCAGCACTTGGGATGTGTAGTACGTATTGGTTACGATGACACGGCCTCGACGACGCTTGACCCGACGACGCTTTACGACAAAAGGTGGTGACGCGCGGCTCAAGCTAGCGCGAGCGCTTCGTAAAATCGAGCTTTACGACTCCGTTGGTGGTGGGCACGCACCTCGGGCACAACTCTGGGACGCCACAATGCCACGGAATTACGAGCACGGAACGGCAACAA